TGAAGTTGTTCACTTGGATGAAGAAATTTGAACTATCCGGATATAAGGCAATATTTTTACTAGTAATTAAAATATATGGAATGTCTTTCTGTTCGTTAAAAAGAAAATCAGTATTACAGCTTAAATTGAAATTAATTAAACTACTTTCAAGTTAAAATTAAGATAATGAGATTTAAGGAATTGCACCTTATCACTCCTATGTTCTCATTCTTTTTATAGAACTTTCATTTGTGAATCTGCCTTATGGTGCTGATTAATTGCAATTTTAAGTGTTTATCTACATAGTGTGTTTATCTACATCCTTTAATAATTAACTTCATAAATGTTATCTAAACATATAGTTACTACTTTGCACTCATTCTTCTGAAATATCTCTATATATTGGTATCGCTAAACTTGATAAAATCAATGCACGATTCAATGTAGTTCACTCATAGCTTTGTAGCCTGTAAATTATGCTATCTTGTATAGTATATAGTATAATCTTTTTCTCCTTACAAACATACATGTTAACAAAACAGCAAAATACTAAAAATGAAAAATTAATTGCCTTTATTATAAGCTTAACTTGTTTTTAAAAGAATATTCAAAACACTGCCATGTATTTAGTTCAGGTATGAAATATAGTTAAGTTTCATCAACTACATTATTTGCTTCTGTACTTGATGTAAAAGATGGCTATTGTTAGTTGAAATCTAGTTAGTTTCCAAAATAAAATAGTTTCATAACCTTTAAATTGATTGGTAAGATGTTAAATATTTACATAGGATATTACATGGGATATTTTAAACATTCCAGTATCATTAAGATACAGAATGCAGTTTCAGATATAATAATCATTATTTTTTAAAAAAGTCCTTGTGGTCCCTATCGTATCACATAAGAGACCCTTGCCTATACATACATAAGTCCCGAAGGTAAACATGCAAGTATTCCTCAAACAATTTGCATGAATTTCTAAGTCTGTATTAACCAATAAAAATTATTCTTAGTAAAATATATAAAGTACTAAATAGTACTACTGTTTATCGTGAAAATCAATCTTTTTTAGTCTTTAATGATGCTCACTGGGCTACCAGTTTATTTTAAAGGTGAAAACCGTTTTAGCAATGAAATATTACCATTCTGTGGTTTGATCTGCAGAAAGGGAAGATGAAGGAGGCCGCCCAGCGGTATCAGTATGCCTTAAGGAAGTTTCCGCGAGAGAGTTTTGGAGAAGAAATGAAAGCTTTCAATGAACTCAGGGTTTCCTTATATCTGAACTTATCAAGATGTCGCAGAAAAACTAATGTAAGCCTCTTTTCCAAGTTTTCCCCCCTTGGTATCAACTTGCAAAAAACAATTCTGGGCGGAACTGCCGTTTTAGATAATGCTAAGTCAGCAGCTTTTGGGGATAATAGGCAATTGCCTTAAAAATTGTAATAACTTAAGGTTCATCCAGGAATGTAGAGTTCTTGAAAGATTTGGCTCTTTTAGAACGGTTTAAATTGGGTGGGGCTAAGGGAGAGGACAGTGGACACCATCGGAATGTGTTGTAGACACTGTGTTGTTAAGCCCTGTCTTACGTGACTGCCCGCATATCTTTTCAGACGTCTTCTATTATGTCTTATCTTTCAGACATCGAGGCATTTCTGAAAGCAGTTTGGGTACACACATATTCAATGCATGGCAATTATCTGTATCTCAGATACAGATGGATCCCAAACAGATTCAAACAATCAGCAGAAGTGGGGTTAGGAAGATGCCTCGAGATTATCTGAGCAGATACTCCTCAGTCCTTACTTTAATTTCTGTGCGCTGTGATTTTGGCAGGATTTTGGCATGGCAGAAGAATTTGCTACCAAGGCCCTTGACCTCAAACCCACATCCTATGAAGCGTATTACGCCAGGGCAAGAGCCAAGAGGAACAGCAGGTACTTAAAGCTCTTTTGCAATAATGTTTATTTGGGTAATATTTTTTAAAACTCTGTTAAGAATAATGATATGGCCTTCAATATTACATTTTGACAAAATACCAGGAAGTTTTCTATTGGTTTCCAAGCTGTTCATAGATATTTTGTGTTAATTCTCTTACTTTTGTTTGTTTATGCTGCCAGAATTTCCAATCTTGGTGGGCTACCATGATGGCCTGAACAGAAAATCTCTTTATTGATACTTATAGTATTATGAGGAAAAAAATTAATTGGGATATTTTTGGAAGGAGCACAAAGAATGGCTAAAATCACCTCCTTAAATGCCATAACCAAACACGGACTTCACAGAGAATTGAAAATAGGAAGCCATTATAGGTTGTGCAATATACACGAAACAGCCCTACCATCACCTTTTTGGGTATAATTTTCTAAAAAGAGGGGAAAAGATAATGCTTTGCTAAAAGTGAGGCTTGGTTATGTGTAACTATTTCCTTTCCAAACTGAGGTACATTTCTGGACAAGGCTATGCTCTGTCTAAAACAGCACTACATTAGCTTTTTTGAGTAAGAAACCACATTTGATAAACTGGATGAGGCCAACACAACAGATAACATTTTATATAATTTAAAGGCAATAACAGAAAATCATGTTAATTAAAACATTAGTATTATTCCACATTTAATTTAACAGGGTTAGGGTTTCTATTGTTCTTCGTCAATAATTTTTGAAAGCGTTTTGAGGTCTACCGTTCATGTAATTGGGAGGTGAGGAGGTTATCATGCTACTCTTTAAAGGGATTTACAAGTGGGTTATAAAATACATAGGGAACTGCCAAAATAAATATACTGCTGCTTGTGGTTGTGAAAAAAGGAATGTGCCAAGCTTATTGTTTTTGGATTTCCTCCCTTTCAGGCAATTTCAGGCAGCCCTCACCGATCTGTGGGAAGCCATAAAGTTGTGCCCTGGAAACCAAGAAATCAAGAGACTGCTAACTCGAGTCGAAGAGGAGTGCAAACAGCTCCAGAGAACACAACAACAAAAGCAGCAGTGTTTTCAGGCAATGCAGCAGAGCAATGACTCTGACTATGAGGGTGAAGTACTTGTGCAGGATCACTTCAGCCTGGAAGAAATAAAAGAGGAGGAACTTTTATGTGAGCAGGAACCTGGTCCAGCTAGGCCAAGATTGCCACTTTTCCAGGCTTCTTTATCTTGCAGCAGAAACCCTCAGGAAGGTACTCAGCAGAAATTCAGGCCTGTATCTCCTCCAAACAGAGCCGGCAGTACATATTTGCGAGAGTCTGTGCAGCCCACGAAGCAAGCTCAGATAGTAAAAACCAATCAGCATCTGAATTCTGCCCAGGCTGCAACAAGACCTAGTTCTAGTCAGTCTGGCACAAAGATTCAGCACCTCCAATATCTTCCTCCAAGCCCTGTGACTTCCAGACATCTTATGACTCCAAACAACAAAGCACAGCATTTAGATGGGGCACACACAGTATCGGCAGGCGGTAGCTGTGCGCTTTTCAATGAAAGATTAGCAGCTTGCCAGCTTCCCTACTTGCAGCATAGTGACAAAGGATCTTCTTTCATGAGTAAGTCCAAAACACACGAGAAGCTGAGTGTGCATCCTCCTCCATCATTAAGTCAAGGACCCGGTGAATTAAGGCAGCAAAGTAGTGCCAGTTCGCTTTCTGTCAACAAGGTACCTTCCAGCTCAACAAGTAGCTTTTCTGAGAGCATGGCAGGACAAAATCTCGACACTCGACTCAAGGAGAACAAAGCTGGGCTTGGTCAGAGTGGATCAGTCGAACACCGGTCCCGCAGTATTCCATTCATGGGGATCATGGATAAAACTGTACGCTTCCAACAGCAGCAGATGAACCCATCAAATCGCAGTTGGCACAGCCAAGCTACAGAAGGGCTCCTGAAGAGTTCCGGGACAACTTTATCTGCAAGCTGTGAGTTTTCTTCCAAACCACCAAACAACTCTGCAAGTCAGGGCTCGTCTTTCTTTTCTTCTCCCCTAATAATAGGAGACAATCTCCAAAATGGAACTCAGTCAAAAGAACTGGAGGAACTGAAGCACCAAGCGTCTGCCAGCCCTCAAGAGAACAGGATAGGTAAGCCAGTGGCTCATTTATATCAGGAAGCTCTCTCCAAACAGCATTCTCAGCTGAGCAAAGACATTCATTCAGGACACATCACTTCTACAAAACCAAAGCGATCTTTTGTAGAATCTAACGTATGATTCACTGTTCTAGGGCAAATTAATAACAGGGATGAATCGTGGCTTTTGGTTGTAAAACTTAACTGCAATAGTGGCATTTAGGTTACTATTAATCATATTTTAGGGAGCGTATCACAAAAATGAGATCTTATAGCTGCAATATGAACATTAATCTAGCTATCCTGTCCTTTTAATTGAAATATGTTCTTAAGGTGTTTGTTAACACAGTTGAAAAGTTCCATCATTTATGTCAAACCTTGCAAGTCTGGATTTATGCAGCCTGCGGCAGTATAGCAAACTAATCTTTCTTAAATGTTTTTCTTTTAAAAATCTGCAGTCCTGAAGCTGCAGTGGTATATACACTCACTGGGGACTAAGTCTCGATGAACATAAGTACAATTTACTTCTCAGACTATAGGATTGTGTTGTAAAACTCACTTTGTTTGGTCATGTATATTGTTTATTGTTTAAATTGGGTTAATTGCTTCCAGAGGATGGAATCCACAGAACCTTTACTTTTGTCAGTGAATATTTTCTTAGAAGGAAGACTGACTGTTATTCTCCCACTTTTATAAATATGGCAGATATAACTTATATCATCTCTACAAATATTTCAGCAGCGATATTTTTTTCCCCATGCAATTGAGGCTGTCTTATCATTATTGCAAGGGAAGAAGTAAAATTTTGCATGCATTTTATTCAACATCTTTGTTATTGCACTGAGTCACATGACAAGTTAACAACATACAATCGGCACTTTACATAGTTTATCTAAACATCTTTTGAGGTGTTATATCAGAAAAGCAAGAGAAAAACAGTCATAGAGTATTTTTATAGAACATCTAATATCTATCCGAGGGAAAAGCTTACATAAAGGCCACTGATACTTTCCTCAATATCGCAGTAAGAAATATCTATTTAAATTACAAACTGTTCTTGAAGAGGCACATTTTGTAAGGATGTTCCTGTAAGTAATAAAGGTTGGTTGTATAAGCTGGAAAATTCTGTAGCCCCTTTAACAAATTATTCCCATATGTACAGAATGTATGTTACGTTATAACAACTTCACACATTTTTTTTAAAAAAGCATTAAAAAGTCTGTTTTGGAATGACTTAATCTATTCTGTAGCTTATTTATTGTTTATCTTGATATTTGTACAATCTTATTCTCTTGTTCTGTAGATCTATTTTTTGCACAGCTACTGTATTTTTCTCTTATTAAATAAAAGATTATTAATATAGTCTCTGGTTCAGTAGTGTAGTTTTACAGCACAACACTGAGCGGTCATCACTAACGCAAGTTTGATTAGGATCCATTTCAAACGTAAAATATGTGAACAATCTGCATGGATCGCTTCTCTCTTCCAAAAATTGTTGGAACACAGGTGAGTGTTTAATATTTGTAGATCAGCTCAACAGTCTGATCTCCAATGAGCTGATAACTATTCCAGGCCAAAACTTTGGTTGAATTGTCAACCTTATATCTAGGCTGCACCTCTGGAAAGTTTACTGAAATGGGAGTGTACTGCAGTTCTACAAAGTTATAATTGATCATGAGATGCCCTTTTAGTTAAACTGTGCATAGTTTGAGTTTTTCATTTCATTCTTGAGCATAGTCCTCTGAAGACTGTTTATAATAGCTAATAAAAAGAAGACTTGTTTCAGGTCTGGTAGTAAGAAGTGGTAATTCTGCTGTTAACACTTAACTAAGTCATGCAAAATGTTACTGCACAGGTTCACGCCAACTTGATAAATGGCCTAGAAAATCTCAGAACTGGAAAGCTAACTTCAGGCTCTTGCTCCTTGCGCTAGCTCTTTTCTAAGCTCAACAAAACATGACACCAGACCCATCTCACAAAGGTATTTGGAAGAAGGTTGGGCGAGGCGGGAAAATATAAGCACCTGTTGCTCTCTGTCAGGGCCACGGTGTTCCTCCATTCTTTGGAATAAACAGGAACATAAATATGTACATTTAGAGATCCAGGACAGAGGCAAAAAACCAAAAAAACCAACCATGTACCTCTCTGGCCTCAATTCTGTATTTCTGTCTACTATGGGCTGGGCCCGGGAGTTTTGGGAAGCTCTGATATCCGAATAAGCTGCAGTAGGAAAAGGCACATAATTATTTCAAAATAACTTTTTACAGCGCATGATCTATTACAAGCTGTATATTTTCTTGAAATTAATAAAACTTAAATGTTCTATCCCATGCATACATAATCAAAACCAAGTCCTACTGTCGTCTATGGAATCCATTAATATAAATATCACTTCGGCCAGAATTTCATTCAGTAGCAGACACTTAAATCATTTGTAATACCCAATAGCTGACAATCGTCAAGGATCAAGGGACTTGAGCTAATGTCATCAATTATCCCCACGGTAACAAAAGTGTGCTGTATCCATAGGCAGAAGCTGAAATGTTTTACATACCTTTCAATTTATTTCCTCTAATTTTGAAAAAAAAAAAATGACAGTCTTTAAGGTGCTTGCTTTTCATTATATTTTGGCTGAGTTTCCAACCAGCGATTAATTGCCATTTTTAGGGTTCGGTTTGGGGTAAGTACAAGTCTCTGAAGAGGGAGATTTGTCATAGGACTAGAACGCCGTTTTTTAATTATCCAATTTTCCATTGCTTCCTTCTCATAGGAATAGCCATCTAAAGAAAGAAACAAACATTCCTGAAAACAAGTGCTCTGCAAATCATACCTTAAAGCAAGATATCTCTAGATAGGAAATGGACCAACTTCGTATCAATAGATACAAATGCATATCTATTATCTAGAAGAAATCGGTATGAACTTAGCAACTGCATCCTTTGACTCTCAGTAAGAATCTACTGATGTACAAACGTAAAAGATTAATACAATGTAGAACATTTCATTAAATACTTTTTAATGTTACACAAAATCTTTCAGCACCGCTGCTTGAAGTGACTGAAGTGTCATGTCTTTTACATCTTTTACAGCCACATTGAAGGCTCCTGCTGCTTTGGCAGCAATTCAAACTGGAAGTGCTGTCTGCTAGTCATTCATATTCAGACGCTTTGGGGCAGCTCCTGAAGCAGCCATGCAGAGCTTTTGAAAGGCTCCAGCGTGGCGAACCGATCCAAATAGGTTTGCACAGCCAAAATACATACATCTCTACCAAGCTGGGGTCGGGTATGCTGGCTCTATATGTGGAGGGCCCCTGTTGCAGAGAATTGTGCTACGTGAAGAGGCCTTTCTTGGCAATTTAAATTTGCAGAATCTGGACTGTACAAGGATTATCTTCACATACTGAATTTTTTTTTCACCTGCAGTATGTAAACAGGGAAAGCATGTCTTTTCCTGCTGCCCTCAAAACTAAATCCTGTGTATTATACTTAACGGATGACAGCCTCATGAAAGACTACAATTTTTATGTACTAGAAGGACATTTTTATAATTGTAGGCAAAACCTTTGCCCCAAAATAAAAAAATACAGGTTTGACAAAAATTGAGATTGCACAGATTTGACAAAGACCCATTCTCAATAATGCCAAAGAAGGATATAAACTTATGGAATAATGAAGGAACTTGCAAATAAAATATTTTCCTTGTATTTTAAACATTATTCAGTTTTACATAGCTGCAACCACTTGTGGGGCAGAATGTAGGTTTTACAAATAGAAAAGGGTGAGCAGCAGGCCTTTGCAGCCCCACTTGCATAAATGGCAGGTGCAAGCATTCATAGCCCCACTTAACATGAGTGGCGGGCCCTGGCGCTCACAGCCCCACTCATGCAAAAACATCCCCTTCCCCCCCCCCTTGCGCGCAGGGCCATCCACCTGGAAAGGTTCGGGAAAACTGCTTTAGAAAGCCACTACATAACCTTTAGAAAGTTAGCCTTCATAATTAAGGAATCAAATAATTTGTACAAAGCAATTTTGTACAGTCTGATCATGACCAACCGAACTAGCATTTATAATTTTGTTCAGATAATTTTTTAAAGTGCACATACTATACTGGTAATTTTTATGTTTTTTTTTAGTTTTTATGATTACTGTTTTTTTTAAGCACTATTATCTTTGAAAGTTTTTCTTTATAATGTGTCTTTTTCTAGAAGCAGCAAAAAGGCAGTGATGACTTGAATATATATGCACAACTCTTCAAGCTACATAGAAATAAACTGAATATCTCTTTGTGTGTGTATGTGCGCGCGCGTGTGTGAGACACAGACGGAGAAAGTAATATGAAGTTACAGTATATAAATAATATGTGTAGTAGTAATAGCAATATCTATCTCACTGTTTTAAGATAGTGTAAGAATTAAAATACTGTATTCCAATCAAATATGTCTGAACCTCATACCATATAGTCATTCATCAGACAATATGAATATTTTCTCATGTGTAAGTAACTGATTTCCATGAAATTAAAATGATGGAATAAAAAAGTATCACTAAACATTTTCTACTGATGGATAAACACATCTCACTCTCATTCTCCCAGTTTGCTAAAAATGAGCTAGAATTCTCAGTATGTTGAGTCTGTTACTTTAATCCTGAGTTTAAAATTAATTTCCAAAAACTCATCACAAAGCTGTCAAAGGAATAATCAAAACTGCTACACAGAGTCCCTTGTGTCCTAAGCTTTTCATGTATAAAACAGAAGCACAAAATTGTGACGTGACTAGGAGATAAATGCAGTTACCAGGCCTGATTCAGTTCTGCTATGAAAAAGAAATAACATATAAATGTACTGCCAATTTTTGTAAAGGCCGTTGCCTACTTACTTAAGTCTCATACACTTTCCAAAGAATTTGGAAATTTGTAATCTACTTTCCCTCACCTCCCTTTTGAAATAATGAAATAATTTAGTGTATGCAACATTCAGATATAGTTTTCCTTAATGCAGGCATCAAGAACGTGGGCTTTCAAATGTGGGGATCTCCATTTCCATCATGCTTAGTTAGTATTTTTCAGGGAAGATTTATAACTTCATATGGCCACCCATCCAATAAATAGGACTTGCAGCAGCTAACAATTAAAAACAGTAAAATCAATAACCAAAATTATAAATGGCATCAAATAGCAACAGAGGACTTTACTACACCCCACAACTGATACAACCAGGAATTGGGCTCACCCTGTATTATCAGGACTCCTGGCTTAATAGCAAAATCAGATAATTAAGGCCCTGTGAAAAGCCAAAAGTTCAGGGTGAGTTTGATCTCTGGGAGATATTCCAGAGAGTGGGCATCATAACATCTTTCTAGTCCCACCAGCAACCCCGTCACCTGCTGGATCTAATAGGGTGGGCAGATACCAATATGGAGGCTCACAGCTTCCTAATTCCTACTTCAGCAGAAATAACTTCCCAACCCAACCTTCTAGTATAAACAGTGCATTCCTGGCAGGGAATCACAGAAGATTCCTCATTTTTCTGTCAGATCTGTTTGCCTTGTTCTTCCTCAGCTAAATTCCTTGATCACAGTTGCTGGCTCACTCTAGCCAGCACGGGTTTGTTAAAAACAGATCATGCCAAACCAAGCTTATTTCATTCTTTGATAAAGTGACCAAATTAGTAGACCAGTGAAATGCTGTGGACATAGTATACTTAGATTTCAGTAAAGCATTCGACAAAGTAGATCACAATCTACTGCTTGGTAAGCTAGAAAAAGGTGGAATAGACAACATCACCACCAGATGGATTTGTAATTGGCTGATAAACCGTACTCAATGAGTAGCCCTCAATGGTACTGCATCCACATGGGAGAGAAGTAAGCAGTGGGGTACCACAAGGATCCATCTTAGGCCCAGTACTCTTCAATATCTTCATCAATGACTTAGATGAGGAAACAGAAGGGGAACTCATCAAATTTGCAGATGACACTAAACTGGCAGGAATAACCAACACCCCAGAAGACAAGCTCAGAATCCAAAAAGATCTAGACAAACTTTAACTATGGGCCCTATCCAACAAAATGAGTTTGAATGTGGAAAAAAGCAAAGTTTTACCTTTAGGCAGGAAAAATCAAAGTTATAAGTACAGATTAGGTGAGACCTGGTTCAAAAACAGTAACTGAGAGAGACCTTGGAGTCCTAGTGGATGATCAATTGACTATGAGCCAGCAATGTGCAGCAGCAGCCAAAAAAGCTAATACAATCCTGGGTTGTATAAACAGAGGCATAGAATTAAGATCACGCGAAATATTAGTATTTATAAAACCTAGTGAGACCACACCTGGAATACTGCAACCAATTTTGGTCACCATACTATGAAAAAGATGTTGAGACTTTGGGAAAAGTTTAGAGAAGAACAACTAAGATGATCCAAGACCTGGAGACTAAAACATATGAAGAACGGTTGCAGGACTTGGGTTTGGCTAGTCTAAAGAAAAAAAGAAATAGGAGTGACATGATAGCAGTATTCCAGTATTTGAGAGGCTGCCACAAAGAAGAGGAGGTCACATTATTCTCCAAAGCACCAGAGGGCAGGACAAGAAACAACGGTTGGAAACTGATCAAAGAGAGAAGCAACCTGGAATTAAGGAGAAAGTTCCTAACAGTGAGAACAATTAACCAGTGAAACAGCTTGCCTTCAGAAATCACGGGTGCTCCAACATTGCAGGTTTTCAAGAAGAGACCAGACTAGAAGACCTCCAAGGTCCCTTCCAGCTCTATTCCTATTTCTATTCTATTCTATTCTATTCTATTCTATTCTATTCTATTCTATTCTATTCTATTCTATTCTATTCTATTCTATTCTATTTCTATTTCTATTTCTATTCTATTATTCTATTCTATTCCTATTATTCTATCCTTATTGCCTGATGTCTTCCTAACGTAGGAATGATGCCTGAGGGGGAGCTGCTTACTCATAAATGCAGTTCTAGCCACTAGCAGTCACTTGATTACTGAGTCAGCTACATCTGTAAGTTCAGACTGTGTGCTCAGCAAACAAGCAAACCTATCCCAGGGCCAAGAATCCACACCATTCCACAAAATCAGCCAAAGCCCCTCCTCTACCTCAGATCACCTTTGTACCGGTAACTTGTAAGCTCCTTTATAAAATGCTTATGTTCCTGTATGTTCTCATATACACGTGAGCTCTATGTTTTTACAAACTTTATACATAATGGAGAACTGAACAGAATGATAGCCATTCCATAAACCTTTGCCAGAGAGATGTCGCTTTAAAGAAGCTAGGTTGACAGATTGTTTACACGATTAAAGCAATCTCCTCCCATTATTCAAACCTATTAGTGTTCAATTGGCAATCATATGTCCATAGATTATATGCAATTCTATTAAGTTTGAAGTGTGTGTATATTCTAAGATTATATAATAATAATAATAAAGTTGGAAGGGACTTAGGAGGTCATCGAGTCCAACCCCCTGCTCAGGCAGGAAACCCTATAGTTTTATTGTTTTAAAATGTTTTAATATTTTGATTATAATATGTTTTTAGAGACACTGATTGAGATGGAGAAAAAAAAAGAAAGAAAAGAAGAAAAAAGAAGGAAGGAAGGACTTAATTTTAAATGAAGCGGTAAATTGCATCTAAATTCCCTTGAAATAGTAGGTTTGGGGTTTGAGGACACACTCAAATGTGAAAACTAAGTGCCCTGGCTTTTTAAATAACTCTTTAAAAATGATTTGAGAACCAAGCAAGAGTTGCCCATGCCAGATTGAAAGGGCCAACATTCAAGGGGAACCTTCAGCTGTCCTTGCAAGCTTGCAGAAAAACTCTTAAAGCCAGGAAATTTTCAACAATGTCACAAACAGATCAGTCTCTCTCACGTGTATATGAGAACATACAGGGTCAGAATTATGCTGGCCTGATAAGGGATTAAAAGGCACTGGGATCAATTTAAGAACATTAAACCCATCCCTGAACTTTCAAAACAGTCAATTTAAAATAATTCAAAAATTTTAAAGAACAAATAGTATTTTTAAAACCTAAAACTGTTATTAATAATCAGGTATGAGAAAAGCTCCAGCTTCTGGCTTCATACAGTTTTGCTTCAGATTTAATGAGATATTCTATATCTCTTTCATGCATCTTGGAAATAACAAATATGAACATTATGCAGTATTGGGCAGCCAGTTATACACATACCAAATGTGAACGTAGAAAAGCCACCCACTGGATACACCCTCCATCATATATAATATAGTATTGCAAATTGTCTAATAGATTTTCACTCTATCATGATTATACTATGGCTCATTTCTATTGGTTTCTGGGAATGTAATCAACATGGTGATAATTAAAACTAAAAATGTTTTCTCTGTGCCTTTGATAGAAAAAGATTATACGTAACTTGCTTTATAAACATATATTCTTATTACTAAATCTCTACCAAATGATAAATACAGCTAAGCCATCTTCAGCACGCTTACCTGCGGCAATCACTGGCTCTTTCATAAGTTCTTTGGTTATGGGGCACAGGAATTCATCAGGAATATCTAGAGAAGCAGATTTCATCTCATTCCTGAGCTCCTCAATGTTACGCAAAACTTTACTGCGAAGACCTAGAGATTCTGGAAAAGTTATATTAGACTTCTTAGTGACTAGATCTAACTGGAAAAATAATACAAGGCAATGTACAGTTAATTATGTAAAATGATTTTTTATGTAATTCTCCTGAATATTAAAAGCTAAAATTATGTCTTTCTTAAATTTGCAGAGAGAACACATCAAATGATGATTTTATGTAAAGCTACCTGTAATAGGGACAATATAAAATGAAAACATTACATTCACTTTTGCCTACTTAGGTTTAGCTCAAGTGACAAAAAGACATTATAAAAACAGAAAAAAATTATAGCCAAGAAAATAAGCATGAACACACATGGCACGACATGGCCAAATAGTATCTCTAAATGGCCATGTTGTGTTATGCCGTTTGTAAAACCAGACACACTTTGATTGCATCAGTAATCGTGTAGTAAATTATATTGTTTTATTTTGTTTCAGTTGCTGCTCACTTGTTGAATTCCAGTCAGTGACTGTAATAAATATCACAAGTACTGTATCATCTCTATCTGAAGAAACAAAAGAGCTTTGTAATTCCATCCTGGACTCAATTTTTAAAAAAGACAATGTAAATTTATTTCAAATTTGGAAACGAATTGGGTAGGAACTTATTTGAGTGGTGCCTAATTGCTGATGATCCACCTGGTGGTCATCTTCCCAGCCAATCAATGTTTCTAGAGAATTTAAAAAAAGAGAGAGAGAGCACAAGAGCTAAGCAATTACTATAAAATAATAAAAGATGGTCCATTGTCTTAATTTTCAATTTATGAATTTCTTTTTTTATGCAAAGCTTATTAAATCTGAGAAACGTATTTTTCAAAAGGACAAAAGTATTCGTAGCTCTTAACAGACTTTTGCTGAACTGAATGATGAGTTTTATAATTTGATTACTAATAAGGAGTGAGATGTGGGGGAAAAGAGATTTTTTTAAAAAAGATCTGAAGTAATTTGTTTTTGTCTAAAAGGAGAGGGCAATCAACTTTTATACCTTTTGTATTTTTTACCTCTGAATCTCAGGCCAGGAAGGAACAAATGTCTGCATCTTCATTTTTTTTTAAAAAAAATTTTTTTCTAATGTAACCAATTCCATGATTTGTTTAAATTTTATTTATTTTATTTATTAGAATTATGCCCATCTCACTATCCAAATTATGTGATAGTTTGAGTAGTGGATGGGTGTGCCATATCAAGGTATCAGAAGGTCTTTGGATTCAACACATCTTCAGTACATTGGATGTTGCAACATGCCAGCCTCAGAGGCTGGTAGAAGAAACTGAATTTCACTTTTGTTTCCGGAAGTCCGACATTCTATCTGAACTGGGAAAATGCAAGCAATCCTGTAGTTATTCGGATTTCTCTCGAAGACCATAAGACTGCAGTCTCAGGAAATGTTAATTTAAATTATCACAATTATTACTACCACTTGTTAATGTTATTTCTCTTTCAAAATACTAAGCTAGAAGATTTCAAAAGTTAAAATTCAGAGAAATTACAGCTATTAAACTATCACTTTTTAAACTATTATTGCTCTTGAATTTTACAAAAAAAGTAACACAGTTGAAGTAATAACGCTGAAAACATTAATTTTGTCAAAAAAGAAAGAAAAGTCTCTGGGAGGTTGGCCTACTCAAGGAAAAGGTTTCTGACTTAAACAAGGCAAAAATAATAAATTCTTTTCAAGTTGTGGAGATCAGAATCTATACAAGTTCTGAAAACAAAAGAAGAACAGCTTAAGATATGTTGTATGTATAATATTAAAAGAAAAAGTCCTCATAAGGATTTTTCAAAAATAAGATTTTTTTTCTTTTTTTCAAATTAATCTATCTCTACATTACTTTGACAGGAAATATTGAATCAGCATGTAATATTATTAGATAAAGCTATATAGAATAGTGTTATTCTGTTCTATAATGATCATGATGAAGAGGGCCTGCACAACTGTTTTCAATCACAGTCCTAATCCAACCGAGTTAAACATCAGGAAGACAAATTTATATACAATTATATGCTGAGAAATATTGTGCAGTGAAACAATGGAGAAATGACACACACCTGCAGGTACACCTGCCTTCTTCCTATTCAGTTAGCTTTATCAGAATTATGGAGATCAGCAAATTCTGCTAGCATATTTTACATTTTGTTTATCCACTTTATACTGCAGATCTCATTATGATCAACTCTGCCAAGTTTCTTATTTTCCTGTTTGTAACTAGTAATTAATTCTCAGTGGTGTCATTAAAAGTCCCTGTACACTGACATGTTATTATGTTGATATTTCGACAGAGTGCTGATGCACTTGCGGGAGGTCAGCCTATCTTCAATCCCACTGATTTCAATTTTTAATATAAGCCTATCATCAGCATTATCTAATTAGTCTCAACTGATAAGCTTTGCAACTTTGGTACCCTTGAATTCAACAAAATGCACCAAAGCTCTTGATGGAACAAAAGGGAACAATTGTGAACATTATCTGTGATTTCCATGTATACAAAACTCAGATAATTTTCATATATACCAATATGTATTTTCATATCATTATTTATAGAATAATAGTGATTTTTAAAAATTAGATAATTTGATGAAATGGCTTTGTGGTTCTCACCAGAAGTACAACCAATAGTAAACACGATTAAAAGACTAACAAAAAGGAAGATCATTCATTTTCAAATGCATTTGATTCATAAACCAATTGCATTCAATAGGTTATTTATTGTTAAAACCAACTCTGTTATACAATCCTCATCCTCATTTGTTTGTATTATCAAATCATTATTTGATTACCTGTATGATTGTTTCATTAAAAAAAATCTGACAAGGACTAAAATCAAGGAATAGAATCTATTTGATTACAACAGTCAAGTCATCTGTATCTTTTACATGAAAAGGCACTGAAGTTCTATAACTTGTTTATGAAATCAAGTATTTAGGTCTAAAAACTGTTGCTTGGTTTCCACACCAAAAAAACCTATATAAAGTTATTTATTAAATGATAATCAATTGATAATACCATCGGTTCATATCAGAATGGAATATTTTGACAACCTGGACTTGTTAAATGTTACATGTTCATATTGTTCTACATGAGACAAAAAAATTCAAACATTCCTAAAATGATTAATGTTACTAATAACTATGCTGGGTTTTTTTGCATAAATTATGTTCAGATTAGATCAGAATGTTCAGCTTAAATAATACTGTAAAATACTTCATTCAATTGTCTTACCAATTTTTAAATCATCAGTCAAGCTCTCTTTTGTAAGATTTAACAATTCTTTACCATCAATATTGTTTCTTTTAAAAATCTCAACTAGGTCTTGTAAGTTATGTGCTCGAAGCCAAACAGAAACATCTTCTTCTGTCCAGTTATCAACAGAAATCTTTGATTCCTGTATCAGAGGACTTCCTGAAAAAAGATTAAAATGAACTCACGTAACTAAATAATATATATTAAAAGAAATAATTAAAACATTGCTCCAAGTGTGAAGGGTGGCACAAATGTAACACTTATCCTCTTTTTTTGCATCAGATTTTAGCAAATGCAACCTAACATAAATCTTCTTGATATGCTATACAATTAGAAGGCAAATATTACTTTATTACTTGCTTTTAATGTATTGATCCAGACATGCGTTCAATATCTTTCCTTGTGCTGTTAGAAATACTTATTTTTTTTAACCTGATTCATTTTTCTGTGTTTCCCCCCAAAAAAGTACTTTTGGAAGACTGAGAGATACTTGAGAACAGCACAATAATTCACAAAGCCATGGGCAACAAGGAAAGAGTGGTAAGAAAAGCCACTCTATTCTCTTCTTCCAATGTACAGCTTCTGGAGGATCCTATTTTCTCAACCAATGAAGAGGGACAGTCTATACCTAATACACTGCCTTACTGTTTTCATTATGTGATATTTTAAAGCTTTTGTAAAAGACCAAATAACAATCAAAACAATCAAAAACACAATTAAAATGTTATCTTTCTTTGAATTGCAGTAGGATAAGAAACTCTTGCTTGAGTCCCCTTTGAGGCCAAACAGAGACAAGAGTGACTAAGCTGAATTGCCAGCTTGAAAATAGCCTGGGAATAACTTGCCTTTGATTATAAATAAAGATACAATCATCCAGGGTGGTACAAAAATTGGTTAATGCTTCTACTGAGGAGACAGACATGGGTTCATCCTTAGGCAATTTCTTTAACTACAAACGAGTGTCAATCCCTTTAGATATGCCTACATACCAAATGTAATGAGAAATTGATAAAGTAATAAGAACATTCATTTTGTGGGAGATATTAATTGGTTGGGGCAGGTGAGGTGCTAGCCACAGCCTATTTTAGATGGTTGGTTACAATAATTATCTTGTATAGTGATTGGATTGCTTGAGTTGGCCACTAGAACAACAAACTAATATTCATTGAAAAGTATATAAGAACACAATGATTTAATCCTGGATTGATACTGTGAACAGACGTGTGATTTAAGCCTGGTTGGATAAAAATGGGAGGGACAATTTCATTCAACTGTACAATTGGATTTCCAAATATATCTTTCAAAAATTACTGAATAGGAATTTTTCTTGGAAGAAAATTGATTATTTCTAATTTAGGCTTGGGATTAAATGAGGAAGGCTTCCGTCTGGAGCCTTACTTGAGACAAAAGGCAACAAAGAAATTATTTTACATATAAAAGTATGTAGGTTTAAACTTCGGTGGTAATGATGTAAAACAAATTGATATAATGTTTACAAGGCAGGAGACAAAAACGTTTTGGTACTGACCTGTGAAAAGTTGTTCTGGTTCCAGTTGCCAGATATGGACACATTTATCCATTGAACCGGTAGCAAATAATGGCATATCTGGTGCAAAGGCACAAGTTGTAACATATCTAGAAATAACATTACTTGATAAATATATGTCACCCTTCAAATGCTATCCTTGAAATAATAATAATAATAATAATAATAATAATAATAATAATAATAATAATAATAATAATAATAATAATATATGCCACCTCCTTTACATGGACTATCTGAAGCTGTATGGAAAAACTCCATCTGAAATAGAACGCTGCTCAACACTGTCCATATATATAGCCAAGATATTACAATAGAGTGTGGATTGCCACACTCACTATCAAACAAGGAAAAATAGTGAAAACTGAAGGAATCAAGATGCTCTACGAAAATAACATTAAAAGTCCGGATGAAGATGATTACTATAAATACCTGGGCATCCTTCAAGCTGACAATATCAAGCACACTGAAGTCAATAAAAAGATTAGAGGTGAATACACCAAGAGAGTGAAGAAGATCTTAAAGTCCAAATTCAATAGAGGAAATAGCATCAAGGCAATCAACACCTGGGCAATTCCAGTCATTAGATACACAGCTAGAATAGCGCACTGGACTCAAGCAGAACTAAAACCCATGGATAGGAAGACCAGAAAAATAATGACAATGAATCACACCCTTCATCCTCGCAGCGACATATAGACTCTACCTACCAAGGCAAATAGGTGGGTGTGGAATGTTGCAAGTACATCAGATGGCTGAAGAAGAAGAAAGGGCTTTGGAAGAATATCTGAAGGACAATGAAGAAGTTAGTATGCCAGGAAGGCTTACTGATTACTGGACAGGCCAAATTGGCCTACAAGAAAGACCAAATGAAGAACAGAATGGAGGCATGAAAAGACAAAGCACTACATGACCTGTACATTAAAAAAAATAGCAGAGAAAGCATATAATAACAAGACCTGGCAATGGCTAAGAGCAGGAAAGTTGAAGAAAGAGACTGAGGGACTAATTCTGGCTGCACAAGACCAAGCCTTAAGGACAAATGCATACAAAGCTAGAATTGAGAAGATAACAACAGACAGTAAGTGCTGCCTATGCAAAGAAACTGAAGAAACAGTGGACCATCTGGTAAGCTGCTGCAAGAAGATCACCCAGAGTGACTACAAACAACGGCATGGCAAAGTAGCAACAATGGTGCATTGGAAGGTCTGCAAGAAATATCATTTGCCTGCAAGCAAGAACTGATAGGATCATAAAATAGAGAAAGTCATAGAAAATGAAGAAGTTAAATTACTCTGGGACTTTAGAATTAAAACAGACAAGCACCTGTCACATAACACCCTGGACCTAACAACTGTCAATAAGAAAGACAAAAAAGTCTGGATAGTGGATTTGGCAGAGCCTGGAGACAGCAGAATAGAAGAGAAAGAACTGAAGAAGATAACAAAACACCTATAAACAGAAATAGAAAGACTGTGGCAAAGGCAAGCAAAGGTAGTACCAATAGTAATAGGCGCCTTGGGTACAATACCAAAACAACTGGAGTACCACTTGAATGCCATTGGCATTGACTAATTCACCACCAGTCAATTGCAGAAGGCGGCTTTACTGGGAATAGCTTCTATCCTGCAATGATATCTGTAACACCATCAAACATCCAGATCTACTACTCCCAGGACCTTCGGAAGGACTCGAAAGATAGACAAAAATGCCAAATCCAATCTGAACATGAGGCTGTGCAGTGATCAATACTACTACTACTACTACTACTATATAGTAATATACTAATACATGCTAATGGCCTACCTGGTATGCTGAGTCAAAATGTGTAGGCTGCTCCCAGTGTTCTGTCCAAAATAAACAAAGAAACAAACAAATGATAAGGCAATTTAAATTAATCTATACACCATTTTTATATCCAAAAATTACAGGTATACATAATACATTTACAGATACAGTATCTATAATTAATACAGAAAGCTGAATTTATTAAAAATTGCAGTAAATCATTATCAAACAGAGAAGAATTCCAAAACTACAAATATCCCTTACTCAACTGGGCTTACAGGAAAAAAACCACTACCCAATATTTATATATATTTTTGAAGATTATTTAAGATTACAATAATCTTCAAAAATATTAAGAAATAACATAAAGGTGACTAGAATTAATTATGCTGCCAGCTAAGTTAAATGGATAACAAATCCTGTAGTTGGCATCTAACACCACTAGATGCTACTCTTCACATTGTTCTACTTCCATTGGAAAAGCTATTTTTTAGTATATAGTTTCCTATAATATTTTTTCTCATTCTTAATGTGCCATAAAAGTCTTTATTATTTTTGCAATTCATAATTTTCTCTAAAATTTATCTAAAATAAGACATTGCAGTATTATACATACAGTACTTAAATTCATCTCAGAAAAACTAAGGAAATTATTCCAAAATTAACTATTAAAATATCCTATGATTGTATAAAAAACAGGTTTGCAATAAAAAAACTTACAAACAGATAGCAAGTACATGCTCGTTTTTCATTACTGTACTATATTTCATTGCATTGGCCTATATGCACTATCATACAACTGCTTATACAACTTGCTATCTGCCCATCACTCGTCACTATAAGGTCCATCATATGCTTTATTCCTTGCCATATTATTTGGATCGCATATACTCTGAGCCAAAGTAAAACTATACAGCTACAGACTCTTTTCCTCAGAGAATCTCTCTACAAAGCCGAAGAATCTACCTTGCTATTTGGTGTATCAAATCCCCATTTTATATTTTTAACTTTCAGAGACATTTGGACTAACAGTGACTAAAACTTTTGTATCATTTAAAGACAGACATATTCCTCTAGAGTCTAGATCAGGGGTAGGCAACCTTGGCTCTTTTATGACTCGTGGACTTCAACTCCCAGAATTCCTGAGCCAGCTATGAAGTCCACGAGTCATAAAAGAGCCAAGGTTGCCTACCCCTAGTCTAGATGATCAAAAAGTACATGGAAAAAAAATACCAGTGTCAGGTTTCAGTTGAGACTGCAATCCTTTCCACATTAACAGTACATAGGATATTAAAAACGCCTTTCTCTCCTCCCCCCAAAAGTTTTTTTCTTCATCTGCATCAGAAAATTGCAGCCCCCCCCCCCTTAAATTTGGTCAATGGCTGATGAAATGTATCCACTGGCAGATAGTTGACCCTGGGTATAACCCATCTTTTAAAACTTTTTTTTAATTTAAATATATAGTCTTTAATGAAGTAGAGCATTTTCTTGTTGTCAAGAATAGAAACAGAAATGATTTTTTTCTGCACCCTGTAAACTACTTGGAACTGTAAAGCAAACAAGTGACAAATAAATATTCTAAATACTTTTTACAAATAATTCTGTGGAATAACAAGCAGATTCAAAGGGGGGAAAAAAAGCTTAAGCAAATACCTGGCCTACACAGCTTATCATGGAATAAGTTACTGAATAAGCAAATTTTGCAATGCCTACTAATAGAAAAAAGAATGTTAATATATTGTTATCCTTGCATAATGAGGGCTTTCCCTCTTAAATACTTACAGTTTCAAAAATCATTACAGTTTTGTCCACAGACCTAGTGAGAAAACAAAGATGAAATAACATAACTGTATCAGAACTCATCCTTCAATAGTTAAAAAAAAGGTTTTAATTGTCCAAGAATCAGAATAGTGTGAATAGCAAACAGTGAGCATAAGCTCAATGTTAGAGCACAGTGATTATTATGAATATGGTAGTTAACTTTACAATAACCTCCTCTGAAACTCAAAGGGAATGAAAAGAAATCCAGGAGGATAAGAATCATTAAAATAATCTGTTGAACATTTTAAAAACTGAGACTCCAATCATTAAGAATTCTATAGTTGTCTCTACTAGAAGGAGTAATATATATACTTCTTAAATGATTTTGCTTGTTGGTTTTGATTTGTATTCTGTGTACAGGTAGTTTTCGACTTATGACCAGTCGCTTAGCAATCCCTCAAAGTTACAATGGACCCCGTCAGGGCTACTTACAACCCAAAATTCCAACAGCCCCCAGGACAATTACATTTTTGGTGCAATTTATGATGAGTTTTTTTTTGCCCAAGCCCAGCATTTTCTTCAGGAAAACTGCCTATTGAAGACAATGGGTTCACTTAATGGCTGCTGTGTTCACTTAAGTCATGATGACTCATTTAATGATTTTACAGCAAAAAGGCTGTAAAATCAGACACATGTATTAGTCATGCTTAACGACAGGCATGACCTATGATCATAATTCCAGGCTCAATTATAGACATAACTCAAGGATTACCTGTAGTTCTGATCCACTGCTTGGTTGAACAAAAGTAGTATTAAAGCTGTCTTGCTCCATAACCTTGAAATACACTGTATTAATGTAGAATAAGCCTTTCTGCAAAAGCAACTGACTTTTTTTCATATTGCATCTTAAATGTATGATTGTTTATATTTACTTTCTGTTGCAAAAACTTAGGTTTTGAATATGTATTTAATGGAGACGTGCCATCTATACATTTTTTTTCTTTTAATTCACATAGAAAGGTTGATCACAGGTACACAAGTTGCAAGTAGACTTTTTCTTACATATTTTTTAAATTTGGGAGATTGGTCTATAGTGGTTTTGAGTTCATTACAAATGTCCAACACTACTTTCAAATAAACCTTCTCCTTAAAATGATTCATGAGCTTAAATGGATATAATGTGATGCTCAGTATTGTCAATGGCATCATAGCACTTACCGTGTTTCCCAGAAAATAAGACCCAGTCTTATATTTTTTGGGGACACCAAAAGACGCATTAGGGATTATTTTGGGGGAAACACGGTATCAGGGTGATCAGCCTGGCCAGGCGCTCCGTCCCCCGTGCGCGCACAAGATGCGGCGAGTGTGGAGGGGCCAAAGGTGTCTGGCAGCAGCTGCAGCCTGCTGGCCCCAGGGCACAGTGCAGATAAGTCTGAGCACAGAGGCAGAGGCAAGGGAGGCAAGCAATCTGGATGTGCGCACAGTTGCCTGTCTCGCGGGAGGCTCGCAGGACAGCATCGGCAGGAGGCAGAGGCACGGGGGGAGGCAGGCGATCCGGACACACTGTGGGCTGCCTGCCCCAGCACAGCCGCAGATTAGCCAAGAGACCAAAGGACAGAATGGGCAGTGTGTCCGGATCGCATGCCTCCTCCCCATGGCTCTGCTTCCGCCTGCTGCCGTTGCTGCCGTGCAAGCCTCCCACGAGCACAGTGTGTCTGGATCGCCTGCCCCCCCGCCTCTGCCCTCAAACTTACTTGCAGCTGCGGCTGCTGCCAGACACCATCCGCCCCTGCACACTTGCCGCTTCCTGTGCTGGCCACGCCCACCCCCAGGCTTATTTTTGGGTAGGGCTAATATTAAGCGCACCCCCAAAAAATCAGGCTAGGGCTCATTTTCTGGGTGGGTCTTATTTTCAGGGAAACACAGTATCAGTGTAGAAATAAGCTAAATAAAGGTCCATCTTTATAAACATAGAAATGGGAAAAACTAAGAACCAATTGAGCAAACCAACTGCAGAAGTAGAATATATAAATTAAACAAAGATTCTTACCCAGTAACTAAAACCTGCCCATTCGAGGAAAAAGCACAAGCCAGAACTGGGGCAGTATGTCCACTTAAAGTACATCTATATCTCAGGTCAAATCCTAAACATTGAAAGGCGAACAAATATTTAATGAAAATATTCTTTATCAAATTGCAACCTTATCACTTTTGAATACAAAGTAAAATATACTGCACAATGCAGTATCTAGCTTGTGTTTTGTATTGTAAATCTGGCTTCTCTTTAATGTTCTAGCTTTGTATTCCATGAAAGCAATGAGAATAGGATAAAATGGATACCTTTTTTAAAAATTTTATTTTCATAACAAAATTTTCTGATCATTTCCCTCCAAAATGTGCTTTGGAAGATCTTTAGAGCCAATTTAGGAGCCAAAATAGGGAAGAATTCAATCTGACAGAACCATACACCACTAGGGTATTATTAATGAATTCATGCTAATGAATATGAATTCATTAATATGAATTCATATTAATATTAATGAATGAAAAATATATTTTAACCCTCGTTCTAATATCAATCAAAATAAGGAACAATAAATAATTATATATGAAAAAGCTTCACACTCTCTTAAGAATGATTACTTTACCTTTCTCTCTCTGTTGTTGGTGTTTTTATTGTTTTATTGCAGGGGTATCAAACTGCTGGCCCGCGGGCCAGATGCGTCATAGCGAAACCGCGCCCACCCCATTGCCAGCAATGGCAAAAAAGTCGCAATACATCGTGACACGTCATGTGACGTTGCGAGTTTGATACGCTTGCTTTATTGTAATATGTTGCTTTACAGTAATGTACCATCAATTATTTCCTTTTTTCCTTTTTATACTTTTATAAGCAATCCTTTTGTATTATCAAAAAGGATTATTCACTTGTTCAGTAAGATACTTCCGTTTTCTTTTGTCTTATGTTCGTTGTTTGAGCAAGACCTAATCAAAAATCCAAGCAGTGGAAAGGCAAGTAATTTTTTTAAAGAATAAGCATTTTTAAATTATTGATACCTGTAGAATCAGAAGATGAAATGAGCCAGATCTTACTTATGCCATCCTGACCAGAAGATGCCATTTTGAAATAATCAGCATCTGGCTTATCTGAGAAAATAGATACATATTCAGAAATGCATGAGAAACACAACAAAATAAGGTTTTCTATTTTTTCCAATATCTGCTTCTAGTAAACTAAGCACAATTAGAGGTTTGCTGTGCAAAACTCAGAAATCTGGTGGACTGTATGTAATGCAAGTAGTCCTTGACTTATGACCAGAATTGTGACCAAAATTTCTGTTGCTAAGCAAGGCAGTTGATAAACGAGGAATGCCTGATTTTATTACCTTTTTTGCCACAATTGTTAAATGTATAACCACAATTTTTGAGTGAATCATGTGGTCATTATGCAAATCCAAATTCCCCTATTGATTTTGCTTATCAGGAGCCAGCTGGGAAGACCTCAAGTGGCAATCATATGACTCTGGGATGCCGTAACCATTGTAAATACATGTCAGTTGCTAAGCGCCCAAATTTTGATCACATGACTATGGGGAATCTGTGGCAGTTGTTAAGTGCGAGGACTGATTATAAATCACTTTTTTCTCTGCCACTGTAACTTCAAATGGTTGCTAAACAAACAAATGGTTGTAAGTTGAGGACTACCTATATCTAATTTGTTTTGTGTTGTAAATCAGACAGTTCTTGAATTTTCTGGCTTTGTGTTCCACGAGAGCAATATAAAATATGCTAGAATGGAACGTTTTTTCGCCCTATAATTACAATAGTTCTATATAGTGTCTCCAATCCACACACCTGTTTAATGTAACACAAGTAATCCCAAATAGGCAAAGATAAATGGACATCCCAAAGGTGCTTTTTTAGGAGGCAACTGGATTTTCTTGTTTTTCTTTGAAGATGTTTCACTTCTCATCCAAGAACCTTCCTTCTTCAGCTCTAACTGGATGATGGGGAGTGAAAGGATTTATATTGCTTGAAGACAGCTGGTCATTTGCATTCTTTTAGAGAGTTGTTGGGACCATTTGGAGATTTACCTGTGTCCTCTCCTGAGTAGTGCAAATGTGTGTGGAGCCTTCTCAGATAACAGGATGTTTTTCTGCCCTGTGTCCCTCGCTATTGAAGACAGGTACAGGCGGTTAGGATGAGTCTGTGTTGTCTGAATCTCAAACTAAAGCACAAATGGTTCCTGTAGTCTGCAATGTTTCTGGAAATCCGTTCATACTCTCCCACCATTCGACTCCCCACCATCCAGTCAGAGCTGAAGAAGCTTCTTGGATGAGAAGCGAAACATCTTCAAAGAAGAACAAGAAAGTCCAGTTGCCTCCTGAAAAAGCACCTTTGGGACAATCACACCTGGATGACTGAGAGTCCCCATAGACTGGCTGAGGAATTCTGGGAGTTGAAGTCCACAAGTCTTAAAGTTGCCAAGGTTGAGAACCCCTGCCATAGACGATAAATGGACATCTTTCATTCCAATTTTAACTATGGTAATTTAAAAATCATTGTATATATTTTAGGAGGACTTCATTTTATATATGGATGTTAACATTTTCCCTACGATACTGGAATTTGAAATCATAAGACTAGCTGAACTGAGCATAGAATACTCAAGCAGAAGCCAATTAGCAGTTCCAAAATCATGTTTATTAGGGAAAAAAATAAAAAATGAAATTAATTGCTTTGAATTCGACATTTTCCATATGAAGAGAGATTAAAAGTAAAAGTTACTGTCCTTTTAAAGTATGTTCAGTGAAAGCAAAGCAGCATTGTATATGTTCGTTGCCTTGAATTACTTATAAAATAAAAAAAATGAGATAAAATCAAATAAAAATAATAAATAATTTCACATAATTTTAATTGCAGCCAAAATTCTCTTCTACTTCAAGCACAATTTCTTTAAGGGGAAAGAAAAGTATGATAAACTTTTTACACAGTACAGTCCTCTGCATATATACTATGAATTAAGTCCTACTGTGATCAGTAGAGCTTACCCCCACGAAATGTCTTTAAGATAACAGTCTTATGTGCCATACATTTGCAAAAGAGATAGATCACTGGGCAGGAAATATTACTTAAGAAAAAAATCTGGCTTTAAATCCATTACAATAGAATTAAGTTAAAGAGAAACTTCAAAAGGAATTTATATTCATCAGTTATAGATACTAAGGACAAGAATACAAGTAACAGTTAAGTCTGGAACTGACAAAATATTAAAAGGATTTATTTAAATAGTAAATTATCTAACCAGAATGTGGCCTTGAAGAAAAATCACAGCAGGTAACACCAAGATCATGAGCTTTCTCATTATGTAAGCACTTCATTTTGTCATCCCAGAAAGTTAGATCTCCACAGGATGATCCCATCACAAAGAAACGTCCATTAGGAGCAAATGCACAAGCTACCAATGATCCATCTTTAACGCTACCAGATCTAAAAAGCAAGAATAAAGGAATTTGGTAGCTACATGTTTGGGGAAAAAAAAGAAATTAAATCTAAAAGGAGAATATTTCAAAGTAATCTTTGATATAACAAACAGAGCAATGTCAAAGCTGCCTACACATGTACTATAACATTTTAATTTGTGTAATTATAAAATTTCAAGACTTATTGTTAATCACTTGTCAAGATTAGGGGTATATTTTAAAGGCATTGACATTTAGGGAACTACTTATATTCCTTCTTTTTTTGCTGCGTTTTATATTAAGTGTAAATTCTAAATTATGTTAAATCTTAATTATAATTATTTAGAGCAGGCAAGAATCATTAATTTAGTTTGTAATTGTTTTATTCTAAGATATGCCAGGATTCAGATAATAGGCAAGTAGCTATTAATCTTCATGTAAACAAAAACTTCAGAACAGGATATTGCAGTTGCATCAAAGGAAAAGAGAGCTAGAGCAGTGGTTCTCAACCTTTCTAATGCCGCGACCCCATAATACAGTTCCCCATGTTGTGGTGACCCCCAACCACTTATACATCACTGGGTGCCAGGGGCGTGGCCAAAGAAAAGGGGAAAAAATGGTGGACAGCCTTGTTTGGTGACCCCCGTGAAATGGTCGTTTGACCCCAAATGGGGTCCCGACCCACAGGTTGAGAACCACTGAGCTAGAGCCACAGTTTAGCATTATGTCCAGCGAGTTTACTGATTCACATGAATACAGCACAAGAAAATTGATCATTCTTATTGAGACATTTTACCCCTAAAATAATAATTATGTCTACATAAAACTGCATTGTTTCATTCTTGATAGAGTGTTTTTAAACATGATACTGTACAGGACATGTTAATTAAAAAACAAACAAACAGAAACAAATCTTTCCTGCAATACTTGAATTTCAAGAACTCTCTTCAATCCATTGAAGTCCAAGGATCGTTTGCCCTGACTTTCATAGAAGCAGTCCTAACTTTATCACTAAATGAGACAGCCTGATCAGCCAAGTGGTACCCTTAAAATCTATTGGGCCTAAAACTCGTTGAGGTCTGGTTCACAGGGTTAACACAGCCAGTTTTGGTCACCACGATGTAAAAAAGATGTTAAAGACTCTTTAGAAAGAGTACAGAGAAGAGCAACAAAGTTGATTAGGGGACTGGAGGCTAAAACATAAAAGGAACGCTTGCTGGGATTGGGTATGTTTAGTTTAACAAAGAGAAGGACGAGGGGGGACATGATAGCAGTGTTCCAATACCTCAGGGGCTGCCACAAAGAAGAGGGAGTCAAGCTATTTTCCAAAGCGCCTGAAGGCAGGACAAGAAGCAATGGATGGAAACTAATCAAGGAGAGAAGCAACCTAGAACTAAGGAGAAACTTCCTGACAGTTAGAACAATTAACCAGTGGAACAACCTGCCTCCAGAAGCGGTGAATGCTCCAACACTGGAAGTTTTTACGAAGAGACTGGACAGCCATTTGTCCGAAATGGTATAGGGTTTCCTGCCTGAGCAGGGGTTGGACTAGATGACCTCCAAGGTCCCTTCCAACTTTATTATTATTATTATTATTATTACTACTGGAGTAGAAATGGGAATGCAACTTCTTCCATTATAGTAAGCATAAGCAAATAAACTTAATAATTCTGAAAAAAGTATTTCTAATTGCCTCAGATTTGGTATACTCACCGAAACAATTTTAGGGTCTGAACATTCCACATATTTACACTTCCATCAGCTGCTCCTGAAACTAAATATGTAGAATCAGGAGAAAATCGACAAATTCTTAGAGGGTTTCTACAGGGATGCTCCAATATTCCCCGTTTCAACCCATCTTGAGTATTCCACAAAATTGTGTTGCCATCTGTAGAACATGAAGCCAAAATATGCCCCGAAGGAGAGAAGCAACAGCAATGGACAGCATAAGTGTGACCTTTCAATGGTGAGTAAGGAACCTCACTAAAATTGTTTAACGAATACAGACGGACTGTTTTGTCCAAGGAACATGTAGCCAAATAGGAAGAAGAGAAGGCACAATAGTTGACATCATCATTGTGGTCTGCCAAAGTGCAAATTAATTTAACCATTTGGTGATATAAAGTTACCTGAAATAAAGAGAAACAAAAATCAAGTTGATTCATAATTTCTAGATTAAGTTACACTCCATTGAACATTGTACTAAGAAAGCTGATCTATCATTACCAAAATATTGGTCCTCACAAAAAAATGCTTTCTCACTAGTTTCAATCAGAGTAAAGGTGAAAAGCTAAACCCAAAATAATAACCCATAATTTATGGATGATATTATATACTTATAGAGACCTTGCGTCCATTATTCTTTATTTTAGGAAGCTGTCCTTTAAATTTATTTGCTTGGTTTTGCTCTTGAATTATCCTTTGTAAAGCAAAATTTTAAACATAAACAATTAACTTTTTTTTCTCCTTATAAAGCTCTTTCAGATTTGCCCTTTTTTCAGGTTTCTCCTTTACTTTTTTCGAGAATATACGGTCGCTATAGGTACCTTATAATCAGGCACACTGGAAATACCTACCTGGATTTTGATTTACAGAGGCTGGCAGCTTCCAACCTCAGAGTCACCTGCAACGTCAGAATTGCTTTCTGTACTCCCTGACACTTAACTCTGTCTGCTTCACGTTCGAGAGACGTAATTTGAAACAAACATTTTCAAGGCAGAGGTCTGACCATTTCAAAGTCTTAAGACTAACACTAAGAGACCCTTTCCCCGTTTCCTCTTTCCAGAAGATGGGGGGGGGAGACCCAGAATAGAGGGGCTGGGACAGGCAAACAGGCACCACCCACCACCGGGGGGCGCTCTCGTTCTAACGGCCCCGAAGCGGCCCCAGTACTCTCAGGAGTCCCGCTTCAGCCCTCCAATCCGAGAGGGGAGGAACAGGACCCTCCCTCAACTCTGTTCCTACCTCTCCCTACGGCGGCGCGGTGCCTTCGGGACTCGCCCGTTCTATCCGTGAGGAACTGAGCGACTGACAGAGGCCTGGGGACACCCGACCTGTCAGAAACAAAACAAGGTCACGTGGCCGCGCCCATCGCTTTTCTCCGGGGGGGAAGATGGAAGTGCTGTACACAGTAAAACCGGCCGAACCTGTGCTCACGTGACCGTCTCCTCCGAACGCGGAAGCAAAATGGGGGGGCGTGTTGGTGACCGTCGGGGATGTGACGTCACCATTGTAAACAAAGTCACTACGTTCCTGTTTTCTCCTTCGTGACTCCCCGATCCTGTGCTTCGTACCTTGAGGCTTCACACAGGCGGGAACTGCATTTAAGACAAAATGGAAAAAAGAGGGTTGCGAGCCGTATAGTCCAATAAATGTGCCCGAATTAAAAAATAATCTGCCTTTTACAGACTTACCTTGAGCTAAACCCCTTAAAAATTCGCTGCGACTTAAAGGTGTGTGGGAGGAAATTGCATTTGGTCAACTGTTCAGTTTCCAGATTTTCAACTGGCAGACATTCAACAGTCTCCCATCTAAATTTCGGGACTTAATGATTGTAACATAAACACGTAAGGGAAGTATCAACCCGAATTGCCATATCCAAGTATTCCTGACATAAAACAGGAAGACGAGGGTTTGTTATCAATCATATCTACATATGTCAGGTGTGGTGACTTGTAATATGCACGAGTTCTTTTTAGGCACTGTGCTGTAGATAGAATGTAATTTGCCTATTAGTTTAATAAATGGCGCTGCTGTAATAGCCTTATGGTTGTTAATAATAGCTTTAAGAGGTTGGATCCAATTATATATAATTTATTGACACTCAGAGAATAATCAGGAATGTAAAGTTTTTACATGTTTAGTTAAATCTGAGTCCCAATCAGAACTTACATTTTCAAATATTTTATGGGGTAAAGATATGTTAGATTTAATGTCATTTTTAAGTGATTATCCATATAGTTGATAAATGACTGTGCATTTTACTGAATTATTTGGAAGGAGTTCCTAAGGAAACATCCTGTCTCCTATAGTGGTGAATCAGATATAATTTAAGGTGTACATATCAATGGCCATTACATTGTAGAAAACTCCATAGTATAACTATGTGTGGTATGAAATGCTTCCTTTTACCTGTCCTGGATCCCAGATTCATCTTCATTGGATGACTGGAGAAGTGGGAGGGGAGGGGAGCTAAAATTTAAAAGTGACTCAAAATTTCAAATGTATTTTTGTTGTTGTTCCTGCTTCAAAACTTTACTTTGGATGGTAATTCTATTTTTATTGCTTTAGAAATATTTATTCTTTATGGTTGTATCGTTTTTAATGTTGTAAGCTGCCCAGAGTCACTTCAAGGGGAAATAAGTGGCAAACAAATTTAATAAATATATAAATAAAAAAATAGCAGGGTCTTCCATTCAAATTAATGCTTATTAGGAATGTTCGCTCAATGGAATTATGTTAACAGATAAAATGCTTCCATGTCCTTGATCCTATAAAATTTGCAGTATGTGAATGTCTATGTCTGTAGAAGATAGAAGGAATTAATGAAAATCTACAAATCTCCTCCTTCAGTGGAGGAAGTCTGAGAGAGTCATATTCATGTGTTGAGATCCAAACCAATAAATGTACTTTCCTAATCATCAGTGCTATGTAAGTATCCCTTCTGGCAACTGGAATTAAAAGTTTTGTTAATGTGAAGAAAATATATTCTGTGCTTTGCACGTAATTGGAGTATCCCTTGGACAATAAGTATATTTAAAAATGTACTGAATGCCAAGTGAATTTATAAGTGGCATTAAGTTTTAGGGCACTGAAAATTAAGTTACTATAGTATTGATATTTATAAAATTAAATCTATTACTATTTTTGTGAACATGAATAGGATTCCTCATAGTTGTAGAGCATTGTATTCTCTAGTACACACTTTGCATCATATTACTTTGGCTAGTAAATGCTGCCACTGCTACTCCTTGGGCTCCCTCTGTTGTTTTTATGTGTCATTTATGGCAATTGTGCACTTGAAGATTTATACCCATTTACCTGGGAATAAGTGCTATTGAACTCAGCAGGACATTCTTCTGAGAAGACATGTAGAGGGTTGAACTGTAAATGAACTTCATGTGCTCCATGTCATGATACAGCTTAAACATATTTCTAGTTCTGCAGATTCTGTTTAAATCACGCTGATAATAAATCTGTTCACTAGAACAAGCGATTCCAAAATGTTTGCAGCAGCTGGAATGTGGTTATTGCTATTGCAGTAAACAAAAGAAAAATTACGTTTGAGAGTTTACGGACCCTGGCAGTGACTTCCTTTACTGATGGTTTCATTTCATGGATGCTTTGAAGGAAATGACCAAATATTTAAAGATTCTGATTGATGCTTAAAATGTTAATTGTTCAAAAGTAGGAGTGAATTGCAGACTTTTTAGAAAACATGGCAACATTAGTTTTATTACAAATAATAATTAGCTGTCCTTCACAGCAGTAATGAACAAAGACTCTGCTGAAGCCCACTTACTTTGAGGAAAAAGGTGCTGTGTTGGATACTTTTAGGCACATGGAGACAGGTCTCTGCTTAGTATGGCCACTAAAATTTAGGCTTTGTCAATGCTCAGACAAGTATATTAACATAATAATTGGATACACATCCATACATACATAGAAGCATTAACAATATGATATAGCACTGTAATTAAAGAAGAAAGATCAGGAAAATTATACAAACAATTCCAACAGAGTTGAGCAAATTTCTTAAAAGTCCTTTCTTGAAAAAAAAGTTTAATTCAGATGTTTATATAAACAAATATACTGTCAACCAATATTTGCCGATATTAATAATTCATTTGGATCATCTCCATTAACAAAGTTCACCAATTCTTAGAATCTTCTTGAAAGAGTCCAAGAAAAATGTATGCATTCCTGACCCACAAAGATGTCTCTGAAATTGTGTCACTGTAAAAAATTATTTCCTTTGTGTTTGGTGTGTGTGGGAGTATGTGACATGCTACAGTCAAGTTAAGGCATTTTCTGAATTTTTGATATGCCAAACCCAAAAGATTAACCATCACTGCTCTAGAACGACTCAAAGATCTTACCTTACTTGGTAAAATACCCAGGAAATTCTTATCTTTTTTATGCAGTTATCAGATTGATCTGACTCAGTGTTCTTGAACAAAGCTAAATTTTGTTATATAGTACTGCCTGTAAAATTGGGCAGAATTTGATTATCCCTTGATGAACTACTATCAGTTATTTATAATATTTTATCTTTTGTTTTGACTTTACTTGTAAGGAGTTTTTGTTTGCAATTCTGACCAGTGACTGTAAAGAAAATATTCATACCTTTCCCCAAACCCATAAGGCAGGGTTGTCAAACTTGCAACGTCACATGACATGTCACAATGTATCGTGACTTTTTTTTCATTGCCGGCAATGGGGTGGGCATGGTTTCGCTATAATGCATCCAGCCCATGGGCCGGCAGTTTAACCCCTCTGCCATAAGGCATTCTAAAACAGGCCAGCTTGCTGTTTGCATTCTGGTTGAGCTAGCTTCCCTCAAAAATTTGTCAAATAGCACTGGCATTTCTGAAGACTATTGAAATGCATATTTCAGTAAGTGTTCAATCCTGATGAACACCTGAACTAACTTTGATCTTGCCACCTTCCTAGGACCGTGAGGGAGTGACTGACCCAAAACCACTCAGCTGGCATCATACACAAGGGAGGGCTAGAACCGACCATCTGCCTGTTTGTAGCCTTGTTTCTTTAACCACTGTACCAAAATGGCTGTAGTAATCAGTTCTTAAGTCATATGTACTATACGGTATAACCCAGAAATAGTGCAGTATAAGTGCCACACATCTGAAATTCTCACCAGTCTAGTGACAAAAAGTATTAACAATCCAGTAGCAGAAAGAAAATACATTCCTGTGTAAGTGCTGTGTACCAGAGAGTGTTTAGTCTTCTTAATGATAAAAACTATAAAGATTTCCAAACATTTACAATGTCCTTAGAGTCTCAGTATTTTTTCCCACAGCAACCCTAGTTTGCGCAGTGTCTGGTAGACATCAATTATTGCTGTTTCCCTCAAAACTGAGGTGCAGAAGTGCCAACCACAACTCTAAAAAATTGTCCTTGTAAAGTCAAATTCTTTGATATTAGTACTACAGCTATGAGCTTTACTTCTGATCACAAAGGTAATCTGCATTTTGAGTGAGTGCAATACAACAGTGGAGACCAGGAGATTATATACAGTTTGGGTAGAAAATGGCCAAGTCTATCAAAACACTACAAGAAAATCTCACAAACTCTTAGGAAAGTTTTCTCTGACAAGTGTCTATATTTTCCAGTTTGTTTGAAAATGTAGCAGTTGAGCTACTAACTGGAGCAAGGTACAGGGCTCATATCAGTCTGTACTAAAAGATCTGAATTGGTTAACGTTTATGGTATTGATACTGACCTTTCAAATTCTGAACATTAACGACGGCTTTTTCTGTTATGAACATGCCTGGCTTATCCAACATATGGAAAAGTTCCCTTTCAAGACACAGAGATCCCGCTGTCACATGGGATAATTTCTTCTGGATAGTTTCCAGGTTATGAAATGTATTTTGGGAGGAAGTTGTCCCCTTGCTCATTCTCACTCACTCATACAAAATATTATTTTATTTTTTTTAAAAAAAATTGTTAGTCATCTTGAGTGTTTGCCAGACCAGAAAGACAAAGTATAAATCAAGTAAATATTAAAGTATGTTAAGTTTGAAAGAGTAGCACAATGTTAACTTTCTGAGGTTGTCAAATAGATATTAAGATCTAGTGTTGGTGTTCTCCATAGATGTGAGACATCAGTTATTGGTCATCTTCCTGAAGCAAGACAGGTTTTAGGAAGAGTACTGGTGGGCTTGAATCTTCCGAATCTAAAGCCCTATGGTTCTCCTACCAGGCATAAGAGATCAACAATGCCAGACTAGAACTGCTGTAGATAATTTCAGGAAAATTCTATTCTACTGGGTGGAAAAAAGTAGGAGTTGGGAAAGCATAATAGACTATATATTATTATTAAACACAAGGACTGTTGTGTTAATTTTACTATGATATTCACGCAAGTAATTTTCCTAGCTTTCATAATTCCAGGCAGCTATAAAGCTGATGTTCCAGAAATAATAGATTTTAGTTTAACACCAGACTGAAGTATATCCAAAGCAATCTGGTCATAAGCTGTAGCTCTGATTCTCCTACTTCTATCTTTTACAGAAACAAACAACAGTGTGCAAAGGACAGCATGCTGGGGATAGAATGTTTCAGGAAACAATAGGATATTCTGGTTTATTAAAAAAAAAAAAGAGAAACTCCCAGTATTTTACAGAATGTTCTGTTCCCAGAAAGATGAGTTTTGCCTTCAAATGTTCTATATAGTACATTTTCCATTCATAATTGCAAGGAAAAAAATCATGTTGCTAGTAATGTCAGATTTCTTAAAATTTGTTTGAATAACATAGAATTAAAATAACTGAGAAAAAAAACTGGTTTGCAAAACAGTCTTTTATTGTATCCGTGCCACACATACTAGTGAAAAATAACACTCCTAAAAAAAAAGAATGCTACCTTTTCCACAACATTTTGTTTTAAATGAAACTTCAAGTACTCTTACATAGGTACAAAAAAAAGTCTGATCTATCTGCCTCCAACAGGCCACCACAACACACAGTAGATAAAACACAGTGGTTACAAATTTTTTTTCTTTTTTCTTTTTTGTTGTTTCTGTGGCAAGGCAAATGGAGGGAAATGTTTTTATGAAAAAATACTGTGTGCGTAAGAAATTGTCACATTTTTATTCCACATGGATACAAATGATTATACTCAAATTTGAGGCCCTGGTGGCTTGAAATTATATAACAAAATAGAAAAATGGAAAACTAATATCCCCTACACCCTGTTTTAAAGGCAGGCACTACAAAGATTAAGGAGACTCCACAGTGTTGGTAGAGGATACTTACTGTACAAGCCATATAGCTGTAATTACCTTTAAACTAAAATAAAATGCTACAGTCCTTTCTAAGGCATAAACAATAATGTCTGCAAACAATATGTACACATCATACATATTTAAAACAAGACTTAATATAAACAATAATGAACAGTATATACATATGTTTCATTTTTTCTTCACTGTTTTGAAATACAATTTAACTACACAAGTGATGCAGCAACATATATATAAATGTACTTGTAACTCTACAGTAAAGTTTAATTTTTCGTGCTTTTTACAGCACATCAGTGTAAACAGTTTTACTTGGCTTTGTTTTGTTTTGTTTTTTTTTAATTTTAAAACATTCCTTGTTGTATTTTTCAACATTTAAAGCAATTTTATTTTATTTTATTTTTTTAATTCTTCCTTTTCACAGAAAACGAAGAGTCTGGATGCTATTTAATCATAAATAATTCATAAAATTAAATACATTTACTAAAAATAAACTACAAAGTAAAAAAAAATGAAAAATAGATATTTATTGAAAGGGGAAATACAACTTTTTTCCCCAACTAGAGCTCTGGTGGTTGAATATTCAGTGCGTTTTGATATATTTTAAATTGCTATTGCACTATGACACCCCTTACATTTAAATTCTTTGGGTGTGCTTCCCTGTTCTACCTAAAATAGTTTGATAAAACACACAAACCAAGAACCAAGGGCCATGGTTGCTGAAGGAGAGAAACCTTAAGAATTAGCACTACTCCCCGTGATCCCTTAAGGAAAAATAAAACAGTCATTAGTTATGCATGTGCCTTGTACTTTAATGTAAATACACTTCACATTGCTGGTCTTATTTGTCCTCATTTAAGAAAAGAAAACATGTTAGACTGTAATTACTTCAGCTCACTTTGAAAATCTCTGTCCATTTTTTTTCAAAATGTTTTCTCATGTTGTGGCCAGCCCGACCAATGTCAGAATCATCTTCATTAAATGTTTCACAGTTGTCAAACACAAGCCTGACATCTATAGCAAAAGCTTCAAGATTAGGATACCTGAAACAAACAAACAAAAATAGCATTCTTTTTAAGTGGCGTTAAAACAGAAAAATAAAACTAAGGCACCCAAGGAGAAATGTAGTGTTTTGTTTAAAAATTGGACAATGCTATAAATCAGCAGATTCTACCAAAGCCAACCATTACACATTTTCTATATAAGAATAAAGTCTAATTTTAATACAATACTCTACAATGGTAACACACTTTGTAGAATAATTTCATCTTTGATTGATTGATCCTATGCCATCAAGTCAGTATCCACTCATAGCAAGTCCCACAGGCAAGCCTTCTCAGGTTGATCTGTCCTCATCTTATATAGAATCATATTCATTTAAAATGCCTCTGAGAGATTTATACAGGTAGTCCTTGACTTACAATAGTTCATTTAGTGACCGTTCAAAGTTACAACGGCACTGTAAAAAGTAACTTATGACCATTTTTCACACTTAACGACCTTTGTAGCATCCACACGATCATGTGATCAAAATTCAGATGCTTGGTGACTGGTTCATACTTACGACCGTTGCTGTGTCGCAACGTCATGCAATCACCTTTTGCAACCTTTTCACCAGCAAAATGGGGAAGCCAGATTCACTTAACCGTGTTATTAACTTAACAGCTGCAGGGATTCACTTAACAACGGTGGTAAGAAAAGGTCATAAAACGGGCCAAAACTCACCTAACCAATATCACACTTAACAACAGAGATTTTGGGCTCAGTTATGGTCATAGGTTGAGGACTGCTTGTACCTCCACCTCGTCTCATTAATAGCGTCAATTGGTTAATAGATGTGGTACGATCAAACAAATGAAAAGCATAAGCTTACAACATTTCAAAGCTATGGATGTGTTCCAAAAGTGGCCAGTGTAAATTTTAGCTGCGGTCCAGTTCATATTTATTGGAGTAAATCAGTCTCATGGAAGGACCTGACTTCCAAACACTCTCAGGAAAGCTTAAGGGCTCTTGGGGAATACAATGGGTACACAAATGTTATTTCCCCCCCCCCCATTCAATCATGTCTGATTCTCTGAACAAGTTCCTACAGGTTTCTTGGCGAGGTTTGTCAGAAGTGGTTTGTCCTTGCCTGCTCCTTCCTAGGCATGAGAGTAAGTGACAGAGCCAAGGTCATCCAACACGCTTTGTGCCAAAAGTGGGACTAGAACTCACTGTCTGATACCTTTATACTACTGCACCAAACTGACTCTCAAAACATTGCATAATTTAAAATAAATTAAAACTTGATTTATTTTAAAAGGAACTAAGAGAATATTCATAACATCCACATGTACATACTACCTCTGTCTGGCTACGCTTCTAAAGGCACTAATCTGTGCAGTGACGCTGCCCAGCGTGACCTTCCTTCCAGCTCAATTTCTGAAGTTTCAAGTGTATTACAGATTGCTTTCTTTCGCCATATCAGCATTTTTATTTATTTACTTATTTGTATCCCGCCTTTATTATTTTTACAAATAATTCAAGGCCTCAAATGTTATCTAACACACCTTCCTCCTCCTATTTTCACCACAACAACCTTGTGAGGTGGGTTGGGCTGAGAGAGAGAATGACTGGCCCAAAATCACCCAGCTGGCTTTCACGGCTAAGGTGGGACTAGAACTCACGATCTTCAGCTTTGGAACCTGATGCCTTAACCACTAGTTCAAACTGGGTCTCATATATTTCTCCCTTTTTAGATCCAATCGCACTGCGAGATGAATGGCATGTAAATTTGATAACAAACAAACTCCTGTTTAATAGTATCTCACTGCTGCTATTAGAATTTGAAACCAGAATTAGTCTTTTCAGGAGTCTTTTCAATCCACCACCAGCAGGCTCCACCTGCTGGTAGTTTCCATAAAACCAAAACTATGCCGCATAAAATGTCATGCTCATTTGTCCTTTGTTCAACACTGTTATCAAAAAAAGAAAAAAATGGGTGAATTATTTTCGCCCTGTGTGTGTGTGTGTGTGTGTGTGTGTACACATGCGCTTCCTCACCTCTTGCCAATCTGCAACTGTGCTCAAATTCAGTATTGTGCTCAATTGTGCTCAAATTCAATCTGAAATGAAGGCATTATTGCTATTTCTAATCGATCTTCCTGCCCCCTCCGCCCCTTTGATGAAGTTTAAAAGCTTTTTAGAATGCCTCTAATGTCCTGGTATTTGTGTTCGATTGCTTATTATTGATCTTCCTGTACCCTTTCTCATACTCCTCCCCCAAGACTTTTAAGAAGGGCTTCTGAACTGCAGGTTTAGCATGAGGGCACCAAGCGTGCAACCACATTCAGAAAGGCCTCTGGTGAAAATCTGTTGTCCTGACAACTGGCTGCCATGCCACCATAATTTTGGGCCTGCAAAAAGAAAAGACTTCTGAATGAAGATGTACGACTATAATACCATGGAACTACTGTAGCCAGGTGTGTTCGCTTCTGTATTTCCATTTTTACTATTTTGTTTCATACCACCACTCACAGAAGAGGCTTTTTTTGATTGCAAACCAACAAGTGTAGATTAATACAAGTTCAGACATAAAGGATGTAAAACTGCCAATAGCAAAATAAAATCACACTCAGCTATTTCTTAACTTGAAGGTGATACTCTTTGAAAGTTTTGAGTTCGCAATGCTACTAAAATGTGTTCTGTATCGTTTTAGAACCATGAATATCAGCATAAGTCAGAAGAGACCGAAAAGAGAATGCAAAAATATTCTGATTTCATTTACATGTGAAAGGTAAAAGCAGGAAATTCATCATATGGTGATTTATAGTAATTGTTGCTACTTGTATTGCTAGGTAAATAAATTGATTGATCTTGAATAATTCATGCAGGACAAAGCTTTCAATGGCTATACTGCTATAATATTAAACATTATAAAGCATAAGTGGAAGGATACTATTATGTTCCTGACTTGTCTCTTTCCAGAGGCATTTAGCCGACTGCTGCATACCTGATTATGTGGGCTTTGATCTGATCCAGCAAAGCTTTTTTCTTTTTTTAAAAAATGCAGATATATGCATTGTCTGATATATGCATATACTTGCTGCTTCTCTTCCTCCTGCTGCTGGTCCTCCATTAAGCCCCAAGCATTATCCCACGTCCTTCCAAAGCACCATAATATAACATATAATACAGTATAACAGTACAACACATTATGTACTTCTTCCATTACACCATTTTTCCTGACTCTGTAAATGTTCTTTGATGGTGGTCCCAAGATCTAATACATAATTAGACAATCTTGAGTCCATGTCTGCCTTTTGAAGTCATCAATAGTGAATTTCCCTTTGAAATTCAGCTAATGAATTGATTTTCCCACTTCAAACAGAGTTTGACACCAGACCTCAGATATCTTGCAACAGCTATTTCAGAACAGGTAAGAATAAATAATAATAATAATAATAATAATAATAATAGTAGTAGTAGTAGTAGTGGTAGTAGTAGTAGTAGTAGTAAAGTTGGAAGGGACCTTGGAGGTCATCTAGTCCAACCCCCTGCTCAGGCAGGAAACCCTACACCATTTCGGACAAATGGCTGTCCAGTCTCTTCTTAAAAACTTCCAGTGTTGGAGCATTTACTGCTTCTGGAGGCAGGCTGTTCCACTGATTAATTGTTCTCACTGTCAGGAAGTTTCTCCTTAGTTCTAGGTTGCTTCTCTCCTTGATTAGTTTCCACCGTTGCTTCTTGTCCTGCCTTCAGGTGCTTTGGAGAATAGCTTAATTCCCTCTTCTTTATGGCAGCCCCTGAGATATTGGAACACTGCTATCATGTCCCCCCTTGTCCTTCTCTTCGTTAAACTAGACATACCCAATTCTCGCAACCATTCCTTATATGTTTTAGCCTCCAGTCCCCTAATCATCTTTGTTGCTCTTCTCTGTACTCTTTCTAGAGTCTCAGTATTTCTGCGCACACACACACCATGTTTGTTTGTGTGTGTGTATGTAAAACATACTCATCACAGTGTGGATGCTTGCAGAAGCTATCAAATAGTTCTTTACTGGATATATATCTGATACACACAGTCCAAGAAGACAACAAAAGCTTCACTCTCCAGTGTAACTACTAGTACTACATATTTACTCACCTTTCCAGCCCTGAGTGTTCACCATTATGGTATTTTAGAATCTAAAATATTAGACATCAGACTCTGTCTGGGTTTTAATTAATCAAAGTGGATTTAAACTTTCACTTTTTCTTTTCTGTGCTTCCTCTGATTTTTACTTACTGTCCATTATTCAGCTTCTCTCGAATTGTAGAAAAATCCATAGGTTTTTTAATAACTTTCCTATAACCAGGAACATGTTTCAAATTTACAGGAAGGAGGAAAGGCCAGGCATCTTCATGAGTTTCCAATTCAGACAGGAGCACACTAACAATATTTAGAAAGAAAGTCACAAATCAGTTCTCAACTATTTTGCACCTCATGTTGCAATGAATATCAATAAAAAAAGTCAAATGGTGTATTAAAAAGTAACACATTTATTAAGGGATTAGCTACAATCCACATCATCTGATGCAGAGGAATCTTTAGAAAATATTTGGGACAGAGGAGAACAGTAAAAACCAAAATGAGAAGAAAATGATACTACAGAAGCTGTATAGATTTGAGAGACCAAAATAACCACATGAATATCAGGCACTGAATTATGCCCAACTTTCTGCACTTTGCATCAAAACCTATTTCTCCCAGTCAAGCTTTGACAACAGAAGGGAGATTAGGTGACTTCCGGTAAAAAGACGGCCAACGGACGACGTGCCAAGGGAAGGATCCTTGAAGGATTTTCCCCTCGACTGTAGCTTTTTCAACTTACCAACAGAAGGAACCAACATTCCTTTAGTTTATATGACTCTCCTAGATTAGGGAAAGTCCTAGAATTATCCCACAAGTTCCTCCGATGCAGCAAAGATCTGCAAGTAGCTTCAAGAGCTGTGTTTGACGCAGCATGCGTGCCGAAAACTGGGGAATGGGGCTGCAATTTGTTCGTTGTTGAAGAAGCAGCTTTTTTGGAATTTATTTTTCAAACGGACAGTAAGTTATGACTTTCATTTCTTAATCATTTTTAAAGACTATTAATCTTCATTAAGCTAAAAGAGGCTCTCTTTAGCCACAGCTTCCTTTTTGAAGATCTGTGTCATTTGGGGGATTTCTTCATTGTTAAACAACAAGGAAGAAGGCTGCTGAAGGCAAGCTAAAATAAGGAAGTGTGGAGTATCTTTTTTTAAAAAAAGTTGGGCTTCTGGTTTTGCGTCACTGCAAGAGGAGAGACGGGAAGGCAGAGTTCTGCCTTCCGCGCCTGATTTCGCCCTGCTGGGGGCCCTGAAAAGGGCGTAAAGTTACCCCGAAGAGGCAATGAAGAAGGAGGGGTGCGGTCTCTCCATTTGATCCAAGGAAAGTCCTATAAACTGGTAGGGGAAAGATCGGCCACACCTCTGTGGCCGGCCCTTAGCTGCTGACAGTCGAAGAACAAAAGCTTTTAATTAGCACATTGTAAACAGCATGTTTGGACTGGGTGAGAATTGTTGATCCTTTCTTTACTATTTTACAACTGAATTACCTGGGAAAGGCTCCCAAGAAACTTAAAACCTCCAGATGTGAATGGAAGCAGCGTTTTAAATTTTTTATGGGAGACAGAAATACACAATACTGAAGTGAAAGTAATACAAAGCTAGTTTTGATAAATCTGAGAACTGAGATAATTGTTAAGGTTTTCTCTTTGGGAAAAAAAAACAATGAGGTGAAATATAAGAAATATAAGAAATCAACCCTTGGTTTTAAGAGTGGAAAATGGACTTTGAATGACATCTAAAGGTGGATTTGAGTACAGCACTATAACTAGCTCCTTGGCTGATTGGTGACTTTCAGCTTAAGGGAAACTAGCTGGTAATAAAGGAAAATATTTTGGCATATTTATCATCCTGACCTTCATGGACTATAACTATCTACTGAGCTTGTACTTTTGATCTCAAGAGCCAGTGGGAGAGAAAGAAAAATTTGACTTTTGGATATGTCTGGCTGCAGGGAGGTTGAACATTTTGAATACTGGGAATATTGTGGATTACAACCTTGCCTGACTGATAATTTTCAGGATACTTGATATAAAGGATTACTATAAAATATTGCTATTAGGACTGGATTATAAAGGCTATATACAAAGACCAGAAAACTAGAGGAAATGTTGTTTCACTCTTAATGAGATTGGTGATACCAGAGGATTTCTAGGAATGATGCCTCAAGAAAAAAACAAATACCTTTCAGAAGGAAATACTCTCTATGCTACAGCAATTTCATCAAATAATTCTTGTACACAAAGAGGACATAAAAAGAAACCATAATGAGACTAAAAATAACGTAGATGATATAAAGGACCAAATCTCCAAATTGAAGCTACAATTGGAAAGCTCCCAGACAGCAACTACGAAGTATAAACAAATAAACCAGAAATCAGAGGATGAAGCAGAAGACATGGACTTACAGATGGAGGAGATAGGAGAAGGGAAATAAGGACTGCTATACACAAATAAAATACTGCAAGACCTACCTATAACAATGAAAATACAAAAGACCCTTTATTCCTTTCTCCAAAATACACCTGATGTCAAGGAAGAAGATTCTAGAAAATGGAACATAGAGCTGGCAGGGGAAATGTCTAGGGAATATGGATGGGCGGAGTTCCCCCCCCCCCAAATACTCTACCTAAATTGTCTTTCTCATGCCAAGCAGCTTTCACAAAAATAGAAAGAAAATTCTTGGGTGATTTAATTTCCTTGGCCTGGAAAGCTGCTTGGCAAAGAAAGAAAGCGAGAGTTAGACTTAAATATAAACCTCCCAACACAAGTGAAAGAAGAGCTCCAAGAACATCTGCAACTTTTAAAAGGACAAGTTTGGGATTTTTTCCTCATGGACATTAACAAGGTTGAGAAAAAGAAAAGCTTATAACTACTTGACAAACATTCCAGACAAAAAAACAATTTTACTCCATGAAGACAAGCAGGAAGGAGTGACTTAATGAGTCAATTGGAATTAGGATGGATTTTTATTGGTCTGATATTTGTAACTGAAAGAAAGTCTTAATCTAAAGTTTGTAAATGTATTTTTTCCTTTATATATAATGTGTTTAAGTAATCCCTAAAGTTTGCAAAATATTATTGAAAGTATATTTGAAAGTATCTATCTTAAGAGAAAGTTAAAGAAAAAGATGTATTAGTTTAAAGAAAAGTTTAGAGTTTTAAAAAGGATGTATACAAGAAGAAAAAAATGTTCTATGAGGGTAACTTGGAGGGAATGATCCAAATTTAATGAGTTAATTGGAGTTGGAAATTTATTGGTCAAAGTGAACTTTAAAGTATGTACGTTAAGAGGCAGTTTTTTAAAAAAAAGTTGTCTTAGAATGTTGTGATTTTAGAAATGTTTTTAAAGAAAAGTTTAGTGTTTTAAAAATGGATGAAAAAAAGTATTTTTCCCTTTAAGGTTAAAGAATCTGAACGAATACAGTGAATTTTGTTAATATAGTGATAGTTTATAAAAATTATTAAGTGCAAATAAAAATACATATTATTTCCACAGCAAGGAAGATAAAGCAGAAATGGTTAAACTGATTGTTTTATTCAAAGAGGAGAATATATTTAATTATGTTTTTTATTTGGATATCACTTCTGGATTTTGTGCCTGTGATGAAATAAATGAAACTTTGACAAATAGATAGATTTGTTATTACAGAAATAGCTAGTTATATACTAATGTGTAAAAGTAAGAAGTTGAGGTTGTAATGTTGTTATCTTGTACTGTGCTAAAAAGAGTCAGAAATCAACACTTTTTTCTTTCTTCCCTTGTACCTTATATTTTCTTTCCTTCTCCTTTTTTTTCCTTCCCTTAATTTCCCATTTTTATTTTTCTTTGTATTTTATACATTGATAAAACAATAAAAGTCATGAGATAAAAAACGAAGGGAGATTAGGTGAGGAAGTGAGGCAGGAAAGAAGCTATGGGAAAGTAGAAGTGGCGTTTCCATTCATCTGTTTTGATCTTAAGTTGGGGCTCTTCAGATCTGTCTTGCATGAGATTAGGGCAGGCTCAATTTTAAGCAGCTCCTGTCATACTTGAGAACCTCAGTTTATTTTCAGATAAAATATACAATTCATATACCCAAGCAATACCTGCATAAAGCCAAGTCCTTAGATTCATCACGTTTCATTTTCTTCACAGGGGAGACACTTTCCTGTTTTGATGGACTGACAGAAATGCCGTCTTCAATTTTTCTCTTTTTGGCCTCCGTTTTTCCCCTTTTAACAGAGCTGCTTACAGATGCTGAGTCCTCATCTTCCATCTCTACCAGTGGAGGGAATTTCTTGCTTTTCTTGTGTTCATTACTTTTCTTCCCTTTTATTTGATTTTTTTTAACTTTTAAAGTTTGACCACTTGCCTGTATTGGAGGAGAAGAAACCAGTAAGAGCAGAGCAAGAATGTATTTATCTCAGTTAGCAAACTTAGTTAATATGTATCACCATGATTTTGTCAATTTTGCTTTCATCTCAAGAGGGCCACAGTTGGCCACAAGCTAAGCCCACTAAAAGGAATTAACTGTGCAGAACCTTCCTAAAAATGTCTTTAAAAAGTTATGAACCAGATGCTTTCAGGAAGCATCTGTGTTATCAGCAGTTTTCTTCAAGGGCAAAGCTTTTATGCTGTGAGAACATGGCACATGTCGATATAACCACGCGGATGAAAGGACAGCACTGGAGATGAATTTATAACAAGGAGCGTTTGACGATATCAACTTTCCCAATTCAAAATTTCCAGGGACAAGAAGTGCTGACTGTAGGTCCTACTAAATTTAAGTCTGGGTTACAAGAGGTTTTGTGAAGGCCTCTGATCCAGCTACCAGTCCTATATACACAATAATGCTCTTTATTAATACTGCCACTTTATCTTCTGATGGTCCTTGGTACATTAAGGAGCCACCTGAAGCTAGCTGGCAGGGAAGCAATCATATAAAGTAAATGGATCCTCTTGGCAGGCAGAAATCAAGGACTCAACAGAGCTGCTATAAAGTCACTGGGAAAGTCCTTAAATGCTTGTAGAAAGTCTAATTCTAGTCTTTCATTAATAAACTTCTAAATATCCACGTATTAGACTGATTTAGTAAGTCAAAGAGGTGAATTCTCTTGTACCTCAGAGACATCTACGAGTAGTCAAGATATTAATGTATAAATTAGAAGTACCGTGTCTTGTAGTTTAGGCACAATAATTACATGCAGTCAGCTGAGGGGAAAAGTGTACAGCTTTATCTCCAATTCACATTACCTTTGCTATGCAGGCAGGACAAAACCAGTCACCATCTGGAATAGTACTGATCTTGGGCCGATGGCAGTATGTATGGCAGCCTTTATCACAGCCATCACAGAGAAGCAGTAGTTCCTCATTATCTCCTTTTCGACATATTTGGCAGTACTAAAATACAGAGAAATTATTTCAGATCCATGCATTATCTTCCACTGGAATATGATAACCAGCATGCTATGAAGACTATAGCAACACTTTAAAATTATGCTCAATATCTGTTGTTATATGGACCATTTACACTTACAGCAGAAGCAGAGAAATAAATACATAGGCAGTCAAATAATTTCATCCACCTACTTAATTTCATTAAACTTACAGATCTTATCTAAGCCAAAATTCCCAACCAACTCAATTAGGGAGGAATCAGGAAGATTTTGTAATGTTCTTAAGGCACTTGAAAATTATTCCCAGTTGCTGTATATTTTGTATTTTCAATTGTGCCATATTTGTGTTTCAGTCTATGATAATTTGGAATTCAAATAAAAATATGATGTTCCCACTAATGCTACATAGAGAAAGTATTAAATCAGGAAAGGTATATAGTGTTGTGTCCTTATGTTGAGTTTATTGCTTGCTGGTTAAGAAGGATGTAAATTTGGCATGGACAGTCCAAGCCCAAAAGCTAAATAGGAGTCACAATTGTCCCAAGACTTCATTTTTGAAGACTATTAATGATAATCTATAATCTTCATTCCAAAGTGTATTTGCTTTTATGACATAAACAATGCCTAAAGTTTGGAAGGAGATGTTTTAGTCCCCAATTTTTAGTGAAGAAACACCATATAAAATGACAGAATTTCCAGTGTTAATGGAAAATCATTCCAGTGCGCACTATATTAATAAAATGTGTTGGAAACATGCACATCACAATAACCAGTGAAAAATAAGTTTGAGAGTTTGTAGCAAGTTGGAGAAAGAGAGAGTTATTTCAAGAGTGACACACTCACTGTTTGTTAGTACTTTCCCCCATTGATTACTACAGCATAAAAAGCTTTATTTTCAGAAATCTGATGCCCAGGATTCATGCAAAATCTCTTACATGCATTTGCATGCAATTTATGAATATGCAATTAACATAGCAGTGCTTGTTAATTTGTTACTTCTATGCGGAGATGGACATCTCAGCTTGTTATGCTGTACAGCCATCCAATCTGCACATACCGTTGTACTGGGTGGGCATGCAAAGAAGCCATGCACATCTTTAAGCATGTACTTTGCATCTCATCTTTCTGAAAAAGCCTTTCATTGCAGTCTTTGACCCAGAACCCTTCTTATGGTAACATAGAAGGCGTCACTTTATTAACTGCATCGAGACCTCTCCCAGGGAGGGGCAAAGAAACTCCATAAAATTCAAAATAAGCCAGCAGAAAGGCTATTTGTCATGTGGAAGGTCAGAATACTGAATTTGGCTACAGGAGGGCCCTATTTTCTTTTTTTCTTTTCAAAAATTTAGCCTGAACCGTGTAAAAGTGCCATTTAATTGTAATTTTGGGATGCAGCGACAATGCTATCAACTTAGGTATCTGGAAAGGAGGAAAATAGGATATGTAAAAATCAGTTCATAACACTTACAACTTTCATAATAGATTTTTCCCATGCTATTGTTTTCTGTAACTGCTGAATGCACAGAGCTACCTGTGCAGCACTGCGAGCTTCTGACAATGCCCTTCTCCATACCCTTAGCCCTGGAGCAATATCCTCTTCCATTCTGCATTGAAATATAGAGAAATTAAGCAGGTCACATCCATTTTCATCAGTTTCTGAACGTGGAACAATCATCGTCACACTGAAAGCCAAGCAATGACAAAAACATACACAGCCAATAAGGGTAGTAAAGCTTAAGCAACTAAATTTGATGTAGTGCACAGACTGTGGCTACGTGCCTCAAAGCTCAATCACAACCATAAGATAACTTTGCAGGATTAACATACGAAACAGAAAAATAAATAAACAAACAAATCTTTGCACAGCACCATGCATAAAAACGCAGTCCGTATGGATCAGAGACATACAAGAAGATACATAGATAAACACACAATAGAAAAAATAGGCTCCAATTAGCAAAGAAGCACAATAATTTTTCAAGTTAATCTCAATAACCTACCCGTCACCATCACCACTAACGGATGGTGCAGGAGCAGGGACAGTAACTGTGCCCACATTATCCAGTTTGATCTGAATGGTGGTACTTAAGGGGCTCTTCAGATACCTTCGCTCTATGTTCCGCTCCAAGTCAGCAAGTCTGGTTACAGCTATATCTAGAGGGTTGTCACTCTTCCGTTCTAGAGTACTTCTACTGCCTTCTTCTCCACCAACACAATCACCATCACGCTTCTTGTGCAATGGAGTGATTGATTTATGCTCATAATATACCAAGTCTTCCCTTTCCGATGCTGGTTCGGGGCACATCCAACCCTACATTTTAATACAAAATTGTGCACATATGTGTTTGGTACTGTAACCATTTCAGTTTGAACAACGGATGGGTCATTTGTTCACCTCCCTAAACTGTGCATCTCTTTCCAGGAGTTCTAAAAAAAAAAAAAAAAAATCAGAGAGCTGATTCTTTCTTTCCTATACTACTGAGACAACCACCCACGTGGACTTTTAAATCAGAGGTTTGTGTTACATTTTTGGGAGAGAAAAAAAAAAATCTGCAATCCAACAAGTTCCTAAGTAATAAATTGGTTTTAACTCACATCCAAGAGCCAGTGCTCTCGTGGGAAATATATAACTGGCACAAATCCCAGTTTCACATTTTTAATTTGTTTTTTTTTTTAAACCTTGTAATCATTTCTGATGACTCAAGAGTAACAAGGTTAGTTCACATTAATTATATGTGATACGTAACACTTTCATATTGCACATTTTGTTAATTCCACAAGAAAAAAAATGCAAATATTTACATATATTTCTTTTTCTCCCAATTTTTAAAAGATGCCAGAAGTCACATGTTGATCAACATGACTAATGGTGAACGTAAATGGAATCAAAGAGCTAGCCTCTGCTCTTCATCAGTGGAACTTACTATTCTGTTTGCATGGAAAATCAAAGGCTCTTTCCCACTTACATGATAATGTGTCTTCCCCTCCTCACGAGCGGAGGAAAAGAGAAAATCGGAGGAAAAGAGAAAATCGTTCTCTACACAGTGATCTTTTTGCTGTACTTTGAAAATAAGGGCAGCAAATTTGCTGCCTGCATATGAGGGTAGTAGGTGCAGTGATTGCTATGGAGCTGCTACTTTTGGAAAAATGAGGAGTGAAAAGAGGACTTTTTCGTCCATCTCCTGAAGCAAGATCCCTGCTTTTAACTCTGTGCTTGCTGGGGAACACAGCTATCTCTTTGCTATCCAGCAAACATGGAGATTAGAGCAAGATCACTAAGACAGGATAGCAGCAGGGATTACTGATAGGAATATTGATCCAGGAGATGTTATTCTTGCTAGAATCCAAAGAAAAAGAAAAGTTTGGCTGCTGGGCGAGTCTCTGTTGTCTTTGGCAGAGGATCCAGGGACGCCCGGAGTCCCACGGGCAGATAGGAGGCTGCTGACCTCCTTCAAGTCTTCCTCCACCATGTGAACCAGAATGTTCACAGATGGGGACACTTGCATTTGCAAAGCACTTTGCTGCAAGCTATGTCCTCAATGGCAGCAGTCAATTTGGAGCTATGTGGATGACACACAAGGCAGAAAATAAACTGCTCAAAGTTGCATTGCTTGTATAGCATCTTTTCCCATATACACTGGGTAGAGACGCTGTTTCAGATAAACTAGTCTATCTTCCAATGAAGATAAAACTGAAACTTTATAGGAGACAGAAAATAGATGCTATTGGTCTCCACTACTCCAACACCTGACAGAAAAAAGTCTAAATCTACACTCAAGTGTTTCCCTGAACCACGCAAATATGAAGTATGATCCCAGAAATGCTGTATTTTGAATTTAATAACATTGCATTAAATTCTACTACATGATTCTGAGGACTTGCGGATCTATGATGGTCATCTTTCCTCCATAATATTTATTTACTGACTTATTTTTATCCCATCTTTATTATGTTTATAAATTACTCAATATTAACATACCTAATGCTTCTTCATCCTCCTATTTTCCTCACAGCGACCCTGTGAGGTAGATTGGGCTGAGAGAGAGTGGCCCCAGATTATCAGCTGGCTTTCATGACTAAGGTGGGACTAGAACTCACGGTGTCTAGTTTAGTGTCTTGGTTCATGAAAATAGTTATATTTTTAAAATCCCATTTCCTATTTTTTCTTTGAAGATTTAACAAACCATAAAAATAAAGTCCACTCCATAAGAAAGGATGACATATTTCATTCCAGGTAGTGTTAATACCATCCTCAAAGTCTTTTGATTTCTTTTATTACCGAGAATAATGCTTAACTCTAGAAAATCTACCCTTTGTAAGTTTGAATTAGCACTTTAGCCAATAATTACTAAATACAGATTTTACTGAAATACGTTTTACCTTGATCTGCAAACTAGCTGATGCCACTCTTCTCTCTAAATCCTCTACCTGTTGAAGAATAGCAATATCTGTATCCATGGCTTGCTCTTCTATGGACCAATTTTCTACAATATCTCGTGTTACTTGGTTTTCATCATTTTCATTTACTTCAATAATTGCAGCTGTATTTAGAAATTAGATTAGGCTATTTTAGTAGGACATACAGATCAATTGTTTTGTAGTAACAATGAGGTCAATTGCAACAATCATTTTATCAATAGAAGAGGTCACAATTAATCCAACAAGAATTATTTCTATAGACATATACTTGTAAACCCAATTTATAGATCTGTAATGCGTTTTGCTTTTCAAATGAATTTAATAGGTTAGAATGTTTGATAATCTTTAGCTCAGCAAAAATGATGCGAGAATGGAGATAAGAAAGTTTTATAAAATTATGCAAAGCACTGAGGGGAACTCAGTCAAGACAGGTTTTTCCTCTTTCTCAAAACACTACAGCCATGGAGTTATCTAGTGGAATGACTGGAAGGAGATTAGAACAAACAAAAGGAAGTATTTCCTCACAACAGCATAATTTAACATGTGAATTCATTACCACCTAACATGGTGCTGGCCACTAAATTGGACAGCTTAAAAGGGGACTGGAAAAATTGAGATCAATCAATAGCTGCTAGTCTTGGAGACCCATTGTTATTCTCTGGGTTGAGGTAGCATGCCTCCAAATACCAGCTGCAGGATAAGAGAAATATCTCCTACTTGTCAACACACCAAGTTAGCCATTGTGAGAAACAAAATACTGGACTAAGACGGGCCTTGGCTTGATCCAGCATGGTTATACTTATATTCTAATGTATTTTTTATTAAAGAAAAATGTCCATTAGCCATTTCATAATTAATAGGTCACCTAGACTTAATGTTACTTCTGTGCCATCTGGGCCATTAGAAGGCAATCTTAAAAGATCTAGTTCTCATTATACCGTTGCATTACTTTTTTTTTCTCATTTCAATTACATACCATCTTTATTCTTGAGGCAAGCGAGAGTAATATAATCCATATGTTTTTGAATTTGCTTCTGTAAGGCCTTTTCTCTAATTCCCCTGAGATGCAACACTTTAACCAAAGCTTTTAGGTCCTCTGGGTCAATAATTCTCCACCAGCCAAACTGCATTTCTGAATCAAAATATGGAGACAAAGAAGGATTTAAAATATACAAATATTCTATATGGGAAATAGGTACCCCCCAAAAAACTGAGTTGTCTGAGATTAAAAGACATGGATATGTGACATCAGGGAGAACTACAGGACACTGAGATCCTTGCTGTTATTGCCATTGTTGCTGCTGCCACAGAAAATAAATCAGTGGTCTGCCACAACAAACAAACTAGGTCATTTTTAAAAGGCCTAGTCTCTAACTAGAACAGTGGGTCTCAACCTTTTTAATGCTGCGACCCCCCAACCAGTCGTAAGTCGAGGACTACTCAACCGGTCATAAGTCGAGGACTATTCAACTGGTGCAGCACCGTTTGCAGACTGGGACTTTTGGCGGGCTCAGCAGGGCAGAGACAGCCTGGACAATTCCTATTGGCTTTTGAAAGCCAATAGAATTAGACTCTATTCAAGAGAGTCTATTCTATTGGCTTTCAAAAGCCAATAGAATAAAAGGGAGTAGCACAGCTAAGGAAAAGGAGGGAAAAAATGGCGGACTGCGTTGTTTGGCGACCCCCATGAAATGGTCGTTCGACCCCAAATGGGGTCCCGACCCACAGGTTGAGAACCACTGAACTAGAAGAAGATGAACCAGGATTCTGTTAGAATTAGTTAGAAACACCTCTAAAAAGAAATAAAAGGATACTGACCTTCTGGGATAGGCTTTGGACTAGGATAATCAGCTGGTTTGGCTACTTCCACAAGAACTGAAGATGGTACAGAAGTTTGCTTCTCAATCTGTGGCACAGGTGACTCGCTTTTGCTTGTGGGAACACTGGGTGTCAAGAAAGAACTACCATTGCCCTCTGACAGTCCTAGGCCAGACCCCATACCAGGCAATGGAGATGAAAATGGATGATTTGAATTGATAACACCAGTAGGCCATCCACAGAACTGAAGTCCCATTACAGGCAATCCTGTCTTCATCTGCTGTACAAAAACAACAACCACCCCAATTTGAATAGTTACAACTATTTGTTATATAATAACTCCATGCAGAAAACTGGAATCAGAATAACAGAATAAGAGTGTTGGAAGGGATCTTGAAGGTCTCCTAGACCAACCTCCTGCTCAGGCAGGAAACCCTATACCAGATATGTCAAACACAAGGCCCGGGGGCTGGATGCGGCCTGCAAAGTGGTTTCATGTGGCCAACAAAGCCATCCTGGAAACAGTGAGGGAACGACCCCCGCTGCCTTGGCCTTGGCCCAGGCAGCCGGGAGCCAATGTACAATTTTGTGGTGGCCATCTATGCTGAAAGGCATTCAGTCTTAGCTCCACAAGGCCATCTAGAAACAGTGAGGAACCAGCCCCTGCCATGTTGGCCCTGCCCCCTGGGTGCATGCTGGGGAGGTGTAACCCTTTGTGAGGAATGAAGAAATGGACCATGCCTTGGCGCTTGCCCTAGTCCCACCCCCCTTCTGCCAGAGACCCTCAGATTGGTCCCACTCCTGCCCAGGCCCCCACAGGCACTCTTGACGCGAACGATGTAGAGCTGGCCATGCCCACCCAGTAGGCCACACCCATTCCATCCATACCCACCCAGTAGGCCGCACCCACCCTGGCCACACCCACCCGGCCCCCGAGGGCAACAGCAATGCTGATACGGCTCTCAATGAATTGAGTTTGACACCCCTGCCCTATACCATTCCTGAGAAATGGCTCTCCAGTCTCTTCTTAAAAACCTCCAGTGTTGGAGCAACCACAAGTTCTGGAGGCAGGTTGTTCCACTGATTAATTGTTCTAACTGTCAGGAAATTTCTCCTTAGTTCTAGGTTGCTTCTCTCTTTGATTAGTTTCCATCCATTGCTTTTTGTCCTGCCTTCAGGTGCTTTGGAGAATGGGTTGACCCCCCTCTTCAGTACAGTAAAAATCAGTACAGCTTTTTAGTAAGAAGATGAACTTGCAATAATTCTAAATCAATAAACACCAAGCCCCAGTATTAAGATATTAGATCCAGGTGTAAATCCCCACTTGGCTGTAGCGCTCACCAAAGAACCTTACATTAGTCATTCTTTTTTAGACCAACTTATTTCTTAGAGCTGCCAGCGTCTGCCATTTTGAGCTCTCAGAGAACAGATGGGATAGAAAAGTATTGACTAATAACAAGCATGTGCAAAGAGTTCCATAAACGGCCCCTCCTGTGCATGGAACAGACAGCATCTGTTCTGGGAATAGAACTATGATACGCATTTTCCAGAAAGATGTTTTGGAATAGGACAGGAAAGAAGGGAAATAGGGAAATACCACAGCCATTTGCAGTGGTACATGGCAACAGTAGCAACTAAAAGGAGGTAAAGGAGAAGGAAGGTGGTAGAAAGATTTGGAAAGCGATGAGTGGGTTGATCTGTTATACTTGAATTCATAATCAGAAGTCACAAGCATCAAGGAGGAATGGCACTGGAAATAGGGGGAAAGGGGGGGCTGTAATTGACGGGTTTCAGAGTATGGATTTAGCTCAATAATGAGCAGTTATCACTTTAAAATATCACAAAAAATAATGCTTTCGCAGTTGTTGACATGCAAAAATATTTGCTTTCAAATCTTTTTCGGGAAAATATTGTAGGCAAAATGAGATTGCCTCATTTTGTATCCAAAGTGTTCCCTTAGTTTAGAAAATGCACATTTTCTAGCATATGCTTCATATGTCCTCATTGATTATAATAGGGAAATTAACAAATAGCCTTTTTTTCAGTTCCCTTTGAGAACTTGTAGGCACAGTAGTGCTTTCTAAGGGGTGAGTGCCGGCCAAATCTGAGAAAAGTAAATATAGGATTTCAGTGTTGAACTCCTATCAGGTGGGAGGGGCCTTCTCATTTCTTGGGAGAAATTTGCAGGCATGGTTGTATCTTCTTGGAGACAAAGTCTACTAAGATGAAACAGGACACTGTGCAAAGAACTACTTCAAAGTAGGAGATTCCATCTCCTCCACTCTAGTTTGTAAATAGTTTGTAAGGAAATAGTACGTACACCAAAGGTACCAGCAGATAACTACATTTAACAAACTTCAGAAGTAATGGACATTTCTGTCCCAATTCTCCATCCCCTTGAATTAATGTAGCCTCTGAAATCAGGACAGTTAAGATATATTACATGGTATTTACATAATTTGTGTTAATTTACATAATTACACAAATAACGGGAATTACTGCATATAACATATTTTCAGATTGAACAGATATTCAGAAATAAGACACACTCCCTCCCCTGGAATGGTTTGTTAAAACGGAGGTTTTACTTGAATACACAACTGTCTAGATTTGGATATTACGGTAAAGTTTCACCTATACTAATTCTGCATAGATAAATATCAAATATCCATAACTGAGTTCACACTCTATGCTAAGCCATAGTTAGTTTTAAGTATGGATCACTGAAAAAGACACAATGGCTCAATTGACAAGTAGTCAATTGTGACATAACCCGTGCTTTACAAACTATAATGACTGGTTCAACTAGCATGATTTCAAACATTCCATTAGACAAAACAAAACAATCATATTAGGGCTTAGTACAATGTTTGAACAAAACTACTGGATTGAATTTTGGAAGCGATTCCAATCAAGAGAAGCTGGAGGGAGAAAAGGAGAGTGATGATTAAACCAATTCCTTTCCTCCTTACAACTCCCTGCATCACCCACCCACCCCCAGCTGACCTGACCCCCAAGATCTTCACACTCATATGCCCACAACTAGTAATTAACTTTCCTTCTTTACAACAAATGGTAATCAGTATTCCTATCAATACTCCTAGCATCATCTGTACTCTTTTTTTCCCCTGTAGAAAGCACACAGAATGAAACTTCCTGTAATGAAATAAAATGCTTACCTGAAGTGGTGACAAGGCAAATGGACTTAATCCTATTGGGCTTGGTGAAGAGGCTGAACCAATAAGTGGAGATGGAACAGGTGAGGGTGATTTGGATGGAGGATGAGAATATGGAGTGAGGGATGAAGAAGTAGTGGTAGCAGCAGCAGCAGCTGGTGAATCTAGGTGGGTAACCGATGTGTCATCACAAGGAGTTCTGGGTAACAGGCTGAACCACTGCCTGCTCTTTTCTGTAAGAGTCTTTAACAGCTGGTCATTTGAAATTAATGGAGAACTATAAAATTTCCCTGGCCCTGTCGCCACAGGATTAAAAAGATGATTTGGATCAGATCGTTCACTGCTGCTTTGTGATGAAGTGGCCTGGTGGCTACACAGTGAGGTTTTAGAGCTATTCTGATAGGACAATGAGCACCCATTTGCTGCGCTGCCATTGGCTTTAGGGGCCAGAATATCCGACTCAGGAGGCATTTTTGCTACTTCTAAAAGTTTGCTTAGCTTTGAGAAAGAGCCAGGCTTCTGCAGGAAGAGATTTGTGCTATCCTTCTCTTTGAGATCCTCTTTTGGATTACAATGTGTCGCATTTAAACAATTTATTTTTTCTTCAGAGGTCTCAAAAATTTCTTCTTTGATATGAATATTTTTGGCCTTTTTCAGCTTCTCTTTTTCTTTTGCAATTTCTTCCAGACCTGTATGCATAGAAAGACAGTTACTTAACTCAATTTACAGCCACAATGGATTTGGTTTTCAGCTGTTCCAAGCGGAAAAAACACATTCTCATCTAAAAAAAAAAATACTCTTGATTTACAGAATAATTTTTTAAGATAGGATATTCATCTAGCATAAAATCAACAATGATAACCGAAAGAATATAACCAGCATGTATGAGGCTGATCACAATTTCACTTCAAGAGATGAAACAGAAAAACAATCAAAAGCTTCCTCTTAACATCTGAACTGAAAATGTTTGATGCTTCAGCTGAAGTTGCTACCAGACAGAAGAAACAGTGTTATTAAACGCAAAGGGGATTTTATGTGGAGAAAGACTTTTTTGCATGCTCTGATACATAAACATAAGTAAACACTTCACTGCTTGTGGAAACCTGAATAAGAGAGGAAGAGCAAGAGAAATGCATATATACTATACCTTAATTTTAATGTCCTAACTTATTCCGTGGGTGCTGTTCCATTTTAATGATGCAGAATATTTTTTAAAAAATAATATGAAGATACGCTTGTAGTGTAACTAAAATTTCTCCAACTCTTTATTGAAGAAAAAGATAACATTCCACAGAATATTTAGAATATCAGTATCAAATATCTCTTTTACACACAGACCCTCCCTCTAAGACAGTGGTTCTCAACCTTTTTAATGCCGCGACCCCCAACCGGTCATAAGTCGAGGACTACTCAACTGGTCGTAAGTCGAGGACTACTCAACTGGTGCAGCACCATTTGCAGAATGGGACTTTTGGCGGGCTCAGCAGGGCAGAGACAGCCTGGACAATTCCTATTGGCTTTTGAAAGCCAATAGAATTAGACTCTATTCAAGAGAGTTTATTCTATTGGCTTTCAAAAGCCAATAGAAGAAAAGGGAGTAGCACAGCTAAGGAAAAGGGGGAAAAAATGGCGGACTGCGTTGTTTGGCGACCCCCGTGAAATGATTGTTCGACCCCAAATGGGGTCCCGACCCACAGGTTGAGAACCACAGCTCTAAGATAATTGAAAAGTAACTATCCAAACTCTGTTCTAAGTAGTATTCCAAATCACAAAGGTAATACTGTTGGGGAAAGACCCATATTTTCCAGAATTTCAAAATAAAAAAACGGGGCTGTGTGTAGACAACAAAAGCAACATGGAGTACTTCCACAAGGTGAGATATTTCCTAACCCATGGTTTAATACCAGCAATAGGGCTTTTATGGTTTGGCAACAAAATTCTGACAAAACATTTTTTATAAAAATGTTATATAAAAATTCCCATTCCGTGCCACCCATCATACTTATGCTTCAAAGAGTCTCAAGGGAAATTATTTTTACTTAATTTATTTAATGTATTCTTTCCAGTGCTTAAATTGCTTATTTTTTAATTAACAATTCTCATCTCAAAGTGCCTTAAAATTAGGCATTATCCTACTATAAGATTCAAGTACCAGCATAAGAAATGTAGTATTGGTTTTTGTTATCAAGCCTTTTCTCCTTTTGTGTTTTTATTAAAGGTGAGTACAATAAATTCAATAACATACATCACTCAAATAAAAGAATGTGGATGAATGTATAATCAATTTATACCTATAAGTCCTCATAAAGGAAATAAAGAGGAACAGACTCTCCTAATTAAATATTTGACAAATATTCTGAAATGTAAACTCTCCAGAATTCTATTAACTGTGTTCAAAGAGCGGTTCCATTTTTTAAATAAAGAAAGCTTTCATTCTTTATCCCCACATTTTCCCACTTCTCTTTTAAGTATGGGTCAACATGCATTAACAATTTCTTCACAAAAAGCAAAAAAAAAAAAAAGGGAGAATCAGATAGAAAGGAACAGACAAATGGGAAGGAAAAGAAATGTTTGGTGTTTCCTCTCTCCGAATTTCAATCTCTCTAGTGACAGTGCATTTGGGGTACCTTTAGGATAGATGATAATCACCTTTAAAGGGCAACGGGCCAGGTTTCTTGCAAGGCTGCCTGTCTCTGTGGGTTCTGCCAGTCCCATTAGATTCAACAGCGTGGGCATTCTTCAACTCCCCTTGGTGTAACAATGTCACCTTGGCATGCCTAAGAAACATCCTTTCCCTGTTACAGCACCTGCCTTATAGGACACTTTCTCCTCAGAGATTGAATTTGTTCCAGATTGTAAATTTGGGATTATCAATAGTTCACAAGGCAACACAAAAGCACATTCAGTCCTTTAGTAAGGACTTGCATACTAGCTTCTGGCTAAACAAAGACTTCGACAGAGAAAAGCATGGACATTTTTTTCAGAGTTCCCAGATCTAGCTAGCGGTTAAGATGCTGGGCTTGTTGACTGAAAGGTTGGCAGTTTGAGACCACTGTGCAATGGAGTGAACTCCCATTCTTGCCCCAACTCCTGCCAACCAGCCTTCTGTGCACTTCAGCATATAATCATGCTGGCCACATGACCACATAAGTATTTTCGGATAACACTGGCTCCCTCAGCTAAGAAACAGAGATGAGCACCACCCCTCTAGAGTTGGACAGTTGGATGGGGGAAACCTTCACCGTTACCTTTTTAGTTCTAGCTTATTACCTTCTCCACTTTCCATGCCTTCAACAAAAATACCCCCACACTGGGGCAAAATCCAGTATCGACGTCTGTAACGATCCTGGCCAAACATCATTGAACGTAAAGAGTGAGAAGCTTCAAATAGCTTTCTTCTGTACTGGTTTTGTTGCTGTTGTATAAAAAAAAGACAATGGTATGGTCATAAAGATTTTCTTCAAAGTTATGCCAATGAATGAGAAACAATTCACCAAACTTTTTGGATATTTAAGCTACTTTCAAACGATACTTTTGTTCTGTGTTTGAGAAATTGAAAGAGTCTAATTGGTGATGATGTGTCATGCTGGACAAAATTAAAACAGATTGAAGGAGACAATCCATAAGCAAAGTTTGACCTTTTGCTACCAATTTCCAGACAACAAAAGAATCAAAGATTTTGACTGCATGAAAGCAAATGAAATGTTAATAGAGTAGTGTAGTGTAGCGTAGCACAGAACATAATGGAACAGAACAGAATAAACAGAGTTGGAAGGGACCTTGGAGGTCTTCTAGTCCAACCCCCTGCTCAGGCAGGAAACCCTATAGTACCATTTCAGACAATTGGTTGCCCAATCTCTTCTTAAAAACTTCCAGTGTTGGAGCATTCACAACTTCTGGAGGCAAGTTGTTCCACTGATTAATTGTTCTAACTGTTAAGAAATTTCTCCTTAATTCTAGGTTACTTCTCTCCTTCATTAGTTTCCATCCGTTGCTTCTTGTCCTGCCTTCAGATGCTTTGGAGGACAGCTTGACTCTCTCTTCTTTGTGGCAACCCCTGAGATATTGGAACACTGCTATCATGTCACCCCAGTCTTTTTTTTCATTAAACTAGACATACCCAATTACAGCAACCATGTTTTATATGTTTTAGCCTCCAATCCCCTGATCACCTTTCTCTGCACTCTTTCCAGAGTCTGAACCACTTTTTTACATCGTGGTGACCAAAACTGGATGCAGTATTCCAAATATGGCCTTACTAAGACATTATAAAGTGGTATTAACACTTCATGTAATCTTGATTCTATCCCTCTGTTAATCAGCCTAGAACTGTGTTGGCTCTTTTGCAGGCTGTAGCACACTGCTGACTCATATTTAAATGACTGTCCACTAGGACTCCAAGTTGCCTCTCACAGTTACTACTGTTGAGCAAGGTATCACCTACTCTACCTGTGCATTTGGTTTTTCTTGCCTAAATGTAGAACCTTACTTTTTCACCATTGAATTTCATTTTGTTAGATAGTACCCAATGTTCAAGTCTGTCAAGATCCTTCTGTATCTTAAGCCTATCTTCTGGAGTGTTAGCTATTCCTGCCAGCTTGGTGTCATCTGAAAATTTGATGAGTTCCCCATCTATCCCCCTCATCCAAATCATTGATGAAGATGTTGAAGAGTACGGGAGCTAAAACAGAGTCTTGGGGTACCCCACTGCATACTTCCCTCCATGTAAATGCAGTTCCATTGAGGACTACACGCTGAGTGTAGTTGGTCAGCCAGTTACAAAACCATCTGATGGTGATGCTGCCTAACCCACATTTTTCTATCAGTTATCAGTTATGACATGTAGCAAAGTATGTGTACATCTATTATAACAAGTCACGCTAATCTGAGACTTTGTGGCTCTTTATATGTAACTAATGAGATATTATATATGGCCTTGAGATAAATTATGTTTACGATAATTGAGCTGTAAACAAAGCTAGTGCTCAAGTGTCCACAGATAAAGACAAAAAGTTAATATGCTGAATGCCATATTTTTGTTTCAGTCGAAACAAAAGGTAACAAATGTGCATTAGACCTGAGAATATGCATTGCCACCTGCCTTTCAAACTGGAGAGGCAGAGGATCAAAAATTTCAGGTAACCCTTTTCCTGATCTAACCTAATAGTTTTGTTTTATTATAATTGTTTCACTATAGATAGAACAAAAAGGTAACATTCCACCTTCAAAAAAACCATCAGCAGTTTGCACCAGTTTTACTTTGAGAAAGAAACCTATGTTATCTTGGATTCACAAAATAGTTTTGAGATTTTTGTAATCCTAGTGAGTAATATTAAAGTTTCTCTCAAGGGGGACAAGTCCATTAGCATGTTCAAGTCTTCCAAAACACACAAAGACTACTCTGGCTCCAGAAAAGAATAAAGAGCACATTAGGATCACACAATTCAAACAATAGATCCCCAGAATAAGGCAATATGATGTGTGTTTTGGAGTGCCCTTTGCAGGTTTTTGTCAGCATCAAATTAGCAGTCATCCGTCTTCTGGATACAGCCCTGGATTTCTGCCTTTTTATAATATCTCACAGATTTAAATTAACCCAGGACCAAGAGCTTGCTTTATTTATACTTCGTGATATCTGTAGCAAATCATCTTTCCTCATTCTTCAACAAGATGAAATTTGGTTAAGACAATAAGGAAACGTCTGGTGAATGTGTATAAAAACTAAGGATCTAGTTAAGAACACTTTAAAAATAACTTTCATCTACCTTATACTATACTGACAGAGTAAACTTTAAATTTATAAAGGTACAGCTTACCTTAGTAAGTTTGTCAATCTGTTTCTCTAGTTCCTCAACACTTGCCGTCTGATCCCCATCATCCTATCACCAACAAATAAAATATGGTAATGCATTATTTTCCATATACTAATTGTGCTCATGGTTATAAAACCAAAATTTTATGAAATATGCCTCAAAAATAACAAATGCATTGCAATCATAAATATTTATTATGGGATGTGGTCCCCAAATGGTATTTTTATTCTTTACTTATACATAGGAAGGCACAAGCATAGCTAAGGACTAATGATTTTTTTTAAAACGTATTGATCTCGGCAAGGCTAGAGCAGTACATATAATGGCATTATGGCTTCATTCGCACATCATGCTGAGCCATGGTTCACTTAATAGGCCATAAGTCTTGATTCCACATAACACTAAGTCATAACAGGCAATTGCATATCACTGTAAATCAAAAACAGAAAAACTTAATGGCAGTTTATTTTCAGCAAAGGACACAACAATAAAGACCTGCTAATGTTTTCCTTCCATGCCTATGTAGTTGGTAAATAAGAAATGTTGATGTTACAATCAAACAAACTCTTGTCATAACCTCTTTAGCAATTTTCAGTCAAGGCTTTTCGTATAACACTACATTAAAGTCACACATACTTTATAAAAGTCAATATAAGTTATCTGATTTATCAGCAACACCTACTTCATCTTCACAAATATCTTTCTTTCCCTTTTTATCATCTTTGTCATCATCTTCTTCCTCATCTTCATCTGCTTGATCATCGCTATAATCATCGTCGTCATCATCATAATCACTCTCCCCTCCCTTCCGTCTCCTCTTTCGGCCTGGTGTGGGAGTACCTAGTGAATGGGGTTCTTCCCCTATATCACCTCCTCCTGTGACATCTCGCTTGCCTGTTTTCTTAGCATGAATGATTCTAAGCCTTCAAACACATGGTAGACAAACAGTATTATGGAGCGTTGCTAAAATATACATATACACAGTTCCTCACATTTCACTGAGAGGAAATCATTCTCCTTTCGCATTTGAACCATTTCTGTCACATAATTTATTCCAGCTTCTGAATCAGCATTGAGAAATGTAATTCACCAACAGAACCATTTTTATTGAAGGTATAAATTTATTTAGCAAGAGCTTTAAAATTTTTTGATTTTATTTGCTAAGAATCATCAGAAACCACAAAATCTCTACTGTTATTTAATTCTTCACCAAATATTTTAGGTCTAACGTGAATGTTACTGTATAAAATTCTGTTACAACAGCTAGGAACAGCAGAAAGATTTCCAGAACTTTTCCTCTAAGCTGAAGAAACAAATTTTTAGCTATATTATTCTTTTGGTCAATTTCCGTAACCTCTTTCCGGACACATTTTAAAAAAACAGTGCTAACTCTAATCAAAAATAATCAATCTGATGCTTGGTTGCGGATTATATGAATACAAATCACTTCTCAAGTGTCTACATATTACTTTATATGATGTCTTAGTAAGCATTAATCTTGTAGCACTCTGGTAGCAGAAACCTTAGTTTCATGTTTATGAAACAAAAGAAACTTACATACCAGTAAGTAAAGTTGTGGTAGCCCTTCATCTCTTACCCTACAAAACAAGATTCCATACAGCAGATGTTACAGCTCTAACTACCAGGAATCTAACAGGCAAATATTCTGAAACAGCCTTCAATAGCCAGGCTGCACACACCCTTTTAATATTTTGGCATGTAACAGAATTTAAGGAGATATGAAAATGTGTTTTTGAAAAGGCAAGGATTTTACAAGAAAGAAAAGAAAGGAGAAAGAGTACGAATTAGGATGGCAAAAGTAGATAAATTATGATAATTGAATGCGTCTAAGTATTTTTTTTTTTTTTTTAGTTTCCTTTTCTTCCTTTCTCCCCCCATCCTACAAAACAGTATTCCATACAGCAAGTGGGTATGATGCAGTGAAGCTGGCTTCTTAAAAAGTAGTCTGGAACTGATTTTTTTAAAAAAAACTCAATCTGGAAGAAGTTTATCAGACTAATTTAAGAAAGATAAAAGGATGACTTAAAATGTTTAACTATCCTCAGTAAGCTCTTCTTTTAAAGCAAAAGATGAAGTTTACTTTTAATGTTCTAATTTGCAAATAATTAAATGCCCACTGCTTGACCAAGGACACATAAGGCTGAAATTTTATACCACAACATATGCCTTAAGTAAAAGGATAGATATCTCTGGATTAAATATCTGCACCAGTATTACAATCATTAAAAAAATAATTAATGATGCATTTTGTGCTTGCACCTTGACAAAGCTCCTACAGCATCCTTTTCTAAAATATTATAGTTCAGCATAAGTAGTACTAGAATAGATCAGCCATCTTGGTGAAGGTAATGAAAACATTAACACAAAAATTAAAAACATAAATGTAAAACTTACATCGATAGTCATAGAGTGCCACTTGATTTTGATTTTCTTCCCAGAGATTTTCTACTGATTTATTGCCATGTTTAAACAACCTCTACTGCTGCTAGTCAATATATTTTACTTTTCTCTACATTCAACTAACAAGAGTAAACTAAAAAGACAGTTCTGGCAGTATGCAATTACTTTCACTTGCCCTTCCTAACCCCCAGTAAAGTAATTGTTTGTCTCTCCATCATTTACTTAGAAGGTTGAAGTCACAGCATCAACAAAAACAGTAAACAGCTGGCTTGATGTTTTCAACATGGATAAGCTACACATTTCTTGTATCTTTGGCAAGGTACAGCATTTTTTTTTAAAAATCACATAATGTCTCTCTTTAATATATTTATTTTTAAGGTGACCAACCATCCTCCTTTAGGGAGGACAGTCCTCCTTTTGTAAATTCTGTCCTCCCTCGAAAAGTGTCCTCCTACATGTCCTCCTTTTCGATATTTGAAGACTAATCTGCAGAGCTTTTTTTTTCTCATAGAACGCTCAGAACGGCATTCGGGTACCCTTTTTTTGATGGATTTTTTCCCCAACTTTTGCATGAGCTGTGCTACTCCCACTATTGGCTTTCGAAAGCCAATAGGAATTGCTGCTGAGCGCGCCAAAACACCCGGCTGGCAAACTTTGCACATGCAAGTTGTCTGTATTATTGTTGCAATGAATAAAATGTTTCTTTTATTTACGATATTTTTTCTTCAATTTATTTGTGTTCTCCTTTTCATTGTAAAAAAGTTGGTCACCTTATTATTTTAGACCATTATCACTCCAAATAGAATAGGGCTGTATTTTACCATTAAAAAAATAACACAACCCAATAATGAGACCGTTCTAATTAAAGGGAAGCATCTTATGATAGCGTAGAAAACACAAGATTGGAATTTGGCCAAAAACATTGAATTAAAATGTTTAGTTAGGCAATAAAACTAAATGGATGAGTGTGGCAAGGTCAACATTCTTAGTTTAATCATCTATACAGCAATCTTAGATTTTGGGGGAAGAAACAGGGACACAGCAAATGAACTTTGGGAGGACGGGCAGAATAAAATTATAATGTAACCTTTTCACACTCAAGAGATCATGAAAATACATGCTTAAGTAAGTCTGATGGAAAAGAAACAGAAAAGTAAATATGAATAATCTTACCTTCTACTAATTAGGTGCATTTTATGCCTATTGTGAATGAATGCCTATTGCGAATAATACTTAATAAAAGCTTTATCATCTTCTACAGCTAAGGATGATACACATCATATAAAAATCTGAAAGAGGAGGATCTGAACACATGCTTTCTTAAGATTGACCAATGAAATACTTTACTCTGTGAGACTTCAACAGATGCAAAATGAAATGAACCCTCAGCTCATCCTCATGACAATAATGAATGGCTAGTGAAAGAGAAATAGCGGCATCATACAAGGTGAGAATTGGGAGTGAGAATGAGAAGCTGAAAGTCACAAAGGAAAGGTTTAGAAAAGTAAAATTTGCCAGGTGGTTGTTTTTTTTTTTTTTTTTTTTTTGTAGAGCTAAATAAAAGAAGAGAAGCAGTTATGACCCTCAAATCTAGAACTGTACTTACATTTTTGGAAGAACAGTTAAGAGAAGACTGAATTCCCCCCTAGGGGAATTGCATAAGGGACTGCATAAAGGACTGCAGGGCAACTTCAAATGTTAATTAGCCCATGGTTAGGGTGATTTAGTACAGTTTTTACAGGAGTTAAGGATTACAAGAGCTCCCAGTTATACTCATGAACACACGGTATGAATTTGGAGCCAGTATCATTAACAGAAATTCACAATCAAGATCTTTTTCTTCCTGTAATTTGATTTAAACCTCTCTTTTTTTTACTTCTTCTATCTCCCTCCTGTAGTTCTCCTTTAGTTCTTCTTTCTTCAGAGGTGCATTAAAATGAGCGGGGAAGGAGAAATAGGATTAGAAACACAAGCACTGTAAGAATTCCTTGATTTGCTAAACAAGAAAGAAAAGTGACTAAGGAAAAGAAAGTGGAGCCTGGCTATGCATAGCACAGGGCTATAGAGACCTCTTCTGATTTACAATTATCTTCCCTTCAAATTCTATGGTAGACTGAGCTATTATTATACTTGCTGTATGGAATTTTGTTTTGTGCAATGGAAAATATAGCATCCTTAAAAACTTGAGTATTTGTTTTGTACCAAACGAAACTACCTCAATAATGGCAAGTATTCCCCCGATATACCATAGGAAATACTTAAAATTATATGACAAACTTTGAGGTATTTTTAACCTATTACCTAAATAATTTGCAATTCTAAAGATGATCAGAACGAAACAACTTGTCCCTATAAATCCTCTTTCAGAAATAAAAATACAGAATTGTTCCAATCAGGTTTTACTAGTGCCAAAAAAACCCACGCCAATTTATTAACTCCACAAACCTTCAAGCGAGAAACAAATTTCTTACAAGTACCACAGTATGGCTTTCTTCCAATTTGAGTCTTTCTAATTCACTACTTTTTTTTTCTTCAATGGACTATCAAAAAATAAGTTACATGATTTACAAAATTAATTTCCCATTTTAATTAAACAAATGAAATTGCTACTTTATTTTACAATGCATGTGGTTTGTCTTTGCAAATAAGCCACATAACAAGTTAAACAGAAATGGTATGTGCTGGAATATTTTAGAGAAGTATCACTTACTTCCGAAGTTTGCCTTCAACCATCCACTTATCTCTTCTTAAATTGGACATATAATCTATATTCTTTTCTATTTCACTGTCAAAGCAGAAAACATTATCAGGCACAATTTATTACATGACATATTCCAAATATATTTAGTATCTGAGAAAATATTTTGTTACCAAATTTATGCGCTACCTATTCAAACTAGTATGAGTCAAGAATAAATAAAATAGTCAGTTTAATGATGACAAATAAGCACAATTATTTCATGGAATGTTGTTGGAGAACCTGTTTTGTTTTTGGTGTTGTTCTTTTAAATGATAGCTAACTGTTGGTACAGAGGTCCATTTAGAAGTTCAAACCTATTACTGATCATTTTATTAGCTTCACCAGAAGCATGCACAGAGAAAATTCTTACCTTATAACACTTTTGCTACAGGCTAATTCATTAACAAGGAAAGCAAGCACAGATGCTTTCTGAGCTGGTGTATGCGCCTGAAAAGCTTTGGTTTTCAAACTCTCAGTGAGTTCAGTTTGCCCACAGTGACCTTCCATAAATATCTGCAGGATTTCAGACACATTGTCTCTGTTGATGCCCACATTCAACAAATGATCCCCAAGAATTGTTTTGGCCTAGAGAAAAAAGTCTGCTTGTAAATAATTGCACTTTGCCCACAGTAATGACAGCACATATGTAATACAGCTTTCTGTTATTTGATAACAAAGAGAAAACAAAAAACAAACAAAATACAAGCCATAAACCAAAGGCATGACTATCTATTAGTTTGGAACCTATTACTATTTTATTTTTGATGCCAGCACTCACAGAACCAATATACTATCTTTAATTTTTAAAACATTTATTTATATTGAAATATACAATACATTTATATTGAGACTTAAAGACCTTTCCCAAGCAACTGCCTATCTTAGCTGTGAGATCTCGCACAGAAAGGTAGATTCAACACCCCTAAACTAATTTTAAGAAAAAAGATATTCAAAGAAATCTAGAGTAAAATAAAATTTGGGAATTACCTGGGGAGGTAGGCAGATGTTTGGAGACCAACATTGGGAAATAATCTAAATATGCTGAAACTAAAAGCAACAGACTTATAAAATGGTATCTGGTGAGGACAGATTTGAAAAGCTAAATAGTCCTCACCATTATTTAAGCCCAGATATAAAAGCAGACATTACTATTAAGTGTTAATAAATGTTAAACAACAAACTAAGATTTGTTATACTCCAAATGTGTATGAAATACAGCATCCTATCTAAGTTCTGTTCAGTCCCTTCATAGCTAACTGAGCGATACTGGAGTTCTAATTGCATTTAGCATCAGCTAATGGACAGAGAAAGGTTGGGATATGTGGGGAAGAGTGTAATAACATTTATACGTGGGTCTTAAGACATGGTTGATTCTTTAACAGAATAACAGAGTTGGAAGGGACCTAGTCCAACCCTCTGCTCAAGTAGGAAATCCCATATCAAATCCCTAGTCAATGTGGTCAGTGGTGTAGGATGATAGGAACTGTATCTCAACAAACAGAAAAGTATTCAGTTATGTGATACAATCCATAAGGTACACTTACTGTACTACCAACTGAATATTTGTCCGTGATACTGTAAAATATTATCATAAGATCAAGGATAGTGTAAGAGTACTCATTACCTTGTATCCTGTTATTAGTCCTGGATCACAAATTGCAGCCGAGAGCAACCTCACTAGCAGATCTTGTATTTCTCCCATGCTGTCTCCTATGTTCAACAATCCCTCTTGCAGAACATTTAAACTTGGGACATCCAGATTCACATCAAAGCCAAGAACTTTGCCGAAGTTGCTGAGGAATTGTACCACCATGAGACAATCTGAAAATGTACTTCCTGAGAGAACCAGGCCTGGAATGCGAGGCAACTCTGGCAAGGGCTAAAAAAAGAGAAAGAACACATCTTTTGCATCCCACAGTGCTGATCTTTGGCAAACTATTTCCAAGAAATGTAGCCAGCATCAAAAGGTTTGTATGTTTTGAAGTGAATAATGCAGACTATCCGGCCTGCAAAATAACTGGTTGTGCAAGTGTTTCAAACAAGCATTCCAATCAAAATGAATACTCAGAACTCTAGATTTGCTCGTTAGACCTCGTTCCCCAATTCAAAACAGATGAAACAGAGAAAGACATTTCTAACCACAAACAGGGTATCAATGATTTATGCATAAATGGTTTGAAGTTTCATTTATTGATAGGGATCATATTCTAGACCCATTAAGTTTTTTCTGAAGAAAAAAAATGGGAACCCTCAACATTTATAATCTAGTTATTATGAAAGCTCAGGTTACCCATAAGTTGCTACTAAATGATTATGTTTGACTTTGACAGAAGGAGGCAATTATTAAATATACCAAGAATAAATATAACAATTTGATTTAGTTAAATTTAACATTTGATCAAATCAAATCTAGCTTTTATTCTGGCTCCAGCATGATACTCAAAGGCTAAGTGTGATTTTTAAACCCAGAAAGGTTGCACAAGCCTGTCTGAGTGAAAACTGCAGCTGGCAAGGTGCCTGTTAACTAGCTGTGCTCAGAAATATCGTAAAACACTTTCTTTGTGCTTGGCTTTCACCTAAAAATGTCTATTTACCTCCTTTAGTTGTGAAAATGAAGTAATGAGAGAACAATAGGCCATAATCTATTCAGTTGCTTTGTAAGGAGTCATAAATTCAATAATAATTATTAAAATACATTTGGCTACATGCTATTTCTGACTATTGTGCACCTATTTCTTACTATCTTACATCCTCCTTGCGGAATTTTGGCAACAAGTCTAACCTTTTGTTTGAACAGGAAATTAGACCAGCAATCACACAAGGCGCCCAAGCATGGAGCTAAAGCAATACTCCCACACATGTCTTTAATAGAAGAGTTTTTATACTGAAAAGGGAAAATAACTAAGCTTCTGGAATAAAGCTAGAACATCACACATTGCATTTTCCTAAAATGTTAATGAAGAAAATAAAGAACAAATACTAGGTCCAGTGTATTCTAGCAATAGCAATCAAAGAGTTATTCCTGATTACTCTTAAGATAAAATATTTACACTTTGTTGTCCATTTCACTCAGCAATAAGCCCATCTGAAGTCTAAAACAAAACAGAGCTGGTCTATGTTGTGGGTAGAAGCAGAAAAGAGAAATCATCAATGGGTTTGACCATATTGGTCTTTTGTTTTAACCTACACAAGCCCTCTTTACGACACGCTTAGTGTGCAAATGTTAATAATATCTAATGCAGTTTGGTACCCTGCTATAAACATTCTATTATGGACTATTGCAGACTATATTCACTTTATGATAACCGCCAGTTTAAAACTGCAAGGTACATTTTGGACCCAGATAAAGTCAGATAAAAGATTAAAAATAAAAACAAATAAAAATATTAATTTTCACCCATCATCTCTTCTTGAATAGCACCTGAAATCAAATTGACCTAGACAGATGGGAAAAAGCTAATTTTCAAATTATGCTCCATTGTAGTTTGTTTTCTGAGGAACAGTGACTTTCTCTAACGAAAAATGTTTTCCTTCTGCATCGTGCAAAATATAACTCTGTACCATGGAACTGGTGGTGGAAAAAAAATTCTGAGAAGCTATGAGTGTAAGAGCTATGCTGGACCAGATGAAAAAAAAATGTTCTTGTTCCTTGAAAGGAGCAACCAAATGCCTCTCAGAATTCCCAAGCAGGGTATAAAGGCAAAAGCTTAAAGAGGCATACTGGAAACCTAGCCAAGAGAGTTTGAACAAATACCCAAACATTACAATATTGACTACTAGTTAAAGAAAAACAAAAGGAAGCATACAACATCACAGTATCTGCTTTAGTGTGGATACCGGTCATCCTGAGACACTGATATAATATTATCAAGCAATCTAAAGTAAAATGGACATAATTTTAAAAGGCAATATAGTAAAAAAGAAATTGCTACAACAATAAGAGAGGAAGAAAGGATAAGCAGCAAGGAAATGAAAGGTAAATTTACATGATTCTGATTACCTTCTGGTCTGCTAAGCACATATCTTCATTAGGCTTCTTTAGCTCCTTAGCTATTTCTAATTCTAATCTTCGCTGTTCCAGTTTTCGTTGTTTGTTTAATCTCTTTTCATCACGTTTTTCTTGTTTTAACCGCTCTTTCTCCTTAAGTAGCACAGGACAGATAAAAAAGAATTAAACCCCATAGAGTCCACTTACAAAGGAACAATTCAACAATTTGAAAAGCAATGGTTACATAATCTTAAATCATCATCCCAGCAATTAAAACATTTAGGTAAAGGGAGGGGGGGGGGAAAACGCCTGAATTTTAAATACACAAAAGACCAAATCTTGCAAGTGAGATCTGCCATAGTCATTTCTGCAGGAAGATGCTACTTAATCAGTCGGCTCTGGAGTCTTATTTTCAAGAACATGAATGAATTCTGTACTGTGAGAATACAAACAAGAGCTGCACTACATTTACTGTAAATGCACAGAAAACTCTTAGGCTTAATTGAGGCAGAGTTTCTAGAGTCAGCAGCATGATACATCCTCTTAAACATCCCTACTTTTAAATGAATTGCTATGTGACAGAGTGTGAACACATCTGATTCAGTACCAAATGCACACTCAAAGTCAAGGCATGTTGGAATTCTGACATCTGCTGAAAGATTGCCTCCAACTTCACCGGAAACAGCAGGGAGACATATGTATGCAAACATCCCTCCCTCCCCCAAAACACATGACAGCAAACAAAAGTACTAATAGAAGTTCTAGTTTCCAGTTAGAAGAGAACACAGGATCTAAGCCACCATTTTCATTCCCTTTTTTTCCTAGATAAAAAAAAATATTATCCCAGCATGATATATATATTACCTTACTGGTATACTTCTTTTATTTTAAATCTGAAACCACCTGTAACTATTTGTACAGTATTTTCATTTGTAATGGTATGTGGGAATGACCTTGGGAGGCAGTCGGAAGAGCCACAGGCCAGACAAACTATCTGATATAGTAAAAATAAAATCTTGAGTCCGCAGATGAAATGGGGGCATGGCAAAGGTCTCAGAAGGAAGCCTCCCTAGTTTCTTGAACAGTAAAGGTGTGGGGGGGGGGAAGAGATGCCCTTTCAGATTTGCAAGGTTCTATTAATGTAACCTTACAATAAAGTAGAACTAGTAGTTCTGGGTGTGCTTCTTGTCTGGGTTACCTTGCGGGGCTGACATCAACAGAAGAAAGGCCCTGAATCGAAAACAGAGGAGCGTGGAAGCAAGAGGACTCTCCTAGTGATAAGGCCAAAGGATGACTTCTCCTTAACGATGCTGCAGTTGATAATGATGACCAAGCCCTGCCTGCCTGCCTCTGGGCAGCAAGAGGAACCAATCAAAACACTGTTGATTGCAAATTTGCACCGAAGCGGACACATAGGCAAAAATTTGGCACATATAGCACAGGAGAGAGCCTGGCACTCCCACAATGCCTGCTGTCACCCAGCGGCAGCATATAATCCAGATTCTCAGAAACCTCCCCAGAATAGGATTCTTTATCCCCAACACACATGGTCTGGGAGTCGTGTGCATCCACCTATCTTTCTCCTGCCTCATTTCTTGGACTAACTTCCACCTTGCAAAGGGAGAGATCAAGCAAAAAAAAAAAAAAAGAGGTTCAATTTGTTCTTATTTTGGGTCTGAGTTTTGTGTGGTAGGCCACACTGTCAGTCTGTGATAGCTCAGTAGATAGTTAGATCTAAGTGATCATGTAACTAATACAGTATTGATAAAGCAGGCAGATTATAGGTTTTAACACTTAATAAAAATGGAAGATCCTGAATATATTGATTTAGGTGTTAAAAATCCACCTACTGAAGACATCAATCCTATGCTTGTCCATTCAGAAATAAACTTCACTGATTTCAGCAGGATTTCTCGTCAATTCAAAGTATATCAGACTGAATCTAAATATCGTTGCCAATTAATGATTGCTCTGTTTGGCAATGGTTTGAAGTTATGAGGTACCTGAAAAAATAATTTCATGACCAATCCTTGAAATTATGACCGTTAGTGTTTCCTTGGTTACATAATTGCGATTCGGGTACCTTATAACCTGCATGAATTTATGACTGTGACAATGTCCTGAAGTCACATGATTACCATTTGTAATCTGCACAGCTGACTTCCAAACAGTAAAATCAATGGAGAAGTTGGCAGTAAAATCACAACTCACGGTCATGTGATGTCTGCCATAATGACCACAGGTTATTTGCTTAATGATCACAATAGGACTGGTGTTCAGTCTGGTGCGGTCACATAACCTTCCCCTTATGAACACGGCATTTAGTGACAGAGTTTCTGGTCCCAAATGGGGTCATTAAATGAGGACCGTCTGTTTTAAGTAACCAACAAAAGCTTGTTTTCCCTCTAACTTTGTCTTTTATCTATGAAGTTTTGCTCCCAAAGTAGTATGGATATGCAATATTTGCTCTTATATTTCAATTATACCCCACTAATACTAATATCATGTGAAACTAAGGTGGATAAGCCGGATGCTCACAGGGTCCATGTAAGAAGATGGGACTAAGAAGATACTGTATTGATCAGTTCCTGGGAGGCAACTGGACAGATAAACATAGAATGATAAAAGCTCTATTTACTCCCTCTACTAAGCATTGGTTATCTCTGCCAGAGTTGCTATTTATTGTAGTGTGGATGCTAATTGCATGATTAATGGATGCTCTTCGATGTCCCAATGGCATCACAGACCTTCCAGCCAATCCTGCAAAAAGAGCCTTGCAATCCTTCTTCGTGCAGGTGGTTTACTATTTCATCTGCTTCCTCATGCCTGCCTATCTCTTTGAAGCACTGGGCTGCTATTCCCCTTTGTTTCCTGGATGATCTGATGCAACTGTATTGTGCACAAGAGCCTACTGAGTTTTGGCTTGCTCATGTTTGAATGGAAGAAACCACGGGGGTGGGGGGCGGAGCCCTGCAAAGCTGGTATCCATGTAGAAGGGGCCCAAGTTAGAAAATGAACAGGGCTTTCCTCTTGTGTATCGTACAAAGAAGTCTTGCTTTGCAAAGCTACAGAGTGAAGGATGCACTGATGCTGGACACTATAGAAATGCCCAATATATTTATTCATGCATAGTCAGTCTGCACGCTATAGCATTCTTAGCTGAGCAGAATTGTACTCATTAAATTCCAGGGCAATCTGTACCTATTATTTGAACATGGGGAAACTGCTTAAATAACCCATATTGCTGCAGCTTTGCATTGCCCAGGGGAGCCATTATGCTGGGTGGGCTGGGCAAAACAGAACCTTCAGGGGAAAACCGACTTGGCTTGCTTCTAAGCTGTATTGTTTATTCAAGCCTGCTGGGCTCGGAAAAACTATGCTTAATCATCCTGCAGCATTACTTACCTCCTCTAATAATTAATAAAACATTCTTGGCTGCTGCATTTGGTTTTATCGATTTTAAACGGTCAAAGCGTACACACAGAACACTTAAAACTGAAAGATGAGTTTTGTTAAGTAAAACTAGGACTAGATTCCCCCATGGTCTGTTCAATAGGCAACCAGGTGGTATAAATCTTCAATCATGGAATATTCAGAGCACAAGACTCACTCGGGTGCTGTGAATTTAATTCTGCTTTCAAACTGCTTATTAGACAACTTCTAAAACCTGAGATACGCTTCCATATTATGACTGCCGACAAAACTGCTGACAGCGCTGCTTAGTGATAAATGCATGTTTAACAACCTTTTGTTGCTTATTGATCCTCTGAGAGTTATTGGGAGGGAGTTGGAGGGAAGGAAGAACCAGTGGTACAATTGTAGCACTTTGTTATAGAGTTCATAGAGGCAAAATGAAGATAAATTTCTGGGTGCAGCCGTCTGAAGATTTAATGGCTCTAAGAAAAAAGGCAGAGACTTGAACAAATATAACTAACACAGACACACACAGAGACACTGGACCCACTGATGGTTGCCTCAACTGTTCAAATTTCCAGAACCTAAGATCTGCTCCCAACAGACTATCTACAGAATCTGGATGACCAAGGCATTAATTCACAGAAGTTTATCTTTCATAGCATTTGAAATTGCATATTATTGATATGGTGTTTTTAACCTTTGAAATTAATTAGAGTTGATATAGATTCTTTTCAGCTATAACTACTTAAATATGTAACTTTATTTGATTTATTAATCTTTGCTTTCAATGTTTTCAGCTGGATTCAAAAGGATATTGGTTTCTGAAATTAAGATTTTAATTGAAGAATATTTTAAGCATGTTAAATTAATCAACCAAAGTATTAGTGATATATCCGTTATGTTGCACACTGTATTTGAATCTAATTGCCCTTGCGTTATTTTATAGCCTATGCATGATGATCATATAGTATGATCTGCAATTATTAGCCCTTACTCTCTAGCAATGCCGAGATAAATATTTTTTAAATTTTGGCTTAATTCGGAAATTTATCTACAAAGCTTATACTTCAAATTCTGGAACCAGCAATAATTTGGAGGAAACGCTAACAGTTCTAATAGTTGACACATAATCTTAGTTGTTATTTGACAAGATTGCTAGTAATAAGTATGGTATGTTAGTAATTTCCCAATTTTTGCCTTTAGATAACATTTTTCACGTTACTGTTTTCCAAGCAACTTCCCCATATATCCTTACTCTTTAAGCAAAATTCACACAGAGAGAGATTATGTTTCATGCACGCTCACCATGAAAAAATAATCTAGATCAGTCTTGGTTACTGTATGGATAGGTGACCACCATGAAATCCCACTATTTATATACTATTGCTGAAAACTGTATGAAGGTGTCTTAAACAGACACTATGAGTCAAGACCAATTTGATGGAGTATTTCCTTTTTAACAGTTCTTTATAATTGCATTACAGAGGAAAATCAAGCAGTTCTTATTTTCACTGAAGCATCCCTGATTATTCTCCAGAAAATGTAATATTGCCTAAAGTTTAAATACTTATTATATTTGACAGTGTCTGACAGCACTGGAATGAATAAGAATTCCCTCCCTCCCGTAAACAATTGTGATTCTGAACAAGACTATGTCTTAGTCCCAATCCAGGTCAGGCCCCTACAACAGCTTTTAAAAAATCAGCCACATGGAACCAAATGACACTAATTGAAATTGCTTCATGCAAATGCCATGCCAAATGTAACCCAGAGTTCCATTTGTTTCTTGTATGTGACAGATTTGATCGAGCAAATAGGGAAATATGCACCTATAATTATCATTTATTTCAGAGTTTTATATAAAAATCACAGAGGAGAATATTCTGCACTGGGTTCAGGGGGGGCGGGGGGAGGGGCAGAAAGGCAAAATCTGCAAATTTAAGGATGACTGCATTTGCAGGTAAAATTTAAGAGCATGAAATGACCTAATGGCAAAATGAAAGTAGATTTACTGACTGTAGTTAAACTACCACTTGTGCTTAAGAAGTTTGATTAGAACTAGATTTTTTTTTAAAGAATTAGAATATTGGAAGAGAGGAAATAGAATCAGACTTTAATACTCACTTCTGCTTTTTTACGTGCTTCCATAGCTTTCATCAGCATCATATGCTGCCTTCTTCTTTCCCGTTCCTATTAAATCAAATCAAATTAGAACAAAGTACTACTGAAAGTAAGAGTTTATATATAAATATATATTTAAAAAAATTTCCAGAACTTGACAGGACACGTTTTAGCATTAACAGACAAATCAGGGTGTATGCTAAATAAAAATTATAGCGAGTCTGTGCATGTTTTAGTTCAGGTTTAGAAAGCAAATACAAGTACAACTGAAAGCAAAAAAGTAAAGCGATGAACATGGAGACAGTGTAAAACAGAAGCATACAGATTTACTTATGGTCAGTTGTGAGGCTCCTTCAGAAGCTGGCTGAACAAAAAGCATAATGGTTGGCTGGAACAGGCCAGTTACCTTACATATGCTGTAATAGGAAGTTTGTAGTCGCTCGCCGAGTGGCCAATTAAATTTTTAAAAACTGTAATACAGATAACTTTGGAAAATAACCAAAAGTTACTTTCCCCCCCAAAAATATTCAAAAACCATTTGGGCTACACATTGGTTATAACATTCATTTGGGTATGTGTTGCTGATGATACAATTAACATTGGCAGCCAATCATTGAAAATCAACCTATTTGGTTTGAAAACTAGCTTCCGATGAAGTAGCCATATTTGAACAGGAATGCAAAGAAATAATCCTCTGGGTTGTCCCTCTAAGGCGAGCCAAAGAAGCTGCACCCAGGATTAGGTTAATGTTGGTTTAGTCCTGAACTAGAGCACAACAGGGGGGGGGGAGAAATGGCAAAGGTTTATCTAAAGACCAAAATCGTGTGGGTTTATTTTAATATAGCCCAAAGACTGCATGCTCTTTAGTAATTTCAAACTGAGGTATTTTTTTTTCCAATTGCACAACACTGAAGTAATCTAAAACTCACATGTCTCTTTGATGTTAGCATTAAATAAATTGAATATCATTTCCCAAATCATGTGCGCAAATGGCCTAGTGAAAATCACGGATAACCTATTTATACCTTGAAAAAATAAGTGTAGGGTAATGCAAATTGGAACCCTCATTACGTTCAGCAGTCCAACTTGATACTACAGCAAAGAAGATTCTGTTAACAAGGCAACAGCCTCATGGGTGGCTCAGATGGGTCAATTTATGGTTAAGTTTCGGGTAAGTTGTGTTCTTTTCTTTTACAGACAAGACAAGCAGATGTATGCAATGCACTGTGCTGGAAAGCCATGCAGCAGTATGTAATATGACAGCAGCCAGTGCTACATTTTATGCATTGCTATGACAACCATATCACAACCAAATCACAATGCGGTGTTAGATGTACAAAAGTAAACATACCCATACCATATCTAGTCTATGCCTCTCCAACTCCTGGTAGAAAGAGTTGGCACAATATTATGAAACAGAAATCACAGAGTCAAAAAAACCACTTTATAATTCCCCTCTCCCCCCCACCCTGATCCCATACCAAAGCAAAGCTATTTACCCATAAGGTGAATGAAAACATTTAAGTAAAATGTTTATATATATTTATAAGTATATACTGTATATGGGAGAACATTTGACAATTTGTCCTCCAAATTATTTAGGTGTTCATTCAAAAAGAAAATTTCTGTTGTTTTTTTTTAATTAAATTTTGGATACATACCTGATGTTTCAGAAGAACAGCTTGCTGTCTCCTCATTTCCTTTTCCTTGAAATATGAAAAAAAAATCAAGTATCTGATAAATGTTACTATCGACTAAAGATGACTTTTCTACCATACTGATCAAAGTAAAAAATTCATGTTTTTTTAAAAATGTAATCCCACTGTTATTTATTTTTCTAATAATCTTCAATGACTTGTTGAATATCTTGAAAACACAATGTGTGGAAGATGCACTACAGTGGTTATCAGATCATGCCGCGATCAGGAATGAGGCAACATGATAACAAAAAACAAGATTCATATATTCTGCATAGACAGGCAGTTGTGTAAAGCTATCACCCCAAACCTGACAGGAATAAAGTAGGATTCAAATGTTCTGTTTTACTACCCAAACAAACTTGCATTGTCAGAAGAAAACTTTTATGACCTTCACGGTCCAATTCTTTTTCTATAGATTAATTTCTTTCCAACAGTAGCATGGAAAATTGGGAACAGATCCAACAGCTTGAATCAGAGCTCTTTACATGTATTTCAGAGTTGCCTCAAATCTAGAGAAATAATCCACTTCCCCTCTTCCTTCTATTGTTGAGTCTCCAGTACTACACTGGATAATTCTCTACACTTAAAGAGGAATTTTTAGGGAACAACAGTGAAAATAGAGATTGACAGCAATAGGGAACTCTGCTCTGCACAGAAGATAACACATAGTTTTTGGGATCCTGACCTCAATCTAAATGTAAAGCTACATATTTATTTAATGGCTCATGGGTTTTTTTTTTTAAATCATGTATGAACTTTTAATTGTTTTCATTATTATTACTTACATATACATATACTTACATATACATATGGAAGCTGAATGTCAGAAACATATGCTTCAAACCCTTTTGTGTTTTAACAGACTATATATGCACACACACAAAACACAGAAAGACACATGTATATGCCTATACAGAGCAAAGCACTCAGAATAAAATGGTGGTGATTTTTAAAGAAAATATTTGGATACATTATCAGGTTTGATGTGTATGATCATACAATTCATTTTTTAAATGGTTGGAAAATAAAAGCTCTGATGCTTCTCTAAACTAACCTTTATTCGTTTCTCGGCTTCCAATAATTTGGCATTTGCTGCTTCTTCCTTCTTTTTCTTTTTAGCCTGTGCATGCAAAACAGGTCCCAAGGTCATGCAAGAGAACGCTACAGCTTGAAAATAATCTCAGACCAGCAATAAGGCTTCATGCTTCACAAGGTGCGAAACAATACTACACACCATGTACACATCATAACAGATTTCTTCCTCAGTTCTTTTTTTGTGTTACAAGTCATTCCATTGATTTTTTTTTCTAGAGGAAAGACTTACATATGTACAATCTAGGAAAAACATCATATATAACAACATGTCATCTTACAACACGGCTGTACTACTGAACTTCTAAACTTTTTGCTTGAAGTGGCATGTTTACAAACAAATGAACAATTAATGATGAATGATGTTTTTTTTATTCCCTGGATAAACTTCATTTGTGAGTACACTTTTCAGGATCTAATTAAGTCAGTATATATAAAAAAATAACATCTCTTTGGCATATTATAAGAACCACATTTTCCCCGATCGATGGTTAAACAAGTATAACAACCACGATTAAAAAGAAATGTTGCCAGAAAGATCAGAAATGGAAACCTGAAACAGGAATCTTAAACCTCCATTTTCTCCAGTTTAGTTACATATAGAATAAATACAAACAACATTTTGCAAAACACAGATTCATACATCTCTTAGAAGTATAAGCATGCACATTCTTTAAGATTAAAATCATGCTATTCAAATATCAGCCTTAAAGATGCTTTCTTAGAAATACACCTTTGTTTGTTCTAGTGATTCAACCAAATTATCTTTCCCTTCTTGGCCTTCATCATTTAGCTTTTTGATATCTACAGGACTAAATAGGCAGTGCTTACTTTCACACTGTTCTAGATAGTCATTCCCAGGGGAGACACAAGGCATAAAAGGGTGAGGAGAACTGGTCAGACTATCTCCTCTTTTCTTCCAGCAATTGTACCAGTGAGTGCAAATAATTCTGCATTCATTCAGAGAATATTAAATTGATAAAATATATCAGAGCAACCACATGTCTAAATTGTATTTTGCTGCTTTTTATTTGGTTGGGATGAGAGAATGGATGTTTCTGAGAAAGAAAAGAAATTTCTTAGAAGGCCACAATCTGAGTTTGGATGCTATGGGTATTTGTGGTATGGTAAAGTTAATGTGGATGTTAAAAGTTATTTTATTAGTCATACTGTATTGAGAATATGCAATAGATATAACTCAGGTTATACCTAAAAGTACCTTTATAGATCTCAGCTCAAGAAGCATATTACAGAAGAGAAATGGAGATAAAGATAAATGTTTGACATACTAGCACTTATTGGAACATTATCAAGGCGAATTTAAGATCAAATCAAGAGAATAATTAATAGAAGAAGGATATGTAGTTGTCAATGGTTCTTTCATTTAGTTACCTGAAAGTTTTAAAATGGACAAAAAGACTTATGGTATAGAGTCACAATTTGTAAGTCAGAATTTGAAATACCATTGTATACAGATGATGAATTTTATTTATGAAGAGAATTGATAAAAACATATAAACTTTTGTTGAAATTTGAAACACAGGAAGAAAAGATTAAAGAATGTATGATAATGTAGGCTAAGAATTCTGGTTATACAAACAGGCCAATATGTGATTAAAATTTTGAAATTTATATTGTCCTATGACCTCAAAGAGAATTTTTAACAAATGTACTGTTGGTATATGATGCCAGAAAAATTATCTAGAATATATAAAGGAACTTCAAATGTACGTTGGAAATGTGAACAACATGAAGAGACATTCTATCATGCTTGGCTAACGTATAAAAAAAGCTAAACAGTTATGGATCCAAATACATACTTTGCCACAAAGAATTGTAAATATTAATATTTAATTGAAGGCAGAACTTTTTCTCTTAGGATTAATGGTTAAACAGTTAGAAAAAAACCATGGAAGATTATTTCAATATATGATCGCATATGAAATGGAAAGATTTGACACCACCCACTATGGAAGAATGGTTGGCTGACAGATTTTGCTGAAATGGATAAATTGACTTCTTTGATAAGTTACCTACATTTATTGCTGACTTGTGGACTTTTTTGCGTAAAAATGGAAAAAATTAACTTGTGATTTATGGTTTTGATGATTAGACAGGATAGCATATAGAAAGATGAATATTATGATATAAATTTAGAGAGAAAGGTCAAAATATATTTGTACTTATAACTGCTATGAAGAATACTGAAAGCCATTTCTTTATACTTTCTTTTCCTATTTTTTTCTCTTTCTTTTTCTTTCATTTTTTACTTTCCCCTTGCTTTCTCTTTTTTTCTTCCTTTTTTACTATCTATTAGGTTGTGTTAGCTAATTAGTTTTAATCAAAATTATATTTAAAAAATTATAAAAAAACCAGAGGGTTCTCTCTCTCTCTCTCTCTCTCTCTCTGTGTATTTTTGTGTGTGTATCTGTATGTCTGCGTACACTGGAATATGAGTGAATTTACCTACTGCATCCTGAACATGAATGTATTTATTGTGGCATCAGATTTCATAAGAGTACAATCCACTTCATCAGATCCTTCTGGTGAACATGATGCCTCTGTCAAAGTTGAGCCCAGTATATTAAAGTGTATTTGTACCCTATTAAATGTGTTACTTTTTTAAGTATAAGAAGAGAATTCCTCTGAATGGGAATGGGAAGTTGGCAATAAACGAATACATTTCTTCTAGAAATTCCTATACATATTAACTGTTCTGTGAAACGATTTTATATCCATTTAAAAATAAAAATTCACAGCTTGGGAGCCACACTTTAATCTACGGTCTGAAATTTCTGCAAGACCATATAATCCTAATACAAAATTGTTAAATTCTTGCAAGAGCCCTTCTTTGTATTTGCCATTAAAAGTTGGTCGTACCTCTAATATTTGCTGAGCTCGGAGTTCTTTTTCCATTCGGATTTGCTGTATTCTCTTAATTTTTTCCTGCAACAAGAAAGGCTTTTATTTATTTAAAGCAGCAGTAATAATGGACCATACCCCCTTCTGCCATAGCTTAAAGTGAATTTCCACCCAGACCCATCCAATCCGGGCGAAGCCTCCCCTGTACACTCGCTGCTTGCTATTATTCCATTGCATTCCCCTGGAAGAGGCCAACCACAATTATTTCATATGCAATACCAGATCATGCAATGAAATCTGCCAAATAATGAAATGTTAAGACTGCAGCCCTTTTCTAGGTGGTTGGGGACTTCCAGGCATTATGGTAGCACTGAAAGAGGACCTTCTATGAGCTACAATCAAAGTTAGTAAGAAAATGGCCCAGATGCTTAAAAATAATGCTTTTCTACGGTTCACCTGCACCAAAGTCTCAACTTTGGCCCAAAACAAATGGCTGCCAAAATAACATGTGTTCCAATACTGAAAAACAAAGCATTTATAAGGATATTGTTTTCCCTATATAATTAGCAGAACACACAGCAATATTAGCCACATTATTGACCAATTTTATTAAAATCATTGCTGTTCCCACCATGTTTCTATAATATTCTGGGACGGAATTTTTAATAGAAGCAAACTGCAACAAATACAGAGGGAATCACTTCTGAGTAAGAATGTATTGTAAATGTCTTCATTTCAATTTGTGTCTCTGTATGAAGATCTAGATATCATAAAGGTTGCTGCTGGGTCCTCTGATATTTCACAGCCTCAGGAGCTGATGGCAATAACTGAATTAATGGAGAATATAATGGACAAAGAAAATAAATTCTATGCAATAAATTTAGGATGAACAGTATGCGTGGTTAAACGGACTGAAATTCATATTATCTTATAATTTAAGAGAGAATTTCTACAAAACAAAGTATCATTGGTATATAACACCAAAAAAACTAAGACACGGATGTCCATCTTTTTGACTTGCCTTGGGCTGTACTGAGTGAAGAGGAATTGTCTTGGGCCGCATATAAAATATATACTATAGTTAATGCATATTACTGTTAAACATTTGTGATCTTGTGGAGTTGCATTACTAGCTGTTCAGGGCCTCATGCGGCCCATGGGCCGGGAGTTGGACAAGTCTGATTTAAGATGTACAAATAGTCCTCATCTTACGAACATAATGGAGTCTGCCCATTATGATTATAAGTTGGGACAGTGGTAAAGTGGATCATCATGAGACCAACCTGATTTTTTTTTTATCTTTTCTTGTAGTGAATCAACATGGTATTAGGTGAATCTGTGGTCATTAAGCCAATGGCAGTGTTTTTGCTGAAAATCAGAAGCAAACACAAGTTTTTGGCAAAAACATTGTAAATCATGGTCACCTAACCGAGGGACATTGCAAGCGGCCATAAACATGAACTCTCCCCAATCGATCCTGGAAGGGCAGGGCAGAAGAAATGGAACAAAATGTTCCCTTATGCCCAAGGTTGATTGTGTATCAATGGACATGATTGTACATTACCTCTTTTTTTTTTAACCTTTCCTCTTTTTTTGCTTTTCCCCTTTAAATGCAACTTTATCTGTAGAATTTGCAGATGATGGCACATGTTCATGCTTGAAATGCATTTTTTCCCCCATAATGTGCTATGGATCATCAAATTATCCAGCTGAGCTTGAGCAAAGCAAAATTGAGTTTTCAAATGGTAACCCCATTACAGATACACAAATGCACATACACACACACACACATCCCACTAAAATAGTACATTTTGCAAGGCGCCTAGTTGCAACCCAAAAGACATAAATTACCTGCTGTTTCATTATTTTTATCTGCTCTTTTTGCTTCCTTTTCTCTTCTGCAGCCATTATAGCTAAGAATAAGACAAAAACATGTTGGTAGTAAATAACAGTCAGGATAATGGAAACACAGTATCTACGGTTTCAAAAGCTGTAATGTTCTTAAGAAGATGTGTAATACTGACCTTGCTGTTTTTTTGCTTCCTTAGCAGCTCGGGCCTGCTCTTGCTTCTGAATTTTTCTCAAAAGCTTGATTTGTGCTGCTTGTCTAGCAATTTCTGGAACACAAAGGGGAAACGCTTAGAGTATACTAAAGATTGCTTATTGACACAAGGATAGTTGGACAATGGAGAGACAAAAACAAACGAAAATGGGCAACTCAGCGCTGAGGAAATCCTTAATATGATTTCATACAAATATTTTTTGTTTTGTTAATACTCCAGGAAAAGTGTGAAACTGCAGATGTATGTCAAACCATCACTTCTTTTCTTTTTTCTCCCTTGGGTAATTAAAAATATATATTAAAATAATATGGATTGTCACTCAATTTCTGGAAGATCACTGGAACAATTATTTTTTTGACTTGCAAGTCAACAGGTTACAATTCGGCTTGGTTATCCTTGACAAAAATGAAATTTTCCTTCCTGTCACTCTGCCATCCATTATTCTGAACCTGCTGTCTGGAATCAAAGAGAGCAAATCCTGATTTTTGACTCCGTGACATCATCTCAGGTAATTGAAAAATACTATTGTATCATTTTATAACATTTTCAAAGTTAAACATATCCAGTTCCTTCCATCTCCCTTCATAGGGCTTAGTTTCTCGTCCCTTGATCATACTCATGTTTTCTCTGAATCTTAGAGGGTGATTCCCAGAAATGAACACAATAATTTGAGTTAAGGTTTGAGAAATGCAGAATGATGTGCAACTATTATTTCCAATGTAATTTGAAACTACACTTAGTAGAATTCTCTCTTGCTATGTAATAGTTTGAATCTATTATTTTCCCACAGCAAAATTCAGTGGCAAGACAAGCTACCTTACGAAAACAAAATAAACCACAAGTCTAGAATTAGAGGCAGAGGATTTTTACCCATATGGCCTTTGAAACTATAACATAGGTGCCAAGTTATGGAATCAGGCCATTGGCACATGCCTGGATAATTATTCTTCTCCCCTAAGTGTTAAATACGTAACCAAGCTCTGCAGTGCTGATTACATTATGAGACATATCTACAAACGCACAAACAGCAGAAATATGGATGAGAACCAGTGGTGGGATTCAGCCAGTTTGCATTGGTTTGGTAGAACCGGTAGTTAATTTTTTGTTTACTTCGGCAAACCAGCTGATGTCCTAGCCCTTTTTCGCAAGGCCCAGAACGGACTGCCAGAAATGCTTGGACACCACTTCTGGAAGTCCGTTCTGAGCCAGGGAGGCCTTCTAGCCCCAGAATGGCCCACCAGAAGTGTGTGGACGCCACTTCTGGAAGTCCGTTCTGAGCCGGGGAGACCTCCCAGGCCCAGAAAGGCCTACCGGAAATGTTGCAGACGCCACTTCCAGAAGTCTGTTCTGAGCTTCGGAGGCCTCCCAAGCTCGGAACGGACTTCCAGAAGTGGCATCCATACACTTCCGGTGGGCTGTCTGGACCTGGGAGGCCTCCATAGCTCAGAACGGACTTCTGGAAGTGGCATCCATGCAGAGAACCGGTTATTCAGGTATTTGAATCCCACCACTGATGAGAACTATTCAAGGAAGGCACCATAGCCTCATTTTTTATACAGAAATTTTAGACAGGTAGAAAATAATAATAAAATCAATAATAAAATCCTTACCTTGGGCTTGTAACTTTCTTAAGAGTTTAGCATCTGTATTGTCAAGGAATTCAGTGCTACCAACATTTGGCGGCCGACCTTTGCGACGTCTCATTTTTGATTCCTCCTTACTACGCTGTCTGTCAGGATTTGGTGGCCGGCCCCTACGACCTTCCATTGCTCTGATGCGGGGAAGGACTTCCTCTCCTTTCAGCAGACACCACTGCATCCCCTTGTAATTAATATATTTCACAGAAAGTAATTATAAACAAAATGGAAAACAAAATTGAAATAAATATATATATGCATCAAAGCATATGTCTATATCTGTAAGTATTAGCACTGCAAGCTTGGAGTGACTCAATTAGCAAATTAATGAAGTAATAGTAAATGGACTAGAATTTGTCCTTTCAGCAAAGATTGAAGAATACCAACTATGCACAGTCCACAGCTGTCTTGGTCTCTTTTCTTTCTATTTATTTCACAATAAAGAACTAAAACATGATTGCCCTTCCATATACACCCAAAGACAACATGTACCTGTACTGAGGGGTGATAAGACTTTCTATTTCCTTTTAGAAACCAAACCTATAAACTGATGAAACTCCAGTGAATACAGAATCAAGAATTTCTTAAAATCTGGATCTTCCAAAATTCTGATAAACTGCTCTATTTGACAGCCATGTGGGTTCTGGTATACTGCCAGCAAAATGGAATTAGCCAACATGCTGGCTAAATGTGATGAAAAGGAAAATATGAAGAATGACTTTTTTCTTGAAAAAGTGGTCACATAATTATGAAAATTACAAGTTGCCTAAGAGAAACAAAATACTAAAAGAAGAGTTTGTTAATACAAATCTATAATTACTCCGACAGTTGCAAGTAAGTCCCAACAGTAAGGTTGCTTAGGATTGTAGCCTTAGTGCTCAATTCCCTAAACTTGATGAGATTACTTTTAAATGACTATAAATATATTTGAGACTTGAGTACTTGCCAGAAAAAAAGATGAGGCAGGAATCAATTGTAAATAAATAAATGACCCTAATATATCTAATTATGCACCTGATTTTTCTGAAAGCTGCTTGTGATTAGAATATTTATTGAATTATCCATTGTAACTATTTTGCAATGCTCTATAGTTTTAAAACATTTTTTGACTTGCAGAAATGGGAGCTTGGCTTCGTACCATTCATTTCAATTTTAGGAGTATCTTCCACTTAATTTGTCCAACAGGAGTCTTGTACTATCTTTACCAAATCAGATATTATAATGTAATCTAGTATCTTCTGAATTGTTTTTATCTTTGTTTCCTCAAGCCTAGTTATCAATCAGTTGGTCAATATGTATCTTATTTGTAACACTTCAAACTACATGTCAAGACTCAAGTAATAAATGCTCTTCTAATTATCTCTGCACATGGAAATGCAGCATCCTGCTATATATGTATTGCTCAATTCAGAATTTGTGAATGGAAGTCTGGTCATGAAATATTCTTTGGCAGGTGAGAAGATTTTTACACATATTCCCCACATACTCTGAAAACTACTCCAGAAAGTTGGAAAGCAATAGAGCAAGGGAATCTCCTTTGGATCATAGTCCTTTACAAGAATGGAAAGATAACTCTGAATTCCAAGCTTTCAGTCTCTCTCTCTCTCTCTCTCTCTCTCTCTCTCTCTCTCTCTCTCTCTCTCTCTCTCTCTCTCTCTCTCTCTCTCTCTCTCTCTCCCTCCCTCCCTCCCTCCCTCCCTCCCTCTTCCTTCCTCCCTCTCTCTCTCTCTCTTTCTCTCTTTTAAAATAGACTACTGACTTATGGGACAATGAGCACAATCTGTTTTCATATAAGAGTCTAACAAGAATTTAGATACCTTTGCTATACAAATTAGAAAGTTAACTATATTAGACTTGAATTCTAACCCCATCTGCATCAAATACACACAAATAATTCACCAAGATTTCTATAGGTGTAACAATGTGTATACGAATGGGAAAGATTCTGTTTTCATAAAGATCTTTTACTGGATTAATATATGTGGGCCTGTTCATAAAATAGTACCCAAATATTTCAATTAAAACACACATTTATCAACAGGTCTTAATAGCTCAGTATCAGACCACAAGCTCTACATAGAAAATGTAGAATCCCTGGATGCCACAGAGGGCTGGAAAGACTTCTGCCTGAAAACCTGGCATGCTTCTACCTCAGAAATCATGGCCTAGATAGATCAGTGATCTGACAATACTTTTTTCCCGTATTATTAAATAAGTTAGGGTGCCCTAAGATTGATTAAATTAATTATTGAATGAAACTTAAAAATAAGTACAGCTTGCATAAAACTGAAAGCAAATAATCAAGTGCTTACAGATGTGTTTTAAGAATGGCTTAGTTTAATTGGTATAAAGAAAACAGTCTTCCCCTATCCATTGTCTCTAATGCTTAGAACTACAACTCCTATTATATTCAGCTAGAATATGATCAGTGGCATGCTAAATTGGGATGATGAATATAACAACTGACTATATCAGAACAGAACCAGATTATAGAAGACATTGTAAAATTACAATAAATTTAGAGCTTACAGCAGTAAGACTCTTACAGACATATACAAAAATGCATTCAAAAAGCATTATTTATGCAAACATAATACCAAAGGTGCTATTCTGAATTTTCAAATTCATACTTGTTGTAAATTGTATTTATCTCAAGCACACATACTGCAATTTAAAAAATCCTATCAATGAACAGTTACTCACCTTATTTTCTCTGTAGCTTACATAAGCTCCAGACTATAACATAAAAATGCTTCTATCCTTCAAATTTCTTAAAGGTGTTTTGCTAACACCCAAAATGAAGGCAAAAGTGAATTTAAAACTAACATTCAGCACAATCAAATGGTTTATTTGGTTTGCTTAACTAGAAATTTACTCAAATTGACTATATCAAATCAAAGACATACTATATCAAGAACTGGATAAAGGAAGTGACAGTTAGAAGTTCTATAACGGACAGTTAAGCCTGGCAAGAAATCTAAATTCTCTACAATTATTCCAGTGTTTAATATCAGCATAATAATGGCATTTCAATGGAGTTACATGGCTTTTTTCCAACAATGTAAATATTTCTACCAATAATAACCATTCTAGAAAAGTGGTAGTGTGGGAAGAGAATGAGCTGAACCGGTGGCAGCAATGCACAAGCCTGAGCGAGAGATGGCTGGAGCTGCAGGGCTGTCAGGGCTCAGCGGGAGCATCAGGACCAGCGCTTCTTTGGGATTGTCAGGGCTCAGTGGAAGCATCAGGATCAGCGCCAGGCTCCAGCTGGAGCTCGGTGCTGATCCTTGCGCTTCTGCTGAGCCCAGAAGAAGCGCCGATCAGCTGGAACGTTGCAGCATCTCCAGGGTCTTGTGATTTACATTCAGATGCTTGGCAACTGATTCATATTTATGATGGTCACAGTGTCCCACACAGTGAAGTTTGAAGTGTCCAAAACCTGCTGCAACCACCCAGCAGATGGGGGGAATAAAAACCCCACCCCCGCTACCAATCAACAGAAATGCTCACAAAAATGAAAACCTCGGACAGGGTGGGCAGGCAGGTGTCTTGCTTGGCTGTGGCTTGGGGGGCACTTTTTTCAGTGCCTTGTAATTTCGAACAGTTGTAAGTCAAAGACTACCTTGGTGAACTGTTGTAAGTCAAGGACTACCTATATTTCATCACTTCCTCCCCCCCCTTTTTTTTTGGTCATCAAGTTTTTGACATCTTGCTAGGCGACTGGTGATACTCGGATATTGCCATATCCTAAAAGTGGTACAATGAGTGAAAAGGTTGAAAAGCCCTGATCTATGCAACATAATATGCGAGTAAGAAATCCGAGAGAAACGGTCGTAAGGTCAAAATTGTATATATCAAACTGTCTTAATTGTCATTTATCATTACACCATTTCCATTTGTTATGGGTTTTTCCAGGTTACATTAAGAACTGTACTTCTGAGACAGGGTCTATAACTTCACTAAAGATTCTGTTAATTGCTCACTATACCATAGTGTACTTAATCTCTGAGAGGAATCCATTATTCTAAGAACCTGATCATATTAATAGAATGGCTTTCTCCAATAATCCTGGGAATTATAGCTTGATAAAGATTCTGAAAACACTCCATCAAAAGTCTATAATTCTCACAGGATTTGCTAATGGGAGGAAATAGCCATTAGAGTTTCATCTGTATAGTACTGCAAATATTTTTATTTTATTTCAATAAAATAATCTAAAACCATTATCATTAAAAATAACTCAAGATCAAAACAATCCATTCTAGTCCTTTAAGAAGCAAAGGAAGTAATTATACTTTTTTTCTTATTTAATTGGAACATGCTTACATGTGTGCATGCACCTCGTTGCAAAAAAATAAAAAGATAGAAATGTTTTTTTCAAAAATGAAAATAAAAGGGAAAAAGGAAGTTTAACTTGCCCTTTTCCCTGACTTTCCGGTTTTGAAACTGCCAGAACTTTTCACGGGAATGAATACGAATCTTTTTTTTGTTTCGATCCATTATCTCTATTAATGACCTGCATTATTGACATCTTTTTACATGAATAAACTTTCATAGGAATAACCATAAGCAGTGCTTTTTTTGTAAAAAAAAAAAAAAAAAAGGTGCCGGAACTCACATATGTCATATAATCCGTCTTGCCTACCCTACAAGATTCCATCCAAAAAAGGTACCAGAACTCCATTCTGAGCGTTCTATGACAAAAAAAGCCCTGACCATAAGCCTCCATTTTTCTTCACCTACTGGATAAAATATTCAAGCAGAACCATTTTCTTATCTATGTGGCTCTACATGCTATGATTTTTTTCCTCGTAAATACCCTCTTTTTGTAGGCTTCTAGATACATGCTGCAATAGCTATATAGAATAGTTCCAGAAGTTTTGGAAAGCATTTTTGGAGCATATGGCAAATATCTGCAAATATCTGATTTGTAGCTATTACACATACTGAGGAAGAAAAGATTGTACATTAAAATCAAAGAGGAGGAATGCTACTTATTACATAGGAATATATCAGATAGCATATGATGTAATATGAAGAAGGATACTAAGGCAAGGAATATTAAGGATAAGCAAAGTTTTCTGGGTAAAAATCCCCCCCCCAAAAAACCAGACATGAAATAAACCAAGAAAGAAATCACTTTGTAAACACTTACAACTATGTATATTGATATATTTAAAAATAAATCTCATTGACCTCATTAGGAGTTGCTCCTACATAAACCTGCACAGGATTAGACTGCATTTAGTTATCTATAACTGAGCATGGTGTATTATTGGTAAAATGATTTTAGAAAATACTCTCCACCATAGTGTCCCTGACTGCCTTTTCAACTTACTTGCCTATGCTTTGCCCAGTTTCTCATGCATGCAACAAACACATCTGTCTTTCATATTTGAATTAACATCACACAGGTTACTAAATAACTAAGAAAAGAATATCAGAGACACAAATATTAACCATATGTAATTGCCACTCGTCTAACACAGACACAAAGCTTCCACAAATGTTGAAAGGTATATACCAACACTGGTGTTATAATAGATGGAATAGTGGTGTCTATTGATGAAACCCAATAGTCTAAGGCTACAGATGCCCTACATACACATTTTAAGTAGGATTTTTATGGAGGGTTTCCTAACCTGCTCACCCACCCACCTATGTTTAGGACAGCGGAACATACTGAGCATTACAGACTAATATTATCGGATAATGGTATTGACTGCAATTTGAACAATACTAAATTGAGTTCAACAAGACACTGAATAGCTTAGCAAAGTCAAAACATGAAATTGTAAAGGTTTTTTAGCACTTTCCTTGACCATGTGCTCAGTTCACTCACCATCTCGACAATAACATCACAAGTACTGCTCTAAGAATGAACAACTACCAATAGCAATACTCCCGAGAGTAGTGTGTATGTATATGTATATGTGTGAATGTGTATATATGTGTGTGTGTATGTGTGTATATATAGACACACACACATATACATATGTATATATGTATATGTATATATATATTTCACTTAGATTTATGATACTATTCCTCGGATCAAAGACTTTACTTTTTTAAAAAGCGGATACCTGCAATCCATCTCTGGCTTCATAGAAGTCACCCACTCCTATTTTTGCACTGAAGCTGAAATTGTCCCTTGAGATATCCATTATTCCATTTCTGCTGAGATACTGAAAAAATCACATATTTTTCCACTTCAGGTTTTAAGTCATCACAACCCAGCTTTGATGTATAGCTAATATTAGAGAATTCAAATACTGTGCATATTCTAGCAGGGGACTATGACTTTACAGTAGGTGAATTCAGAGACAGGTTAAGGATCATTAGCATCCACATTGCAGGCCATTTTGTATAAAAGAACTTTATAGGAAGAAAAAAAAATTCACTTAAACACAAATGTGCATGCTAAATAAATACCCAAAGCACAATGTTTAAAATATACCTTTACAACTTCTGGGTACTGCCTTAACTTCTTTCCACATGGTGCATAATATGCTACTTCTCCCTGAAGGCGGCCACCAATATTCCTTATTCTTGTTTCCCTTTGCCATCTGCAAATAATTATAGTTCTGTGTTAAGAGACAAACTAGGAAAGGAATTGTCCACATACTTATTTGGAAATAGGTCTTTTTAGAAGGTAGAAAATTTACTTCTTCATAAACATGGATGTGGTTGAGAAGAGATGGAGTCAGAAATAACTGGTACTGGGCTAGAAGAAAGAAAAGTCATGAAGGTGTTGGAGTGGGACTGTGGAGACTCAAATTGAAGTACACCCTTAAGTTCAATGGATTACTTTGGGCCACAGGATTGTAGCAAGGCAAAATGGGAGGAAAGGGTACTATGTGTAGTACCTTGAATGTCTAGAGGAATGGTGGAATATAAACCTAATAGTATAAATACATACATACATACACAAACAAACAAACAAATAAAGCAAACACAATTTTCATATGAAATAATGAAGGTCCTTTAAAATTTTCCAAGTCCTATTTGTAATTGACATTTTGACAAAATATCATATACAAAAAATTAAACCTATACTGAAAAACATGCATCTGAAATCTTAGCAATAGGGTAAAATTAACTTTCAAGGTAAAGAAGGACTGGGCTTGATGATGATCTGATGATGAGCTGTGGTGATGCAGTGGTTAGAATGCAGTATTGCAGGCTGACTCTCCCCATAGCCTAGAATTTGGTACTGACCAGCTGAAGGTTTGACTCAACCTTCCATCTTTCCGAGCTCAGTAAAATGACGATGCAGACTGTTGGGGGCAATATGCTGACTCTATAAATGGCTTAGAGAGGGCTGTAAAGCACTGCAAAGTGATATATAAGTCTAAGTGCTATTGCGATTGCACTTGGAATCTATATAGAAAGATGGGCTATTACAAACTGATCCTGAACCAAGATCTAACCTGAATTCCCCATATGAAGCAAGAAGAAAACACGGTTTGGAGTACATTGACTGGAAGAAGTATGATGCAAAGACACTTAGCAATGCAAACTAGTTTAGGGTGTCTGAAAAACGGAAATGTAAAAAACTGAGGATGTTTTACTCTCCAGCAGGATTAATATATTTTGACAATCTGGACTAGATGACCTTCAAGGTCCCTTCCAATTCTATTATTCTGTATTTTGATTGCCTGGACATATTTCAAATATGGCATATCTGTTCAGAAAAATATAGAGAAAGAGTTCAATGTAGTTCTTGACCTATGACCAAAATTAGGACCAGAATTTCAGTCACTAAGCAATGTTTTCACTAAGCAAGTCATTGAGTGACTTGACCCAATTTTATGATCATTTTACTGCAGTTGTTAACTGAAACTGCATGGTTGCTACGTGAATCATGCAGTTGTTAAGCAAATATGGCTTCCTCTATTGACTTTGCTGGTTGCAAGCCAGCTGGGAAGGTTGCAAATTGTGATCATGTAACTGCAACATGATGCAACTGTTGCAAATATGAGCCTGTTTTCAAGCACCCAAATTGCAGTCGCATGACCGTGGGCCTGGTACAATGGTCATATGTTCAAGAATAGGCTATAATTTACTTTTCAGCACTGTCATGACTTCAAACCATCACTAAACAAATGGCCGTAAGTTTACAAGGACTATCTGTATAAGAAACTTTAAGGTTTCCTATGAAATGCATTGCTCTTCAGTTACCTACAAGCAGATTTATTTCTCCACAACACATCCCAAACATTATTCTATGTTTTGGATTTAGTTTAATAAAGAGCCTCAGAGGTTATTACCTATTAAAACTTTATGTTCTCTCTATGAGGCAGAGTAAAGGAGAATATGAATAGAGGAGGTAGGCCTCCAGGCCTCCATCTCCCTTCAAACGGACCCCTAAGCAGTTTTAAATCATTTCCTTCTATTCCGATTTCCAAAAGTGAATGTAGCCTTGGATAACTAGCAAACTGATACTGAGAGGAGAGAGATCCAAGGTTCAAATGAAGCTAAATAATGTCCCACCCATACATTCTCTTCCACAAGTGCCTCCTGTTTAATATTAGATTGTAAATATGAGCCAAATATGAGTATTCTGTCTTCAGGATTGATAATTATAACACTTACATTTTCAAGATAAAAAAAATCTAACAAGATATAGCATAAATCAATATTTTATTCCTCTTCCATCAAGCCTAAACTCAGAGCGACATCTTAAAATCATTCCCTATCAGAACGGTAAAAGCACACAACAAATAAAGGCTGCAAAGATTTATTTTCAAATTTATTGTACATACCCATATTCCAGAGGAATGCGCAATTCTCTTTCATCTGTGACTCGTCGCCTTTTTGAAGAACCTTAAATAGAATTCAAAATGTCAATTTATAATGAAACATACAGAAATTAAAAGTAGTTGACAAACAGAAATTAGAAGCTGATCATTTTCATTTGCCAGCATTTCTCATATCCTATAAAATCAATAGGAGTACAAATTTACTGATTTACTGATTACAATATTAAACCGTATAATTCAGCTGAACGGAAGAGAGGGACATTATCTCCCAATAATGTGTCAATCCACGAGAACTCCAGAACTAATTCAAATTTGCACTGCTGCTGTATCATGAAGTAATGTATTCAACTTAGTTTCACGAAAAATGAATATTTCAAAGGCCTAGTCCTCAGGCTTTTAACAACTTTTTTTCTGCTTCTGATAGATCTCTGCATCAATTTTTCACTCCTAGCAGTAGGCTTTGTCAATTAATTACTAAATTGGATACTCACTAGAAAAAAATATGGTGCAAAATTATTTAAATATCTTTTTGCAAGCAGATATGGCCTAAGTCCTCATTTTAGTGATAGAATGCCAGCTCTGCATGCCAAAGGTCCCTGGCTCAATTTCCTGCATCTCTTAAGTATGGCTGGGAGAAAACAATTTCTGAAATCATGGAAAGCTGTATATAAATCTTAGCCAAAATGATCGGTAATCTAACTTGGTATGACAGATTCCTTTGTGAGGTCCACCAATTTGGATGGCTTTAAAAGAGGATTAGACAATTCCTGGAGAATAAGGTTATAAATGGATACTAGGACTAGATTATCCCCATTAGTAAAAACTTTAAGCCTGTTAACTCCATGTCGCTGGGAATTACTGATTGTGGGCTTCCTAGAAGCATCTTCTAATCAACCACAGAACACTAAGTTAAATACACCTTTGTTCTAATCTTTTTCTTATATGCCACAATTCATGCAATTCATATTGAGTCTGGCAGGCTTTCCATTTTATTTTTTACCTAAAAATAAACCAACAATTTTACCCACCATTAAAAAAAAAAAAATCTCCTTTGCAAAGTTATAGAAGTAGCATTACTAGTTGAAAGATTTATACAGCATGCAGTAATATTATTCTATGCTAAAAGTTATTTGCTGACAAATGGTAAGGAATGGGATTAGAAGTAGTCCTTGATTTACAATCATTTGCTTAGCAACTGTTTAAAGTTACAACGGCACTAAAAATGATGACTTATATCCAGTCCCCATCCTTACAACTGTCACAGCATGGTCACGTGATCAAAATTCAGGTGCTTGACAACCAGCATATATTTACTATAATTGCAGTGCCTGGGTCACATGATTGCCATTTGCAACCTTCCCAGTCAGTGGGGGAAGCTGGATTGGCTTAACTGCGTGATTCACATAACAACTGCAGTGATTCACTTAACAATCATGGCAAAAAAGGTTGTAAAATTAAGGACAATTTCATTTAGCAACTGCTTTGTTAAGCTATAAAAATCCTGGTCACAGTTATAGACTAACTGTACATGTAGTTGAAACCTGGATATAAGAGAAATATCTGGGCATTTAGCTAGCTAGAAGGCAGGATGAAACTTCCATTAAGTTTTTAAATTTTATTAAAAATGAAAACTATAATTTTTAATACCTATAAATGGAAACAGCAGACTTGTATTTTTATCAGATCAGGAACAAGGTTCCTTGACAGTATGAGCAGCTGAACACAACTGTTTTCAACATTACATATCCCTAGGTCTTGTTGAAACCAGTAACATATAAACAGACATAAAGATATGTTTTTTAATCTATTACGCACCTATTTTATCCTGAGTCAATAGAATTTACATATTTTTGATATATCTCATCTACGGGTCTTATAAATTTTGGAAAAAATATGATTCTGAATAGATTATGTATAATATACAACTAACTTAGTCTAATTCAGCTGATGGGTCTTCTTGACCAGGTTTTGTGATAGAGCCAGGGTCCTTGGCAAATGTGTAAATTTCAGGCTCTAATACCCTTATGAAATACTCATTCTCTCTTCATCACCTTCTGGACTAGTAATACCAGAGGATAATTCTGCTGTTTTTCCTTGAAAGCCACAATTTATGTAAGGCAGTTTTTATGTAGAAATAATGTAGTGCAAGTCACTCTTTGCTGTTCAGTAAAGCCCTCCATATGTTAAAGCCCCCAGTATCCCACTCAGTCAGAATACTGAAAATTATATTCCAACAATATCAAGAAGACTACCAGTTTCCCAGAAAGAGCTGTTCCCCAACCCAGGCACATAGAAAAATCTTAAAGTCAAAAAATATTATTAAAAAAGCCAGATTTGAAAACTGATCAGGTACAATACCTTTTTGACTTTAACCAAAGATCATACAATACTGTAGGTCTTTTAGAAATAATAAATAAATGCTATACCACAATGAGTGCCTGAAGCAAGTCCAGATGATGGTGTTCCTACAAATACCGGTGATGGGGACTCAGGGCATAACGCAGCTGGAGCAGAACTGGGAGTCTTTGCTACTTGGAGATTAAGTGGTGTCGAACAAGTGGCAAGACTACTAGAAGAGCTTTTAGTGGAAGAAGGGGTTTTGTTCAATTTAATTGTAGATTTTTCTCCCTCGGTATCAGATTCTGACTCATCTGGATCTTTATCATCTTCTTCCTCCTCCTCATCAGACCCTTCAGTGTCAGACCCTTCTGAATTACTATCAGATTCTTTGAGAAAATAGAGAGAACCATGAATTACTTAAAACAAATGAACCCTCATCCCAGCATTCACTAGAATATGGAGAAAAAAAAAAATAAGCAGGACCCAAGAAATCCAAATATTGTACTGCAGACAACAATTGCTGAGTCCACCCCCTGGCGGTGCTAGATGAAGTAAGAGAAAAACCACCTCTGCATTGGGAACCCATAAAGTTCCCTGATTTAATGTTGCACATCTACTGTTCATGCTCTCACAAGAAAAATGCAGCCCATGGATTATAGGTTGAGTCTATCAAATACGATCCCCAAAAAGTAGTCCAAAGCAGATGCTTTCTTTTCATCACCAGAACTACTGATTGGCTACTCTTCACTTTGTAATTCATAAAGAGAGGATGCAGGTCTGTTTAAGTTTTAACAGTGTACAAAACCTCTTGTAGACACTGATACTAATTCTGAAGCTGAACTTGAACAGAACATCATAGTTCTCATCAATGCTGATTTCTAGCCTACATTTACTCAGAAGGTTGACAGTTTCTTCATGAAGAACCATCCAGTAGCTACATGATTTAACAAGTATTTAAACCTTACCTCAGTAAGCATGTACCCAATAGGTATTTAGGTATGCATTGATTATAACTATCGTGCAAATAAGCAGCACAGCTTTTGTTGTACCCATGTGTATATGTATGTGTATATATGTATATTTTACACATGTAAACATATACACACACACAATCTCTTTCTGAATCCAACTAGCTCATTTCCAGGAATCTTTAGAGACTTGTGCCTAAAATAGTTAAACTAGGCCATCACAGCTACTCCTCTCCTCTCCCTCCTTTAGCAAATCTTTATTCGAGAAACAAATCTCCCTAACTCAATGTTTCTTCTTCATTGTGTGACCAGATCAAATAGTTATCTCATAATTACTGTCACCCTCCTGCAAGAAAAAAAAAATTGGCAGTGGAATGTACAACCTGTGACACTCCAGATTTTGCTGCTCTGCAATTCTCAATATCGCTAGGAAGTTTAGCCAACAGAGAAATATGTTGGGAGCTATAATTCAACAACATCTGAAGTGTTGCTGGCCTACTGTGATCTAAGAGCAATTGCAATAACAGCGTGGCAGCAGTCCCAACATTACTAGTTTAAATTAATTAGGAATTTTGCTGCATTAGGGTTGGTTCATCTCTATAGTTCTTATCTCAAATATCAGCATTTCATACAGAAACCATTATAGAACTAAAAGCCTCAGCATAAATTCAAGACACTTGCAGCACAGAAATGTGTGTTTTAGAAAGAGGCAAGCATGCATTTTACACAGGTTCTTTAAAGTAAATAAACCTGATTGACTATCATCAGAATCTTCATCTTCATCATCCTCGTCTTCATCATCATCATCATCCTCGTCATCTTCGTCGTCATCATTTGAATCTTCAGAATCTTTACTGCTTAGAACATCTGAATCTGTTCCTCTGAATTGTTCAACTAATGATTTTGCAGAAGAATGACTATGTTGTGTTTTTACTGCTGTTACTGTATTATTGCTGACTGCCTTTTCCTTTGCTGGGCCAGGTAATACAGGAGAGGTAGAAGACATAATAGGTGTCCGGTTGCTTGGTGTCTTTTTCCCACATGTGGTTAAATTGACCGGTGAGGAAAAGGTTACATTGCTGGAAGTAGATATGTTTTCGTTGACCTTGGGTTGAGATTTGGATTTGGTGGTAAGTGCTAGAGGAGCCTCTTGAATGACGCTCTGAATTACTCCATTAGGTTGATGATTACCTAAAAGTGCATTGGTCAAGAAAGGATTCGAATGGTTGTTTTCTAAAGAGGTGTGTTTTTGATGAGCTGGTGATGAACTGGTTGGCTTTGGACTTGATAATGCTGTGATAACCTTCTTCAGGTTCTTGGATGACTCGTGCTGTTTCTTGAATTGTGCTGGGAATGTTTGTTTGTACTGTTCCTGCAGAAACACAAAAACATAACAAATGTCATCAAATACAATAGAAAATGTGTGGGTGGGTGAGTGTGCATATAAGATCTATCTATCTATCTATCTATCTATCTATCTATCTATCTATCTATCCATCCACCCACCCATACATCTTTTTCATACTAGTGATATGGGAACAGGAGCAGGAGATGCACAGTTAATGAAGCATCTATTGCTGAGTGTAGAAATGAAATGTTGAGCTAGATTTAGCTGATCTTGGAAAGCTGCTTTTAACTTTCTGATAAACAAGCTTCAGAATCCAACAAATTGTCTTAAAGTTCACAAATAGGAAAAAAAATGGTTAATCAAAATTATATTATTTTAAAAAAGATAAAAGTAAAGGTTTCCCCTTTCCAGTCCTGTCTGATTCTAGGGGGCTGGGCTCATCTCCATTTCCTAGCCAAGGGAGCCAACAGTGTTAGAAGACATTTCTGTGGTCATGTGCCAGTGTGACTATACGATTATACACTGTTGCCTTCGCACCAAAATGGCACCTATTTATCTACTTGCTTTTACATACTTTCAAACTGTTAAATGGGCAGGAGCTGAAGCAAGTAACAGGAGCTCACCCCATCATGCACTGCTTGGGTCTTGAATCTGGGCTATCAGCTTTCCGGCTGACAAGCTCAGCATCTTTAGCTGCTGAGCCATCACATCTCCTAAATCAGTGATAACGAACCTTTTAGAGACTGAGTGTCCAAACTGCAACCCAAACCTCACTTATTTATCGCAAAGTGCCAGGGCCGCACCAGCAGGGGTGGGTGTGGCTGGGGTGGGTGTGGCCACCTTGATGTTGCTCATAGGGGGATGCCTGTGGGGTCTGGGCAGGATTGGGGGAGATCCAGGGGGGTCTCTGGTGGGTGGGGCGGTGGGCAGGAGGCTCGTCCTGCAGGGTGAAACGGGGTAGGGCGCGAATGCCATTGCTGCGGGGCAAGGCGAGGCCAGGGCGGCTGCTGCCTGACACCATCAGCCCCCGTGCACACAGAGGCCAGCAAGTGCATGGGGGCACGCTCTACCACCTCTACTCGAGCTTGCTAGCCAGCTGCTTCACCTCCTTTGTGCTGGGTGGGGCTGCCACTCTGGGCACTAGCGGTGGCCTAATGGACCTGCGCGAGATGGCGGTGGTGGCAGGTGTGCCCACAGAGAGGGATCTGAGTGCCGCCTCTGGCACGCGTGCCATAGGTTCGCCATCACTGCCCTAAATTATTAAATAAGGCAAACCTGAAATGTTACAAATTCAGGTTACTTTAGCAACAGAAAGTAGATGAATATATTCTCTGTAATTCTGTATGTATTCAAAATAGAATTAACAGACATCCCAACAGTTAAGGGCTGGATAAGAAATCTATGTGCATCTACTTGCATTATTTAAAGCAGGGTTTTTCAATCTTTTTACCGATTGTACCACTTTTAGGATATGGCAGTATTCAAGTACCACCTAGCAAGGTGTCAAAAACTTGATGACCAAAAAAACCCAAACCTGTTCAAAGTTGCAATTGCACTGAAATGACTTATGACCATTTTTCACACTTATGACCATTGCAGCATGCCCAGGATCATGTGATTTATATTTGGATGCTTGGCAACTGATTCATATTTATAATGGTCACAGTGTTTCAGGGTCATGTGATCCCCTTCTGCAACCTTTTGACAAGCAAAGTCAATGGCAGAGCTGCTGGTGGCCAAGTGCTAAGGCGGGACTTCCTTTCCTTCCTCCCTTCCCTGCCTCCCTTTTTCTCATTCCCATCTCCTTCTGAAGGAAGAATTTGAACCCCCCTCCCATATTTTCCCTCTTCCATATATTGATCAAACAAGGAAAGGTCTCCAGAGACATAAAAGATCAGCTGCTGAGTGAACTAGCTTAAAAAAAGCACATTCCCCTTTAAGAATTAGCTACTGGCTAGAAAGGAAAGTAAGGAGCGCAGCCGGCACTTAAGGAAGAAAAGAAAATGTAAATACTGGCTGCCAGCTAAGGCAACCTCCCCAAATGGCTCCATTCATAAGTAAAGGAATGCTATAGGCAAAATCCATTCAGGAGAAAAACACTTCAAAATCCCTTGCAGCAAAACTTACAGCTAACAGCACAGCAATAGAAGCTAACACCAGCCATCAGCCAAATAGAAATTGCCAAACACTCCTTAAGAATACAAAGCCCTCATTGCACAAATCCCAGAACTTCAAAGTCACAAAAGCACATCCACTCTCCATCTCCTTCCCTTCTCTGTGCCTCACCTCCAGCCATTGCTGACTTTTTTCATTCCTCTTGGAGGGCGACCCCTCCCCGGCTGCATTTCTTGCCTGTTTGCTGCTGCCAGCACAGGTGGCTGCCACAGCAGTTGCAGATCAGCTCATGGCCAGCCTGCTTGATCTCCTCTCCCCCCTTCCCCTCCCCCTCCTTCAGTGCAGCTGACTCTGCCTCCTCCCAAGGCTGCTGCTTTTTTTCTCTCTCCCTCTCCTGCCCAAACTGCCTCCTTTTATAACCTCTCCTGTCTCCACCCCCCTCCTCCTTTCTCATGAGGGAGGGTGAGCCATAAGTGAGCCTGAGGTCTTTGCAGCTCCAGAGGGCTATCTCATTGTAAGTCCTTGCCTGTGCTGGCTCTTTCCCTCCCCCACTGCACTTGGCTAGGCAGGGCTGCGTACCACCTGCCACTCATTAATGTACCACAAGTGGTACGCGTACCACCGGTTGAAAAGCCGATTTAAAGAGCCATGATAATATCCACTAAGATTTGGTATGAAAGAAGAGAAATTGGAATGCCTAATCCATTTACCTGAACAAACTGCACTACATACAAAGTATGTATGAGGGGAAAGAAGATTTTGAAATAGTGAATAAATAAAATATAATTTTTTCAACAGATAGGAATAATGCAATGTTAGTTAATAATAAAGTACTGCTAATAAAGTACAGGTAGTCCTTTACTTATGACCATGATCGAGCCTGGAATTTCAGTCTTAAATTGTTGCAGTCGTAAATCAAGACACTACGTGACTGGACTCAATCTTAGGACTGTTTTTAGAATGGCCATAAAGTGAGTCACTGAGGTCATGAAGTGAATGATATGGTTGTTAAGTGAACCATGTGGTTGTTAAGTGAATTCAGCATATCCAATAGATATTTTTTGCCTTTATTTGCCAGAAGACAGAAAAAAATATCGCGAAATGAGACTGTGGAATGCTGCAACCATTGAAAATGCAAATTGGTGGCCAAGCGCCTGCTATGTGATCAAATGGAGGGGGGGGTTATTGTGGCAGTTTTAACTTCAAGGATGGGGGTAAGCAGCTTTTTAAAAATCCATCAAGTTCAAAGGGTCATTAAGTCAAAGTTTACCTGCATTCCAATCTAATCAATTGTAGTGTCTTTGCTATATTTTCCACTCAAATTCTATATATTAATATTCACCATTCTATATATTAATATTCACCCATTGTTCATGAGTATATGAACTGAATGAGAAGGAAGGACTCACTGGAGAAGAGGCTAATGCTGGGAAAGATTAAGGGCAATAGAAGAAGGGGACGACAGAGAATGAATGAGGTGGCTGGATGGAGTCACTGAAGCAGTAGGTGTGAGCTTAAATTAATTCCAGAAGATGGTAGAGGACAGGAAGGCCTGGAGGAATATTATCCATGGGGTCGCGATGGGTAGGACACGACTTCACAACTAACTAACAACAAATACTTGTTCATCATCAGAACCTCCACTGTAAATCATCCAGGTTTTCACCCAAGAATGTGACATCATTTGCATACTGAATACATACAGTCACATCCCCAATCAAAATACCATTAGCTCACCACAAGTGCTCCTAGACTTACGACCACAATTGATTGCCCAATTTCCATTGCTAAGTGAGACAGTCATTAAGTGCCACATTTTACAACCTTTCTTGCCACAGTTTTCTTTTCTTTACAACCTTCCTTGCCACATCTTCTTTTCGGAACCTGGGAGCAGAAGGACAACCGTCGAGCGAGGCCTCGGAGGAAACGGCCCGTGTCCGTCTTCGGCGCACAAGGTCGCCCTCTGGTGGCGCCTGTGGCTGCCATTGACGCTCTCCGCATCCGGGGAGGAGGATGTTAATTTGACTGTTGCGAGTTGCTCACCTGGAGTGGCCGGCAGGCTTAATTATGACTGTTGTTGCCAGTGAGTTGGCAACCCTGGAGCTGGAAGACCAGCGGAAAGGAGACCCCCGGAGACAGAGCCAGCCAGTCGCCATTGCCGCATCGGCACCGCCCAGCTGGAACCTTGCGGGAGAACCGCCGCCGGCAGAGGACGAGTGTAGAGGAGGAGAAACACTAGGCCCTTCTTTCCCCGTGGCCTCCGGCGGGCTACACCCCTTCATCGTGTGGCCATGTTCGTCGGTCCGGCCTTGCGAGACCAATGGGGCCGCCACGCACCACGGGGGGCCTGGCTGGCACCATCCTGTTGTCATTGCTGCCGCTGCTGCGGGGAGGGGGGCTGGCCCTTTGTGACTCTTGGACCTTGATTCTCAGAATCTTTTAGCTAGTGTATGCTGATTGTATGATTGTTTTTTAACCTTTTTTAGTTCATTGTATTAGGGTGTGTATGGGTGTGAGTGATGGAGCTGGGAACAAGAACTGGTGCCCCCTCTGCTGAGTGTGTAAACAGAAGTGGAGGGGGAGGCGGATGTACTTCCCGGCTCGATTTAAATGTGAGATGTGGCCTGCCGGGAGGGGGGGATGGTGGGAGGGAGACCTGCGGGGTGGGTGGGGAGTTTTCGGGAGTGGACGTGGGCTGGAACATCCCGGTTATCGTAGGGAGAGGTAGATATGGCGGGAGCCAAGGGGTGGGCCATCTTCAGGGAACAAGGACTCGCTGCATTAGAGCGATTACCTGTTCCGACCCCTTGGACTCTTCTCCAAAACCTGGAGAGGGGGGTGTTCAGGACTCTGGCCTCAGGTTGCTGCTTCTTAATGCCAGGTCAGTTATTAATAAAGCCCCCCTCATC